AGATGCTAGCTAAGACTATGGTGAAGCTAAGCGCCCTTATATCAACCTTACAGCGTTTATGCAGGCCTTCCTGCTAGACCAAAGCATACAAAAGCAGCCAAAAATTCTGATATCCTCTATTCCACCTGCACCATCCGGCTACAATCAGCTAGCTAGCCACCCTTTCGAGAGCCAATTTCGTCAAGCTATGCAGATTGAATTCAACAAGCTTATAGATATGCGTGTATTTGAACCAATAAGCGCACATCTAGTCACACACGCACACCAGACGAATTGCAAAGGAATTGACCAGTCAGACTGCCCCCGCCACCAGTTCATCCCAATGCGATGGGTATTCGCTTATAAATCAGACGAATTAGGCTATCTCACACGCTTCAAAGCCCGCTTATGTGTGCGTGGAGACACCCAAGTTCCTGACGACCAAGACGCTCGCACTAGCACACTCGCGGCTAGAACGTTTCGCACGCTTATCGCGATTATCACACGATTTGACCTTGAGACCTTTCAGATGGATGCTGTCAACGCCTTCCTAAACAGCTCGCTAAAGGAAGAAGTTTACTGCCGATATCCCCCAGGATTAGGCAGGAAATCGATGGTTTTACGCTTGCATAAAGCAGTATATGGCCTACGAATCGCTGGTAAGCGATGGGAAGATGATATTAAAGAGATGCTGCTCTCACTTGGATTCAAACCTTGCCCTGATGACCCTGCCCTTTATACCGATAATCGCATGATTATTATGGTATTCGTCGACGATTTCCTTGCTGCCTATCACAAAAGTGAGAGTTCGCACGCTCAGCAAATCAAAAGACTACTCTCAGAACGATTCGAAATGAAGGATTGCGGCGAACTGACACAGTTCATTGGTATTCGAATCGTACGTGATCGATCAAAACGAAAGACCTGGCTAAATCAAGCAGCCTACATTGAAAAGATAGCTGCTAGATTCAACCTGCTAAACAGCCAGAAAGCCCCAAAACTGCCACTTCCAGCCACACAAAAGCTTGATCCAATTCTGACAGAACCAATTGACCCGAAAATCGTCAAGCTATATCAACAAAAGTGTGGATCTACCCTTTTCCCTGCTGTTTGGACCCGACCAGATACTGCATTCGCCAACCAATTGCTAGCTAAATCGCTTACTCGCTGCAATGAGAAGCATTTAGCAGCTGTCGACTATCTGATATTGTATCTCTATGCGACGAGATACCTTTCGCTCTGCTTTGACAGCGAAATGAGAGCTTCTATCTTCACTGCCGCCTCAGATGCAAGCTTTGCTGACAATCCTGACCGAAAGAGCTCTGAAGGATTTATCTTCTGCTTATTTGGTGGCCCAATTGAATGGAAATCGCGCAAGCAGAAGACTATCACCACATCGACCACAGAAGCCGAATTGCTAGCTATTAGCCACGCGGCTAAGCAGCTATACTGGATCAAACGCCTCTTTTCCTTTATCCAATTCGAAACTGACCAATTGGATGTGATCGAATGCGATAATCAGCAGACAGTTGATTTGCTCACGCGCGAGAAATCAACATTTCAGACCAAACTTCGTCATGTTGATATCCACCAGCTTTGGATTCGCCAGGAAGTCCAAGCTAGACGATTGCGAATTGAATGGGTCAAATCGGCCGAAATGATAGCCGACGGCCTCACGAAGCGCTTATCTGCAGAAAAACATGCTGCCTTTGTTCAACAGCTAGGCATGGAGATCTTACCTGCAGAGAAATCCCCTTCCTTCTGATATCTCTCATTCAGCTCTCACTTTGACCTCACATTGAGAGCTGAGGGGGTGTGTCGACATGAGTGGGTGCATAAGCCCATGCTATCGAACTTGACAGAATGCGACGGAACGTCCACGTGACGATGATCTTCAACGATTGACATCAACAGATTGCACACATGACGAAAGAGCTTCAACACTCTATATTTCTTCTGATTTCTATGAGATTCTAGTCTGACGTATTGCCTTGATTTCATGAAGTTATAAATATTGCCTGTTTTCCATAGCTAGTTGAATCAAGTTTAATGATTGTGATGAAGTTGGAGCATTCTTCTATCATAAGTTAACTTCCGATTCTGAGCCGAATCGTACGACCTAACCTGACCTATACGATTCTTCGCCAATCGTATACTGATTTGACCAATCGTGCACACTCGCTTGCTTGTGCACGACCGAAGGATTTATGCTGACCCCGTAAATCCGACACTTTGTCCTTAAAGGATTTAAACACCAGTTTCCTCTTAGGTATATACTGTTTTTTCTGATTTTGTATTTTCTCGATATACTCCCCTACTATACCTAAACGTAAGGCTACCTCGTTTCTCGAAGGTACCCCTAAACTTCCTACTAGTCGTAACTAAGTTACCGGTCGCGTTTGTTAGGCTAAGTATATTATTATTAATAGTTTTGTCGCTTCAGTTCCTTATAATTATTGTCGTAAGTCGGGTGAAGAGTGTATAATAGATTAGAGTTATTGTTATTCGAAGTGTGCGTTGTGCACTCGTACTAGCTAGGTATATAAACGGGATTTTATACCGGTCGCGAATAGGATTTGTTGCGTCGTACAGAGGATAAGCTGTCTTCTGATATTAAAAAGAATAAGGATAAACTCGATTTGTTAGACCCCGAGTTAAACGATTTGTAGTTATCGTATATAGTGAATATTGTCAGCATCTAGTAGGGGGTATATCGGCCCCTGAACGACCTGATCTCTTATATCTCCAAATAAAGCCTGAAGACTGTGCTTAAGTACGCCTTTTTGGCCTAATGGAAATATGACCCGCTTTTCTGGCCGACAAATATGATGTCATATTAATAGCTATAGAGTCTGCTAGAATCTTCTATGTGGCAACCCTAGAAGATATTCATGATGTCAAGATAGATATCAGCTGACCTATATGATATGTCGGATTTACGGGGTCAGCATAAATCCTTCGGCGTGCACAAGCAAGCGAGTGTGCACGGTTGGTCAAATCAGTATACGATTGGCGAAGAATCGTATAGGTCAGGTCAGGTCGTCGTACGATTCGGCTCAGAATCGGAAGTTAACTTATGATAGAAGAATGCTCCAACTTCATCACAATCATTAAACTTGATTCAACTAGCTATGGAAAACAGGCAGTATTTATAACTTCATGAAATCGAGGCAATACGTCAGACTAGAATCTTATAGAAATCAGGAGAAATGTAGAGTGTTGAAGCTCTTTCGTCATGTGTGCAAGTTGTTGATGTCAATCGTTGAAGATCGTCGTCACGTGGACGTTCCGTCGCATTCTGTCAAGTTCGATAGCTCTTATGGGCTTATGCACCCACTCATGTCGACAGTTAGTTAACTAACTTATGTGGGCATAATAATGACTAATACATACGGGTTTAGAGTAACTAACTAGTTAAGTTAACTAACAGTTAGTTAACTGCTAACTTAGTTATATCGTAATCCACGGCCGACCTGATAACCCAAAAACACGATACTAAAGCAGTTTTTTAGGTCACGGTATATCAACAACCAGAAGCATTTTTTGTTTGCTATTTAGTAGTATCTGAATTCTTAGCATTACGAACAGTGTAGCAGGACTGAAATATTCAGGAAATGATTATTCACCTATATTACCAAAAATACGCTCTGATCGCGCGATGCAGAAATATATATCAACATGATAACACCTTGAAATATGTCTCGACCTAATAAAAATACTTAGCATACTATATTCAACACTAAGGTATCCCAAGACTACACTCTTTACCTTCGGGTTTGAAATATGAAGTTATGAAAAATCGCATTTAGTATAGTGTTTTGGGGTTATTAGGTCGGCCGTGAACTACGTTATCCCTTCCTTAGCGGTCCACTGCTGCTTCTGTTCCGTCACGGCTGCTAACAAGATCTAATCCCGTAGCGATCGCGTCCTTCTAGTATCGGTCGCAAAGTGTCGAGTACGGCGGCGTATCAAAAAGAGATAGGCACAAGAATGGGCGAAGGAGCGAACTAGCAAGCTGAACTAGCGACTAGTAAAGGCTCTAGACAAGAAGGTGCTTCGGCTTTTCATTCCCTACCAAAACCGTACACCTCAGTGTTGATTCAAATGCGATCGATGCGTATTGCACTGAATCACTTCCTATTCAAAACCAAGGCAGTCGAATCAGATAAGTGTTACTGTGGAGAAGGATCTCAAACCCCGAGATATATCTTAATGCAGTGCCTGTTGTACGCTGATCTGAGGCAGACCTTCCTAGACAAGATCCGGATGACCGACCTTAGGGACTCGACGGATTACCATGCGATTGTATCACACTCGCAGGCTACCCGCTACGTGGCCAAATTTATTTAAACAGGCCTCCTAGGGCAGTTCCGGCAAGTCGAAATCGAGCTAGAGCCCCCGCAGGGCGAAGAAAACGATCTACTAGGATAATCTGGTAACAGCACAGGGAGTAAAGACGCTAGGTAGGAGGAACGCCAAACTTACGGCTAACCGAGAGGTCGTAGAAGGATACATCCAACATCGAGATCGAAGCAGGAGAGATACCGGGGATGGAGGTGCAGAGGAAGCGGCAGGCCAATGTGAGAGCGAATTGAGAGATATATCGTGGGACTGAGGGCTTGGAGGGCGTTTTGATACTGTTTTGGACTTATTTTTGGACTGATTTTCTATCGCAGTACGCCGTTTTCCTTTGTATTTACTGTTTCATAGGCGGGTCTGGCGTTCGGATCACTCTTGCTTCCGCCGGAGGAAGCGCCTGCATAGCCATTTCGCCACTAGTTAGGCTGCAACAGGTTAATAGAGTGTTGATTGATTGATTGATTGATTGATTACGGATTCATGACGAGCGAAATTGTGGATGAAGTTTAACTTCTGAAATTCAATTTCAACGATAGTCAAAGTGGCCTAGTTAATCGCAAACTGTATCTTGAGAATTGAACCTTGAACCGCCATTATTCGGGAGGGAATTGTGAAGGGTGTCAAGTGGGCTTCCGTGTAGTGCCCAGAAAGTGGACTGGAGCTCAAGCAAAGCCGGTGCTGACGACCCAGGTCACATCAGCATTGAAGGAGGCGGTAGCATCAAAAGTATCGACACCTCCATTGCTGGCAACATAGAGTATGTTGTTGTAGTGACGGAAATAGCGGGTGGGATAGCTCCACGACCGAATCGAGTTGCCTTGGCCACTGAGACCAGACTGGGGGCAGAATGTGGCATCCTCGTGGAACTGCTTCGTACCGTCGTTTGCGTTAAGTAGCAGCCCGAAATTGTTGTGTCTGATGTAGCTACCGGGGGTGTCCACAGATTCGAACGAGTAGCAGGCGCTATTGCCAAGACCAGTGCGAACTGTCCAACTGGCCTGTTGTTTCAGAGTTGTTGAGCTCGACGAAGTGACAACCTGTGTGTTGACAGTCGAACCGGTGTGTGCAATGTAGCGTGTCGTGTAGCCTGACGTCGTCGCGCGCAGCGAAATCGAGGAACCGACAGACAGTGCCGGACCGCTGGTCAGCGAAGCGGCGGCATACTTGGCAGCCACAATGTTAGCTTGTACCGAGTTCTCTGTCGCATCAGACGGGTAGCCGGAGGTCATGACGCCCTCGTAGAAAGTGCCCTGAGCACCGTGGCTGTTGTCACCGCCGATGCCAAGAATAATGGCACCTTCTTTGCTCATTGGGTTATAGCCAGATGCGCTTGGGCGCGCTCCACTGTAGTACGTTGATAGGGACCCCGAGGCTGCATTGCCGCCGCGGATTGCCCATTGATTAGACTCTCCTTTGACGATCGTGCTGAGGAAACGGTAGCTGACGGATGGATCGGCAGCATTGTTTCCGGGGCTCAAACCAGAGAAAAGGCCATTCTCAAGATCGGCCATGACCCATGGGCCGCTGCCTGCACCCGTACCCCAGACAGTGTTATCACCAAAGTAGATGGCTTCCATATGGCCGTTGCCGGTGTCGGTGCTGCTGGTTTCGGCATTGCCGTAATCGAAGCAGCAAGCATCGTTGTAATGAGTGCCATCAAGAACTGCATACATGCCCTCTGCTGCATCGCCTGTTGCTGTGCCGCTGACAGCATTGTTCCTGTAGCCTGTGCCAGGCGAGATAAAGACGCCATAGGCCTTTTGACCATTCAAAGTCACAGGTGCGCCAATTGCGCTAGCAAGGTTGTCGTACCCATTGGTATCTGGGCCGCTGAAGCCTCCGGGAGGAGCCTGTGTGAGGTGATTTCCTCGGCCAGACTGGTCATAAATGATGGTGATGAGGCAGGTTGTGTTGGCACAGAAAGTGTCTTGAGCGGCAGCATTGGCGACACCTCCTGCGGAGAGTGGCGAGATAGTAGTTGTAGCACCGTCAGAGCCACGCTTGATTTGATACAGTGCCCCAGTAAAAGAGCTGTATAATGCACGAGTGGTGCTATGCGCAGCGACGCAGGGCGTGCCGCCAGAAGAGTAGATATCGCAGGGCCCAGCAAACACAAGGGTGCCTTTGGCAACAAGGCCTAAAGCAAGGACCCAAGCATGGTCGAAGCTCAAGCGTGGAAACATCTTGAAGGTATTGTTTGATTAACAGCCGGATGGAGTGATGGAAATGGCCGAGCAATCGTTTAACTGCCGTGGAGGTAGAACAAGTAAGTCGTAGCACTTCATGTCTTGCCGTCTGGAGCCGGCCCTTTTATAGTTTTTGAATACTATTCACCTAGTGACTGATTTTTGCATCAAGAGAATGAGGCATTATCCACGTGGTGCAGATTTTCCTCCAATAACTTTGAATACAGTGCATTATTTGGTGGTTAATATCAGTAAACTCGGGTATTCAGCATCCGTACTGAACCTGCATTTAGCCTTTCATTTAAGCGACCTCGAGATGCCTTGATGTTATTATACCAAATTGAGCGATCCTTTCGTATCTTCAATACCGGAGAGGGGATGTGTACACTCATCTGGCTAGCTAGAAAATCCACAGATCTTGTCGAGATATGCCAATTGAGAACTCCAAGATGCAAGTTACTGCTCATCAACTTACAAACTCCTATCAATAAGTAGACCAACTTGCAGGACCTCAAGCAAAATTTCGGAATTACAGCGAGCGTAAAATGAGGGGAGGTGGAGCTTCATGCGATAGTCTAGTAGCGGGCTTATACTCGAAGAGGATAGATCCAAGCAACAGGATTGACACAGGCCTCAAAAGAAGGCCGATGTTTGCTCAGGCTTGATTGGCTAGCGTGCCGTGCAGATGAAGACCCCACAAACCCTCAAAGGCTTTGCGGAAGCGTGAGCGCGGGGAAATGATTAGTACGTACCTAAGCTCGCATAATATTATTTCGTCCCTGCTGACTCGTTCAAGTGCCGGTTAATAATAACACAAAACTTATTTCTCTGTTTCCAAATATTCAATGCTCCCACTTGCTTTGTCTTACAGCAGGAGTGAGCATATGTGCGTCACGAGGTCGAGTTGTGGATGTAACGCTGGGGCGTAGATCAACATAAGCTTCCGAAGCCATTATTCTATCTCGGGTACCTATCCATATCCGTGGGATGAACCTGGGACCTGACGAAATTCGGGTGCCAAGCTGAGGATGGCGGGGACAAGCAGGGCTGACGAAGGCGCTTGTGCCACCGGAGTTTTCCCCTTTTCCCGACACGGAGACTGAATTAACCGAACCTACGTACATACCGAACAAAATCAAACTCCTTTCTGCGTACATACCCCTCAATGAATGCCACCATTGGAGACGAGTCTTACCAAGCTAGGGCTGTGGCGGCCAACCTCTTTAGGTTGTAAATTAAGCTACAGGGGTCAAGCATGCCGAAAAAGGCTCGGAAAATTCGAAGGGAAATGCGGGGCCCCACAAGACGAAATCGTGTCCATTCGGGATAACCAAAAGCTAGTCTCACATTCCCATATGTTGGGCTTTCGGCGGAGAATTACATCCTCCGCTAACTTACTGGTTCATATCACTGACTAAGGGATACCAAAAGCCCTAGCAGTAAAAACGGTTGGTGTTTTGGCTTCCTTTGATCGGATATTCGAAGCTGCTGCACACCCATCATCCATGCCACCTGTAGAGACATACATTCATAGACCATCGTCAGGTTGTAAAGCACGAAAAGCTTTTCCTGGGCGCCCCAAGAAGATAATGAGAACTCACCCCAGTATGATAGACTGGAATGGATGTTCAACACCCAAGTTGTCTCGACAGCTTGAGCTTCATCGAAGGCCCTGTACAGGACCCGAGGTTGCAAGCTTTTCAATAACACGCAGAGGAGAATCTGGATGGCGACGTGATTCTTGGTTGATATGATTGCAAACACTGTCACTCCAGCGCTAACACATAGCCGGCGAGAAGCATGAGTAGAGGAGCCCAATGGGTGAGATTGATGAACACACTGAGGTGTAAAAGGACCCCATGATCCAATTGTGCTAGAAAGGCCCTCTTGCAGCCACCATTCATCAAATCCGGCCATATTCAGAATCGGTTGGTGAATTATCATGAAGATCCACTGTTACATGCCTTGGTAGGTTTAATGAGTCGACGAGGCATTTACATACACTTCATAATTTTGTTATAATTCAACAAATTGAGCCGGAAGAAAATTGCGAATATGCTGGAACTACCTAGATTAATATCATCTGGTAGTTGTTGTCCCCAGAGGTAGGCAGCGCGGAAAACATGACATGTTTCATTTTGGGAGCTAGGGATTTCAATTAAAGAGCCAATATTCCCTCTATGAATATTCCTAGAATCTGATATCTGGCCAGAAAGGTGCCGATCCGAACTTACCCAATCTACCAAACTCCGACGACCCAACTTATCTATAGAACGCAGTAATGGTCGAATCGCGGATACGGAGCGTTAAAATAAATAAGATATGTGTATGTTAGGATAGTGCTTGCTAGCGAGAGAAAGGAAAGCAGAAAGCATGAAGGTCTCAAGGTCGAAAGCTCCGAGGGCTTGGTAGTGGGCGCAAGGCTTTTCCACTGTTAGCATTCTTACCGGGAAACTGCGCCGACGACCCATGAATTACCCATTCCGATTGAAAATGCGATGTTGCCAAAGCGTAATTAGTAAAGGCCCACTGAGGGCAAAATGAGCGGGTTGGCAGCGAATATAAATGATTGAGATTGAGTCAAAGCTTCAGCTTTAAAAATTCTCGTGTCACACTTACAAAATGCTTCTTGCCGCTCTTCGATAAAATCATGAGGGACACCACAATTGGTCATAACAGCTTTTCTGGAGTAGTGATAAAGCTCTGGTGGTGTGATTTGCCTGCTTGTTTCTCAAAATATACCCCGAGGGCGGCGTCTGCATTCATCGCCAGAGCCTCCAAACAGTGTTTACCTCAGGTTTTGTTAACTCTCAGCTAATAACCTTCACCCATTAGGCGAAGCTGTGCGTTGTCTGATTCTGCTGGCAATTTCGGCTGCTCTCTTTCAGTTGGATATTGGAGAGCAGCGCTAAGCTCAGAAATTTAGCAGAACGCACATGCAAATGGATGGAGATCTTGCAACACGAAAGGTCCCATATCCAAATTCGGAAGATTCTCACGTAATTCCGCATTCAAAGACTAACTTAGAGTGGTTGTTGACATATATTCAAGCAAGGGCCCCAGGTATGCCTGAGTATATGCCGCTTTGAAATGGATGGCCTAGGGCAGGGCTCGCCAACAACAGAACTTCTCGGAAAGTCAGGTGAGAATACTTTGTACAATTTAGATCTCGGCATTTGTCCTAGTTGATACAAAATCCATTTGTGACGACGATACCTGAATACTGAGGTATGCGTCATTTGGTAGAGCCTATAGGTGGGTCAATATACCTAGGCCTTCTAGAACGAGAACAAGGTTTGGCGGAGCTGCGTCGATAATTAGAGCCACGGACTAGGCAGCTAGTCCCGATCATGTCACATGTCGCATCGTGGGCCATGGGGAATCCGAAGAGATTCCAGCTTTAGTACAGCACCCGTGCCATGAGAACAGCAGCCAATAGTGGCTATGTTATACCGCCTGCCTTGCATAACTCCTTAACCAGGCATCAAAATCCCCGAAATCTCTAGGATAGGTAACTCACCCGGCGTTCAAATACTCCTGAATCTCTCTTCCTGTCCCTATTTACCTGTTTATCCATCTCGATATCTTTGTATCGTATCCTTCCTTCCGTATCAATCTCTTTCCGTTACTATAAAGCCATGAATTGATCCTAGCCCGTGTTAGGCTCCGGCTTCTGGGTGGCTTGTCGAAGGTTGATAGCGATATAGCTTAGTAGGTTTTCTGCAGTTTAAGTCAAATGAAAATGCCACCTGCCAAAGAGCCCTTCGTTATACTGCACCTATACTGCTTCCCGTCATCGGACATGGCGGGTGCGTCCGGTTTCATCGTCATCCCGCTCCCGCAAGCCTCGCCACTTTTTTTTTTCTATACAGCAGCTCTGTTTACAAGGGGGGCACAGCTATTCGATGCAGATTATTCAGTCTTTGATTTCGTAAGATCTCCCACTATATAGATCACAGATTATTACCTCTCTCGTATTTCTATTTATACTGTTGAATATACAACGTCCGATACAGTAGGATAGATCTCTGCTGAATTATTGTCCTCGAATGGAGTTACTTACCATGCCAAAAAGTGGCGGCAAATGCAGGATGACGGTGAAACCGGGCGTACCCATAGCGGGGAGCAGGATAGGCGCTGCCGAGCATAACGGAGGGCATAGAGATCGGTCAAGGCACTTGAAGAGTGAGTGACAGATATGCTCACTAAGTTTGTATGTATCGCCGTGCTCACAAACACCAATGTAATTACTTTTTAGCGTCGCAAATTATCAAAAATTCGTCACCAAGTTCGCGGCCCTCAATTCACCTTAACTTCTCGTCATCGGCGCTAAATTCCTTCATGTGCATCTTCCCCCATGGCCGGCCGTTTGAAGATCTCTTGACGCCACATTCACATTGCCGGTTGGCCACAACCTTAAATATCTGCATTTATCACAATGCCAAGTTCGGGCACATTTTTATCCAAGCTAGTTTTGTCACTCATCATATCTTAATAATCCTAGATGAAAACGAGCATATGCATCCCCTGGGCCTAGTGTCTGCCGATCACGGGAAACAGAGGATGGAACTACATTCGAAGCACGGGGATGACATAGGCACGGGATACCCCTTTGCGATTCCTTATAGTCTCAATATCAATATACACACAGGATCAATCTATCTCACTTGTATCAATCTGCGTACAATTGCCTGCCACAATCGGAAGGAAGAAATGGTGGCGTACGGAAACCAAGCCTAGGTTGCGCCCGGTTAAACCAGCCCCAAGCAAAATGCACAAATTTTCTTATTTCTCCGGAATTTGAAACTAGAGTAACTCTTGATCTACTGCAGGGTATGCTCAATTAGCGGCAAACTTAGTCCACCGTGCGTTATGATCAATCTTTTAGTCAGATTGCCTCTGTGCCTCACGATATCTATATGACCATTGACGGTCGCGAATGTCAAATGCTGATGACATAGCATGCCTGATATATCATGTTCATAGGTCAATCCTGATATTGGTGCTATTCCCTGACAATTTGCTGGGGGTGTGATCCCGGGATCCTCGGAAACGGACAGATGGAGATGCATATGCCACGTATTTAAGCCGCTGTGTTGCTCTTTGATCCTGGCTAGATATTTCTTTTTCTCCTCCTTAAGAAGCAATAGTCCATTATCTGCCATTATGTCCGATTCACCACAGCTTGAAGAAGTTCTTCTCCCGGGATAATCCGGGCAGAAAAGCACTATGCGATCGCCACGGGGGGAATCATGGGTTGCTTTGTTGTGTGCCATCGGTGGGACAAAGAGTACTTCAGATACGGTCAACGGAGGCCAAGGCTAAATGTTCAAGGCATCTTGAAGTTTCGAAGGTATGTTTTGAATGACCCTTGTTCAATGAAAGGATATACTGAGACAATGTAGAGTGACACGACGCGTTCTCAACAATGTAGTTATTAGCACGCGATTAAACATATTTTAGATTTACCTACTCTATTGGACTATTAACTGCATTATACTGTTTACAAATCCTACCTGGGAATTAGTCAGTGTCCATATAACCATGAAATTGACGGACATCGGATTACTGATGTCGAATGGATTGGTAAGCGGTTCGGCTGGTATGAACTAGGGTGCGATTGACCTGTTAGAATTTACTGACAGGATAACTAGGACCACGGTAGCAAACCTAATACTTCTTGTGTTTCTCTTCCTGAAAAACACTCCTCTCGCTCCACTATCTGGAAATTCCTATGAGAAGCTACGACCACTTCACAAGGTCGCCGGCTATACAACCGTCGTCTCCGCCCTCATTCATAGTCTTCGATATGTGATAGCATATCATAAATTACGTTATATAAACAAGTTCAAACAGCCGGAGAATTTTGCGAGCCCTATAGCTAGTACATCATTGCTGATAATGGTGGTCTCGTCCATTGCATAGTTTCGTCGTCGAAACTATGAAGGTCAATACTTATGGTTACAGAAGGTACGCTTTGAATTTGAGGCTGATGGTTGTATATAGCTTTCTATATGATCCACGTTGCCTTCTTCATGCTGCTCATCATTGCTGTAGGCCTGCACCGCCGCGATTTTGCAGATGGTACAATCAAGATCACACTATCTTCACTGCCTGTTTATGGTTCCCAGACCGTCTTCTTCGCCTTGTCAAAACATGCTGGAACTTCGTCGGAAGTTTTGCGATACATACTCCGATGGCGGATGGAGCGGTAAAAGAGTCAAACTTCAGCGCGCACTCGCATGTCGTCCCGGTGCACACGCGTTCTTGTGGATTCATCTATTCGTTTGGTTGAGACTCACCCTTTTACACTTGTCTCGAACAGTCCGACAGAATTTGTTATCTGCTAGTATGACGGTTTCACTAGTGCTCTCGTCAAGGCTGCGCGGGGAAAACTCTGGCAAAGCTTTGCGGTGGTGCTCTGTTGATGGGGGCTACGGACAGGTCCCGAACTTCATGGGATTAGACAGTGTTGTTTTAGTTGCTGGTGGTAGTGGTGCGACCTTCACCTTCTCTATCGCCACCAGTATTGTTAGTGATTGCACCGCTACGAATACTACTACGACTGTTGATTTCACTTGGGCTGTGAGATATTCTTGTCAGGACGGAGGGAGGCCTTTTGCCGACCGGATGAGTAAATCACCGCTTAGTCGACCGCCTTCTCTGGCTGCCCGATTCCTCAGGCCTATACACGTTGCCGGAACAACAGAAGCCCAGAATGTCGCCCGTGGAGCATTTTTTGGTCAAGCGGTATTTTACCCCATCTAGATCCGACACACGTGCCAATTAGGAAATATAGTACAATCTGAAATTCTTGCAGAAATCACCGAATCTCATCGCTGTTGATCCCTCTTGCCACTGATCCTCTAGTGAATCCTCCATCGAATCCTCGGCGAAGCGAGCGAATTCGGCGGCAACGATGGAGATATATACTGTCGGATTTATGCGGTCGGCATAAACCCTGGTGATTGCACGAAGCATTCGCACACACGGTCGATCGAATATCACGATTATAGAAGAGAGACAAAAGTATGATAGAGGGGGGTCGGCAGCGAACAGGTTGAACAGTGGAATGTCACCACAGTCTAATCATACTTGCCTTGAGCTCTAATCATGAATGTAAAGGGTGCCAAACTTGTTCGATTTAGCTAGGGTAATAGGCAGTATTTATAACTTTAGTTACATGGCAGAATGTCACAGGAAAGACTAATAAAAATGCGAAATAATATGGGGGCATATGAGAGTGTTTGTTTTGCGATAACAATGAGTGTGCGCTACAATATATATTGGCTCCTGGGTCAAATCCGCTGATCGCGGATACAGTGGTTTTTTTGGCCTAAGTGTATGATCATGTGGCCCAGGCATGTGTCGTAACACTAAAGAGGAGAGGGTTTACTACTAAAACGCTACCGACCCGGTAATCCTATATAGCTCTAAACTGGGGCCTAAGGGATAAGGCTCCCGTATTAGTTCTCCCGTATTAGTTCTCCGAATAACTTTATATCAAGAAATATTATAACAAAAGGCCTCTGTAGGTCAGTCGCTTGTGATTGATTCTCTCGTTACTTATTAGTCACGCTGATTGCGAACTAGATTCCTTAACCTGGTTTGCTAAAGAGCTTTGACGGATATCTTTTGTTAATCTGATAATATATGTCACTCAGGATGATATTATCTTAGAGAATGCCTTAAGTTTCAAGACGGTCTAGGCTAACGAGCTTGAGAATGGTGTACCTTCAGTGTTCAGCGACGTCAAAAAGGGATAAGACGAAAAGAGAAAAGAAGCGCGCCCTATCCTTGAATTCCGAAAAGGGCGTCCGGATACTGAATAACTAGTCACTGACTGTCTGTCCCACTGCTTACTGGAAGATCGTGTCGGTGTTGGTGATTGTGGCCCTTCATGATCCTCTGAAATCTACGCGTGAGGCTGTCTTACGCGAGGAGTACGATAAAGGGCCTTCGAGTATATTCTATTCTGAGGTGAATAGCCTCTTTGGCTGGCCAAAATTTTTTTCAACCCCGACTAACTATATTTCAGGACATCGGGTGGTAGAATGCATGTTTATGGATCATGATACACAAATGTCACTATGATCTTTCAACAGGGGGTTGAAGTAGTACTGATAGCAAGATCGACAGGAGGATTATCGAAGCACGCGAATAGTGTACAAAGAGGATGTCAACATATGGATGTGCTTACCCTGCACTAAGCGTGTGCATAAGCGATGCATATCCGATATCAGGTTTTCTGGGGATATAGTCTAGCGGTTTACTTCCCCGGTATTTGTGCTGACTGATGACTGGTGCCAGCCGGACTTGGAACTGGGGGGTTTAGGTCCCCAGCTTTTCCAACGTCTCCACTCTTCCTCTTTGCCGTTTCCTGTTTTCATACCCTCCACGAGTCCACGCGATCGCCCCCCGCATTTTGAGACTTTGCCACTGCTCATAACTAATAATTCCTTGTTCTTCCATTCTCGCTATCTATCCAACAGACCTGGGCTCAAATCAGTAGAACGGCCGCCTCTCCTTCTAGTACCTGACCGGAACATGTGCGAGTGAGCACCGACAATGATCGTAAATGCTTCGCCAGTAATGCGACGGAAGAGAAACATGAATGATCATCACCTGCGATCAAGCTTCCAGAGGCGGGTGGCTGAAAGAGGGCAGAGTCATTATCAAAGCTTAGATGTCGGATTGGGTGGGTCAATGACGCTAACTGGCAGCGGCGTGGGCTTCCGCATCGGGAGGCTTGGTGAAAGAATAGCTTAACAGGCCGACTCGAAACTAGAACCAATCGGTGGACGCGGTCACTGGCATCAACGTCAGGCCACACGTCACTGTATCAAGGCCAAAGCATGCGGCCTTCCCCCGCGATCTTCGTATGTAAGAATACCGTTGCCCAGGTTTCTTCTGTGTCTATCTCAGTCCCACCTGTTTTTTGCTTCATTTTTTGCTACACAGCAAAATTGTACAAAATGGGCAATGAAAAGAACGAGAGCTCGAGATTCGACACCAACGCAGACCGAACCGTCAATGAACCCAGCCTCTCCGACGGAAAGTCCGAGTGGGAGGAAAATTCACACCGCGAAGACGCCGCACGAGGTATCTTCGACTTCGATGAGAAGCAGACGATCAGTGGGAAATTTGAGAACCCCCTGGCAGGCATCTCCAAGGCTAAACTCTTTCAGGAGGTTGAAAAGTTTTGCCGTGGCTATGACTTGATGGACAATCTTGAAACAATGAAAAAAGGCGCACTGGTCGCACAGTCGCCTTTGCATTTTCACGAGATTGAAGAGCTGTCAAATGAGGATATCGCTATATTGGAGCGTGAGAAGTCACACAAATGGAACCAGCCCTGGATGCTCTACTGGCTGACCGTCATGTGTGCTATGGGCGCTGCAACCCAGGGTATGGATGAGTCGGTCAACAATGGCGCAGTCGCGTTCTACCCTAAACAGCTGGGTATCGACAAATTGAATAACGCAACCTGGATCGAAGGCCTCGTGGTTGGTGCTCCATACCTCGCCTGTGCCCTAATAGGCTGCTGGCTAAACGAACCCTTGAACTATTTCTTGGCTCGCCGCGGTACGATATTTGTCTCTTGCTTTTTTGCAGCATGGGCCTCTATCTGGGAAGCCTTCACCTATTCCTGGGGTCAGCTGTTTGCGGCTCGTTTCGTCTTAGGACTTGGAATTGGAGCTAAATCAAGTACCATCCCCGTCTACTCGGCCGAGTGCGCCCCAGCACCAATCAGAGGTGCCCTCGTAATGCAATGGTATGTAGCGACATTCCGGGTGCTCTCATTGACTTAAATATTGACTGCAAGATCTAGGCAAGTTTGGACTGCATTTGGAATTATGCTGGGCAACATAATGGGCGTTGCCTTTTACTCGCTAGGCCCAGATGTGGGCTGGCGTGTGATGCTTGGCTCGAGTTTCGTTCCCCCTTTATTTGTGATGGTGCAGGTTTTCTTCTGTCCGGAGTCTCCGCGATGGTTGATCCAGAACTACAAAGTTCAGAAGGCTTATCGATCGTTCCGCCGTATCCGCAACACTGAACTCGAGGCGAGTAGAGACCTATTCTACACCTATGTTGGCGTTGAGATCGAACGCAGAGTCAACAAAGGCAAAACCTTCTTCACGAAGCTCTGGGAGCTGTTTTCCGTCCCGCGAAACCGTCGCGCAACCATGGCTACTTGGATGATAATGTTTGGGCAGCAGTTCTGTGGTGTCAATGTGAGTCCAGGTTTTTATAGTTGTAATCATACTCAGGCTCATTATTATCCTGTCAAAAATCAGGTTATTGCCTATTACTCGACCACAATCTTCGTCCAGAGCGGCTATACCCACCCCCAAGCCTTGCTGTTCTCAATGGGAACAGGTATCTTGAATTGGGTATTTGCCTTACCGGCCTTTTTCACCATTGATACGTTTGGAAGGCGTTTTCTACTCCTAGTCACATTCCCTTTTCTTTGTATCACTCTCCTGTGGACTGGCATGTCCTTCTTTCTCCCATTGCATAGCACGAAACGAACAGCAATGATCACCACAGGGATGTATCTCTACGAGGTTTTTTACTCCCCAGGCATGGGACCCGTGCCATTTTCATACTCTGCAGAATCATTCCCAATCCAGGTAAGGCTGACAAACACCTCAAAAAATACCTCGAACTCCGGGATTGACAGGATCTAGGTCCGTGACGTTGGTATGGCTTCAGCAACAGCTGTACTCTGGGCATTCAATTTCATACTTTCGTTTACTTGGCCGGCCCTGGTGGAAGCGTTTAAACCCCAAGGTGCCTTTGGCTGGTACGCCGCCTGGTGCGCTATACTATGGTTCCTCAGTGAGTATTCAATCCAGACAGATCCTTCTATACAGAGTTCACTGACTTGATAGCGCTTATAATATTCCCGGAAACTAAGGAGCTTACTCTGGAGGAGCTGGATGCTGTATTCAGCGTCCCCACTCGCAAACAAGTAGCTCGCGGGCTACGCGAGCCCGCTTACTGGGTGAACAAATACGTCTTTCGTCGGAATGTCGAACTGCCTCCCCTGGTGGATATCCCGCAGCTTCAAGGCCAGCGGAAGGAAGCCAGCCAGGTCGTCCAGGTCGGCATTGTTTGAAAAAAATGACAGATACCTCCTTGTTGCAGCCAACGGGGGTTGTTCGCCTGTCGTCGTTAATAGGGATTATTCGCCAAATTCACTGGTCTTCTCCGGAGTGAGAAATTGTCTGTATTTCATTCCGCCATTCCTGCGTATTTCCAACTACTGAGAATCCTTACTATCATTGATGCAATTTGTATTCGATACGCTGCCTTTATCGGCCACTATTCCAAATTCTTTGTTTTTCAATTTTCGATCGAGGTGTCCCCGTCTCAGTACCTTCTCCCTTCTTTACTCAGGGTTACTAAGGCGAGGGGGATTCTAGGCTTGGAGTCCTAAGATATCTTCACGCGAGGTCATAGTAACTAGTTAACGTTAGAAGGAACCATTTACAGAATTCAGTCTATTCCAGAAAATTTACTCTATGTTGAAAATCTACAATATACCTTCCCTTGGGTTCCGACGAATCCACTAATGACTCACCACTCACTGTGTGGATCTCTTGTATACGGGTAGTTTCAGTCCTTACCCAATTTTGACGATAAGTATGCTCACTTTTTGATACATTCTCGTGTTTCAGAAATTATTAAAGAATAATATCCAATAGATTCATATTCAAGGATCTCTTTCGGACTACGATGTGCTTTCTCATCAGGTTCCACTCTCACACTGCATAAAATATGGATGAGTCGAGACTGTCTTGTTCTGGATATCCTGCAAACAGTCCCAATGCTCGATGATACAGGAGCCAAGTGTTCGGTACATATCGAAAACATTCCATGATGCCTGACCTTCCGTCAACGCCCTAATTTGGATCGTTGTGTATTCCGGGCCGACCATCACCCCTGCTACCTGTCTGACATATGAGCAGAGTCCTCGCATTTTCTCTCCATTTCTGCTAAGAGTGGCAGTCAAGATGAGATGAGAAGCATGAAGTGAGCATAGAAGATAGGCCCCACTTTCTACCCGCAGAACGGGGTTTCATTGGCCACTTCCGAGATCCAGGCTCAGGAATTGAAACCCCTGTTACCAAGTTGAACCCCCCAAATCCAGTCCCGGTCGGCTTATCCCGCGCGTGCTGTAGGTTACGAGACTGTTTCTTAAAACTTGATGCGTGCATTTTCTCGCCCTTTTTTTTTGTGTTGATCGCAGTTCATATTTTTATTGGAAAATGATTGGTTATGGAGGACAAACTTTGGGACGCTCTATTGTAATTGGGTGGTCTCAATCCAGGCGCGTACGTCTACTTTAGCGCAAGGTACCCAAAAATCTTTATGAACCCGCAAGACGAAGGAACGATACATTGTTGATTTCTTCATTCCAACCAAAACAATGGCCTTACCTCTTAAAGATCTTGAGTTCAATAGCCCTGAATATGGCGTAGGAGACTGCTGCGAATGCAAATCCAATCTCAAAACCAACATCGCCGCCGGTTGGGGCTGGGCCAGCTGATCTGGCGATAGGTCCCACGTACCATGACTGGCTCATGCCGGTCACCATTCCAACAACACCGCAGCAGAATGCGAGTAGAGCCGCGATTCCCGGAGGGAGTTTATCTCGCATGTCATAGTCCTCGGGATGGTAACCAGAGAATCCTCGACGAAACACAAAATGCTCCGTGATAGCAATTCCTTCGTAGATCGCAAGCCAATACCCGATAAAATGCATGAAATTCTCCAAAACTGCCTCGAATTGACTGTACCCGGGGATGGCAATTGCGATATAAACCCCGGTAGCGACCACCGTCCAGACAAATCGAGGGACATGTTGGGTCCACCGTCCCATAACCATGAGGGTAAGCGAGACGGAGTAGATATTGGGGCAATTGTTGGCTACGATGGAGAGCGCCAGTATCACGACACAAAACTGCCCGAAGACACCAACCCGCGGGAATAGAAGAGCGCCAAGGAGACCGCCTACTCCTGCATCATCCCATCCCTGCTGATACGCATTGTCACCACCATTGTGAGACATAGCGGTGGCAAGAGCAGCGCCAAGAAGCTCGGTGAATAAAAGAGTTGGGAAGATCCCGAGCCAGGTGGCTAGGAACACGTTACGACGGGGGCGATTGCTGGGTTGATAGACTGTATAGTCCGCAGCGAAGCTTGTGTAACCCGTGCCGAAGCCGAAAACGGTGGAGCCATAAGACAACACCGCGCCCAGTTCGGCCTTGCCGACTCCCATGGGAACATTGACAAAATCACCCGAATGCGCAAGGACGCCCAGGACCACAAGGAAGACAATGAAAGTTGGAATCCAGCTCCAGTATTCATACGTGTGAACGACTCGATAGCCAAAGAAAACAATGATCAGCGTACAGAACGCGATGATCAAGATTCCGGCATATCCTGGAACATTTGGGTTAACGGCATTGATCAACTGGGCTCCAACAATAATGTTGGCGGCTGCCCATCCAACACAAGCTAGCACATTGAAGATAGCGACTGTTCAAAGAAAAGAACGAAGAGACGAGTTAGTAAATCCCACCAAATCAAAGCGCTTGTGAGGCCACCCATACTTAGCTTAACACCCCACCATCCAAACCAGAATCTGGACAAGACCATTTGGCGCAATCCAAAGGCAGCGCCAAAGACGGAGAAGAAACAAACGGTAAGTACTCCGATAAAATTGAAAAAGATGATGACTAGAGCCGAATCAATGAATCCCATGCCGAACAAAGGCTTCCCCAAGACACCAATGGTGAAAGAGGGGACCACCATATTTGCAGCCAGCCACTGGTGTTGTTTGTGCTCGAGTTAGAGATAACTTGAGCAAGGATGAGGGCGGAAGTACCATTGAGCCAATATTCCAGTACGAACTATCATTTCTCTCGCCATCGGGGACGCGCTCGATGCCTCGTTGCTCAACTTTGATCTTCCCACCTAGTCGTTGGAGCCTGGCGTACATCGAATTGCCATACGCGAAGCTTGAGGCAGAGACTGCACCCGTTTCTTCCTCAACGAGAGATGGGTCTTCTGCCCCAGCGCGCTTCTCCACATCGCGATTCATTATTGTGCTCTTAATGGTCAACGGCATGGGTCAACGAATTTCGAATTCGACCGGAGCTTCAAGATCGGGGGGCGTGGGAATGTATTTGAATGCCACTCGATCGAGATTGGAGAGAGGATTGACCCACGGAGGATGCCGATCCACGTGGGAAACGAACAAGCGACCCAGAGGACCCTCGTAAAGGAGATGCGCCCGTATAATTTCGTGCGGTACTGCCTGAGAAGCGCCGCGCGATGTCACACTCTACATAGCGTCTCTCTTCTCAAAGGAACCGAGTTCCGTGGGGACCGTCAACCAGTCGGTCGCGTGTATCGAGTTCTGTCCATTAGGAAGTCGTGATTCATTCCCATTGTTTGCTGGTAAAAACCGGGGAACATGGTACAACAGATGGCCAGGCGCGTGGTTTGCCACAGGGACCCGAAACATTTCGCGAGTCCCTACCTGGACTGGGAACTGGGGGAAGGTGCAAGCTTTAAAGCCATGCCCTTTCAGACTGGTCCAGCCGGCTCCCCACCGAGTTGGTGAGCGGAGACCTGCGATGGGAAGCGGGGGTGCCAGTTAATAAGTGAACTGTGGAACGGAGCCCGCCGAGACCCATTCTGGCGCATGCAACCCGGAGGTTATCGTGGGGAAATCCATTATTTTCACCTTGCCAATAATGGAGGGTTGATTATCGGTCAAGGTGTGCGTGTGAGAAAATCCGGGGAAACTTGGAAATTGGACGGAGAACTTTTCGTGCCAGGAGGAGAGGAGAAGAGAAGCTACACGACAAGGGTAACTGCCTTGCAGCCTGAGGCTCCCAGTCCCGTGAGTCCTTGCCTAAGCCATCATTAACACATATGTCAAGTATTTCACGGATAGAAAGAGTGCACAGATATAGCAATTCCAAGGACTCTTACATCAGAAATTGAAGAAAATTTGTAGGATTTCCAGGATTATAGCAGTAATAGTATATACACTTTACATCGAGATATCGGTCCCATTCATCACGGGAACCCCATTTTGTGACTGCCTTGTGGACTATCTTCGTGCTGGTCAAAATGCTCTTTGGCCCAAGGGCTCCGCAGACGAATAGCCTTTCCTTTATAGAAGAAGATGAATAGGATGGGCACCAACAAAATGGATATGAATCCTAGAAGGCTAGAGGCCCACTCATAGTCCAGGTTCTCATACATCTGAGTCGCAAAGAGAGGAAACCCAGCTCCTACCACGTTGCGAACAAGAATCACACCCGCAAGTGCAGAGGCAGAATAGGTTGGATAGCTGTCGACAATATAATTGAGAATACTGAGAATCACAATGTAGATTCCCGCTCCAAACAGGGAGGAGGCAATGATCGGCACAATCCAGTGAATCGATCGGTAGCTGGTCCATCCAAACCAGAACAGGCTGACAGGGATCATCATGGCACCACCCCGCGCCATCCACATACGCGCCTCAGGGACACCTTTGCCTCCGTTCTCTGCAACTTGACGGAGGTAATATCGCTCTTGGAGAGGGTACAGGCAAAACGCGACAATGAGGCAAATGGCCATGCCGAGGAATGCAAGCCCCTGCTGGCCGACATTAAAAGGATGCCCCTTGGGAGCTCCAAAGACGAGCGGGATTGTCTCGTTGAATAAATAGACGAGAATGTAGAGGAATCCGTTGTAGATGACGGAGAAGGTGGTGATCGGCTCGGAGAACAGGAACCGGAATGGTCGGGTAAGGGTAATGGCGAATAACTCATGTAAGCCCTTTCGGCCGCTGGCGTTTACGTCGACAGTCGACTCTGCAGATCGGAGGCTTTCCTTTTTCATCTGCATACGTGCCCGCTTTGCCTTCTTCTGCAGGATGGTTGTGTCTCGGGCACTGTAGTGACGAGGAGGATCCATACGACACCGGTGATAGCCATCAGGACCCAGAATATCATGCGCCAATCTGCGTTCAGTCCGATATAGCCGGTAATGACAAGGGCCATCGGTGGTCCTAATGTGCTGCTGAGTCCATACACTGCCATAGGACCTCCGCTCTCATTCCGTTCCCACAAGTCGCTGATACTGCCACCGGTGTTGGTCAACGGGGCGCCTCCGGCACAGCCCGCAATGAATCAGCAGACAAGGACAGTACTGATGTTTGGAGCGAGTGCGAGGGGGAGCTGAAAGATGAATAGGAGAAACCATGACACGACATAGACAGGCTGGCGGCCAAAATACTCCGATAACGGAGCAAGCAACACAGGACCAATGGCATATCCCAGCACATACAATGAGAGACACAGAGTTGTAACCTCCGACGAAACACCGAATTCTTCCTGGATGCGCCCGAGGAGATGCCTCATGCACACCAAGTTCTATGATTTAGAAGAACGGTTAGAAAAAGAGCCTCTATCGGTGGGAAGGCAGGAATTGCAAGCAGTTCAACTTACCTGAAGACATTGAGCATGCTAACCACACAGGTTATATACCATTTCCGCGATTTGGGCCAGTTCCGGGGATTATCATTGTCTTTCAAACCGTAGGTTATGAGGATTGGAAGTGCGTCATCGGGACAGCTCCTCGCCTTTTGCGAGAGCTTGCTCTTCGGACAGGAGAAGAGTGGAGGACTCGCGCAATGAATCGGATGACTTTTTCGGTGTCCGGCGTATCGCCAGGGCGGATCTCTCCTTCAAGGGAGGCCATGCTTGGTCCAAACTCGATCTATGCACAAAGTGACGACTTTGGCAAAAGGTGCGGCAGAAAATGCAGGTGTTAGGGAGTGACGAGGAACCAATAATGGAAGCCAAGGTTTCCAGTTATAACTTGGAACTTGGGCCGAACGCATAATTTTGGCGAAGCCGAGCCGATCGGAGAAGAGAGAACCAGCAAGTGGGTGGAGTAATGACGGGCAGTCTCGAGTTTTTACCCGAGGAGAAGAACCCACGGGGCCCCTCCAATAACCAAACTCCAATACCCCAATGAAAATGCCTCCATTGGAGGTTGAACGAGGCGAATGGTCGAAGATGTGGAGAGAGTTTGGAGAGTTGCCCAGGTCGGTGTGCCGAAGATGAAGCAACGAGGCGCAAAATAAGTCAAGTAGTGAAATGCTTGGCCAACTCGGCCGACTTGGCTGATCCACAGGCTCCACTGTCAACGAAAAGCCCATTAGCAATCTGTTTTCCGGTGAGGGAATTAGATATGAACAATGAAGTCACGATGAATTATGCATCATCACTACGGGGCCTAGAGAAGAGCTCGCGTGCAAGTTAGGGGGATAAGAAATGCCAGGACTGACCAATCGTGGAAAAGATATGGTAGAAAGACGTGGTCAATGGCCGAAAGTGTTATCGAACTAGGAGTCACTCTGGCTGAATATGTAGGCGGAGATAGATTTACCTTTCGGATACGAAGTTTGCATATCCCTATGCACAACACACCTGGTCTCGAAATTTCTCCGGATTTGCTTTTGGCGCGAATAGATGGGAAGCTCCCTGTAAAACAGTGATGATATGTACTGAATTTTGTTCCCTTCATTATCATGACTGAGCTTCATAATTGTCTACAATACGCGGTTCTATCAGATGGGACTCATACCGACGTAGTAAGGTAGGGCTGAATTGATACATGAGGCTCCCCACACCATCTACGAAATAATAATAATGTACGTACATAGAAGGCGTACTGTAACCTAACTTTCGGGAAAACTGGCTAAACTTGGCTCTCGACCGCCACAGCCGGACGATCTATACCCTTTATCCGCGGTCCATGATCTTGGAATGGGCATTTCGAAGCTGGATTTGTCTGGCACGGGATAAGTTCAACTGTGCTCTGGCCGTTAGGACTACGGAAGCGAAGGTTTTCAGCCATGTACGTTGCCAGAGTGATAGTCCTTGCAATTCATCGGTTGATAACTCCCGATGCCAGGCCCCGCCACGCCCTGTGCATGAAACCCGGAGTTAAGGAACAGTCCCTTAGAAGGCTATGAACCCAGCCTTGAGTACGAACTTTGCCTTTAAAAATAACACATAGAGGAAGAGCTCATCTTGATACATCTATACATTCAATTGCGGTTACCAACTTACAATTTTGAGGTTGCAAATGTAATCTCCGACCATAATAATCTACTCTTGTGATAGCCTTCGCGGTTACAATCAACCCCATAACAAATCCAGTTTACCAAATTTATAGATATTATGTAGGTCAATATTATCTAGGCGGCAGCGGAGGGCCATACGCTGTTTATTGAATCGGCGTGCAACCCCATAAAGCGAGGTAATCTCTTCGTTCTTATAAGCCTGGATTGTCTGGACGCTGGGAAGAATCTTGCCTCCCCGCATCCAGAGAAGTTATCTCCAGCGGACTTTTGTCCCACCCCCACCGGAAGCCCCGCCAAGGTTTAGGGTGGAAGTTTGGCTTAGGGTCCCATGACCGCCATAATAATGATAACGGGTGTTAGGAAAGGCCGTTCGTTAAGCGGCAGCTGTCAACTCCATCTTAGCACCTTCCTACCAATCCTCCCAGTTTAAGCAGTACTCCGAATACGCGTCCGTAGTGTTGTTTCTATCATGTCCAGCCAGTCCACTTATGATTGAACCAACTCCCCCAAAGTCTTTCTCCTCTGCAAAGCCCCGAACAACGACTAGACGCTCCAAAAGCTGCTGTCCTTACGCATCCAATGGCTCAATTTCCTCCACGTCACTATTGTGCACAGTGCAATCAACAATTCACGAGGAACGAACACCTGCAAAGACATATGGTAAAGCGTAAGGTGCCAGTGGAATGTTCTTACATATCAGATCAACGGCTGAGCAATTGCCCTTATAGATGGTGTGACCCGGCAATTTGAATGTGAAGAATGTTTCCAACGATTTAACAGAAGGTTTGGTTGTAACCCCGCCAGTCCCCTCATGGAAAAACCTGTCCCTCACACGGCCTAGAGATGTTCTGCGGAGACATGAGAGAACGCGTCATTCGGATGATGTCGTGTCAATGAGTCCGACATCCGGGACCCAGTCCCATCAGAATCCCAGAGTTGCCATCGCCTGTGATGAGTGTGCAAAAGCCAAGGTTCGCTGTAACAGCCGGTTTCCCTGCAGTCAGTGCCAGCGCAAGTCGCTAGTTTGTAAAATGGACAGGCCGCATCCCGCTGTGAAACGACGAAAGAATGAACCATTTCAAGTAGCTGATGAACTGCCCGGGCCGTCATTACCCAACGCCAATAATGCTGCACATATGATTTCCGACATAATGTGGCCAGTGGGTCCCCAGGTCAGTCTTAGCTTATTTCCTCGGCGCATTAAATTATGCTTTTAATATTATTGTCATGAGTAAAAGGTACTCCCATCCGCTTGTTCAAAAACAGCATCACTCGGGTCGCCCTCCAACCACGAGGAAATGCTTGTAAATTTGACAAATATACCTGATTCATCATCGATGAACCTACTCGATGAACTGGGAGGCTATGATCTAAACCTGCTGGACTTTTCCTGGTCATTCCCGTGGGACGTGCACACCCCTCGTCCCCAAGACGGCATCATAAACTGGCCGACCGGGGATCATCTTCTCCAGGCTAAGCCTGGTGAAGTCTCAACATTTTTAGATGGGCCGACAGAAAAGGTAACAGACCGCCGGCGAGGAAAACACGTCCTAAGAACTGATGGCACCATCAATCCCTATGCCAATTGCCCTTTTGAGTATCGATTTAAACGAGGACCGACGGTAAATGCTCATCGAATCTACACATTTCTCCACGACCAGGAGAGCTGGGAACAAGTCAAATCTTCCATTGTGGGCTTCAGAACAAATCGACCAATGCCTAGGATTGTCGCTTCATTGAGAGACACTATTGTTGCTCGAGTCCACGGGATGCTTTACAAATTACTTGATCGCATTGGCTTCTTGCATCGTTTCCCTCCTTTGGACACAATTGAACATTGCTATTACGCCTACCAACAAACATTCTCGAAATTGTATCCAATTGTTCACCCGACCAGTCTCCTTGAATCCTTCGGCAAAAATCAAGACCCCGATAGCGATATTGGGCTTTTCCTCGCCACCACCATGGCACTTGGCTGTCTTGTTATTCCAGTCGAAAAGGCTCGTGCATTTTCTGTTGAGCTAGTTTACCTAATTCGCTTCACCATCACCGATAACGCCTTTCAAGACGAAATTTGCCTCCTCGACAATTGGGTATTGAGTGCATGGATCATGATGCTCGCGTTCAGTGCTTGGTCAGGCAGTAAAAGACATATGGAAATTGCGGAAGCCTTCAAAGGTATCCCAACCACTGTATGCCGCAAATCCCCCTCAATGGCAGAGCTCCCCTTGTTAATTGTTGAGCCCAGTACTTCCTTCGCCGCGGATACTACAAAGCACGGCCTAATTCCAATCCCGGAAGCCAATCCAAAGCTAGCGCCTCCTGGTCCAAGTGGATCAACAAAGAAAGAGAGCTCAGGCTTTGTCAGATATTGTTCCTCATCGACCATGAAATCAGCCTCCTTCACAACGTTCAGCCCGCAATCCCTTTTACCAGGTTGCAATGCCCGATGCCAGTGTCTGACGAGCTTTTCTTTCTGGATAATGAAGATCAGTGGCGAGAGACGCTTACTGAGTGGGCTGGAGATACAAACTCATCCACTAAACTCCATCCCCCATCTCTCGCATCATTTTATGGCTTGTTCCTGTCCTACAACTTTTTCGATCTCAAGTTGAGCGTAACCCCACTGCAGTTAAGGCTTTTACTCTGCCCCATCCAAACTCAGGTCATCCAGTACTCACAACGCTATCGATTTGTACCCATGGAGGAAGGATTTGAACCCTCGACACCTGTCTCAGAAACTGCCGAGTTCGTGCGACTTTATCAACAAGAAGAGTTGGAAAAGAGTCTTGTGAAATGGAATTTGCTATCAGAACAAGTTTTTGACGGCTTACCACCTTGGCAATCCCAAACAACCCCCCTACTACTTTGTCAACTGGTCTGGGTGGAGCTGTATATCTGTTTCGATGATGTCCAGTTGATCGCCGGCAAGGATGGGTTTGAAATTGGAAAAACATATCTTCCCCAATTACGAAGATGGGCTCAGTCCACATCCGCTTGGAAAGCTATCGCGCGTGCGGGGAATGTTATACGAATTCTTCAATCCAGGCAAGATCGCCCAGTCTGGTGGCCCATAGCTGTGTCCCGCATAGCCTTGGTGATGTGGTGTTACACCGTCGGACTAAATAGTCCTGTCGGCAATATGGCAGGTGTCAACTCCACTACTTCCAGTGCAGGACCCTTGATCGTGTTAAATGATCCGGCTAGGGACGGGACGTCCCGTGGAAGGAACATCCATCCTCGTGAGAGCATCATGTGTATCCAGGGCTCTGATGGAAAGCATATTCCGCTGTACGACGTGCCGAGGATTTTCGACTTCTACATACAGATGCTTGATGATTCAAAATCCCTAAATTCACCGCTTCTCAACAGTTCCCGCAATTTTTTACAGGATATCAAAGATTGCGGGATACCGTATGCAAAGGCCGAGGATGAATCAACCTGTTGAGATCAGACACGAAGGCAGTTAGTCCCGCATATTTGTTACTGCTCGTTGGTCTTTCAGTTCTTGGGTGTTTGACTGTATGTATGAAATTGCTGGCATCACCCACGGCGTTTGCAAAGTAAAGTGAAATATACAATATACAACTTTCATTCAGCCAGATTATTTGTACGGCATGGGGAAAGAGTGCATCTCGATACCTCCCGCAACAACGGTAGACTTTGGGAATTTTCATTTTGCTCTGGATGGTTCTCGTGGGGTATCGGGCCATTTAAATGGAGTTTGAAGAAATTCCACTGTTGGAACTTTTATATTTTTGGAGCTCGGCAGCATGTTTTTGGTAACGGCAATACTACATTTCTGCGAAAAGTGTGATTCCTTTTGAAAAATCACGTTTCAAAACCCGATCTTTTTATCGCTTTCAATAATTGAACGACAGAAAATTCATTTATTATAAATCCGCACTCCATTAATCAAATGTTACTGTTAAATCTATCCCTATGAGGAATGGCAAAACGAATGTTTTGCACTTCCTGGGGGGAGGGGGGAATGCGAACTCAAAAGTTAGATCCCCAAGGGAATTTCACTTTGAATTTATAAAGTATACCGAAATGTAGGTGTATGCATGATAGTAATGCCACCTCGCTTCTGTCGTTTGTTTGCTTGTCTCATAGCGATGGAGGTGATGAGAACAGATATTACTATGATCGAGGCGGCTATAAAGCAAGTATAAAGACCAGGTCTGTATACGCGGATCTGTCAGTATGAGAGAACAAACGGAATTGGAATTTTGGGGTCACTCAACCGACCCGTAGTTTGGCTTGTCTTGGTTGCGAAAGACAAGACTTCCAACCACTCCTCCCACACCACCAGCTCCAATAACCAGGGCCGACCCAAAGGCTCGCCGCCATTGGCCAACTATATTGTTGGATTGGTAGGTCAGAGAGGCTGGAATATTTGCACTACCGCTTCCGACAAGCATGAATGCCCCAAAATAACGTACAGGGCTCTGTTTTGCAAAGCCCAATACAGATATACCAACGATTTGCAAAATCGCATTGATAACAATAACTATGCCTCTTGCTTTGTATTTATCAGACAGCCAACTCTCTGCAAACCCGAGAATGCTGCCAAAGATATAACACTACCAATAATTGTTAACAACGTTTCTTAATTCTCGTGAGATCATATAAGGTAGACCATCAAACTTACAGGGGCACTCAGACTTTGTGCCGCAGCCTGGGAAAATCCAAGGCCTTCGTTCAAAATAATTGGTAAAAAATATACCGCGGAGTAGCTTTTCACCGGATTAGTAGTGAGTTCCCTCGGCTGGATGGTAAATCTGTCAGTTCGAACTTACTTAACTACTGTTGTCATGCAGAAATTCAGAGCGAACATCCAGCTTTTCCACTCCAGAGCATGACTTAGATACCTCTTAAGGATAAATGGTGTGACATGAGAATCACCGCGGTCTTTCTCAACCCGATCCATCATGATATCGATTTCTCCGTCGGTCAAAAACCAACGCGTTTGTTGTGCATCCTCAGGAAACCCAACGATAAAAAGCCACCCAATTAGTCCGATAACCACCGTCAAGATACCCTCTATAATGAAAATCCACCGCCAGCCGGCCATTCCAACGAGGCCATGCATTTGCTGTAGCTATATTGTCCACTCAGTTTTCATTAAACTTAATGGGGTGCGGTTCGTGCGGGGTCAATACACACTCCATAAGCGATAATCCCTCCGAGTCCACTCAACGCGCTACCAAGAAGGTAAAATATCGCAATTCGTTTTGCCGTTTCATGTCTTGTGTACCATGTGCTGATGAGGAAGATGCAGGTCGGGAAGAATCCGGCTTCAAGAAATCCTAGTGCGGCTCGCAGTCCAATATACGGCTGCCAGGTGTGCACAAGACCGAATCCAATCATAATAATGCCCCATGCAATTGTAATTGCACTAAGGAATACCCTTGGTCCAATCTTGCGGGCAACAACTGTCATGAGAGGCTGAAATACCGTATAGAAAGGGAAAAAAACAACAATCATGGTGGACTTCATCAGCCATATGTCACCTGGTTAGCTGGCTGTAGATAACTGAACGGATAGATCGTACATAATGAGTGCCAGAGAGATCGATGTCCTTCCCCATCCCAGCAACAACACTACAATAAGATGAATATGTTAGGCTCACGTCCTGTATTGTGATGTGGAATAGACATACGCATTGGCCAAGTTGGTTCGGTCGATTTGGCAGATAGTGTACATGATTGCAAGAACAACACACAGCCGAATATCAACTTTGCGTACAATTCTGTCCACTTCCGCTTGTTCATATGAAACTCCTGTTGATGGTAACAAGGATCCCCCTGTATCGCACATCTCTAGATGTTCTGCCGTTGCTAATGATTTTTCTGCGGAAGCTTGGATCTGCATAGTGGGCGGAAGGTTGTGAGCGATGTGGAACGATAGATTGTTTGAAATATAAGAGGACCGAAAGTGGCCACTCCAACTTGACTATATAGTTCTGTCGAACTGTGTTTGTAAGTAGTATTCATGAATTGTGAGAGATTGTGGACTTCCTAGCTATCGATCTGACGTCGCAATATCTATTTGATCCATGGATATCTTCCCCCGCATCCAGAAAGATGATCTCCGGTGAACTTCCGTCCCACCCCCACCGGAAACCCTCCAAAAACCGAGGCCGAGGATCCGCCTAGCTGAACCTTCTTTCGATTTGATCTGTTAATTGGGTAATGACACTCTAGTAGAGAAATTAGCGACTCTTTCCCCACAAAAGTATCTGGGGGCCACTTTAGCCCCGGGACGGATGTGGTGGTACCAAAGGCTAAGTCTGGCCAGAAAGGTCAATCCAAAATGACCAGACGGTGAGCGGTGGTGGGACGCAGCCGGGCAAGTGTGACAAAATACGCAGGCATCATGAACGGCCACATGCGCACAGCCCTTAAATAACACTGGCAGGTGTGAGTCCATGATTTGAACCATATTGAAATATCAGTGTTGATTATTTGTTAATCCACCTTGCTGCCACGATGCCGACCACAGCCGAGGATCATCAAAGCAAACATCCCGATCTGGAATGGCACCAGCTACCAACCCCAGAAGCTCACCCACGCTACACCTATCGTGGCTTTCAACCCGGCAGAAGCATTCTTACTACTGGACATTTTCGGTCTCCGGGTTGGCGTCCATTTACTGCAGATACCATCCTGGACAATGATGTCTCGATTCCGATGCGCGACGGAATCAAGCTCTACGCGGATATCTTTCGTCCTTGTTCATCCGAGGGTGGGAGGCAGACGGTCCCAGCAATCATTCCTTGGAGCCCATACGGCAAAACAGGAAACGGATGCCTTAATTACGACAACATCGCACCCTTTCGTGTCGGGTTGCACTTGAACCAAACCTCAGGTTATGAGAAGTTCGAGGGACCTGATCCTGCAGATTGGGTGCCTCGCGGATATGCGATCATCAATATCGATGCGAGAGGCGCCGGTGACTCGGAAGGGAACATGGTCTTCTGGGGCCAGCAAGAAGCGGAGGATATCTACGATGCAATCGACTGGATTAGCAAGCAAACCTGGTGCAACGGTTCTGTCGGTATGGCAGGGAATTCATAGTTAGCCATTGCCCAGATCAACTTTGCTTCTCATCTGGAGCATCCTGCACTAAAAGCGATAGCACCATGGGAAGGGAGGAATGATATGTATCGGGATTCTCTTGCAAGGGGGGGCAAGAAGCATAACGCGGGGTTCCAAAAGTTTATCCTGGCTGGATTTGCTGGGCGGAATTCTGTAGAGAATATGCCCCTGATGTTGGAGAAGAGACCACTGTTCGATGACTATTGGGAGAGCAAATATATGAACACTGAGAGAATCAGTATCCCAACCTATGTTGTTGCATCCTTTTCGTCTATGCTGCATAGCCGGGGCTCATTTGAGACTTTCCGTTCTGCTAGCTCCTGCCAAAAATGGCTGCGAGTTCACCCATACCAAGAGTGGTACGACTTCTACCGAGGGGAGATGGTTGATGACCTCCAAAGGTTCTTTGATAGATTCTTGAAAGAAGCTGAAAATGGCTGGGAAGTTGATACTCCCCCTGTTCGATTGTCCTTGTTGGGCTTCGAAGCAAGCGGTGGAATTACGAAGACCATTTGCGAACGACCGGAACTTGCATGGCCTCTGCCTCGACAAACACTGAAGAAGTTCCATTTGAATGCAGCGCAAATGGTGCTTCAACCCCAACAACCGCATGAAACATCATCTGTCTCATATGATAGCCAGGATCTGAAAGCTACTTCTGTGAGTTTCCCCATTCTATGAGAACGCCAGGGTCGCATGAGTCTATATCAATTCTGGCTTGGAGAGTATTCATCTTCTTAATTGGCTGGTGATATTTCATGCTGTGTTGACTTTGGGCTAACAGTAGTAGGATTTTAAAATATTCTTTGGAGAATACACCGAAATAGCAGGATACGCTAAATCTACACTATGGGTGTCCTGCAAAGATAAAAATGATCTTGACATCGCATTGCAAATTCGCAAGGTTTCCCGAGACGGCAAGCCTCTGGAGCACCTCAATTATCCATGCCCTGTTCCATGCGAACAAGTGCCAGACGTCAATACCGCCAAGTGCTTAGGACCACAAGGGTTTCTTCGTGCCTCGCATCGTATCACGAAAGACCCCGAAAGATCCACGGATCAGGAGGTATTTTATAGGCACGATAAACGCGAGTCAATTCCACCAGGCTCTATCGTCGAGCTCGAGATCACCCTTTGGCCTATCGGAATGGTATTTGCTCCTGGCGAAGGATTGATGTTGCGCGTTTCCGGTCATGATATGTGTTACCCGGAGACCGAGACGATTGGTATGGAGCCAGTTAGCAATGAGAATATAGGGGAGCATGTTATTCATACCGGAGGGAAGTACGAGTCGAATCTGATACTACCATTCATTTGAGCCTTTGCATACAACATGCCTAGTATTATGTTATAGGGGAATGTTTCAGTTGTGCTTTCCGTCAGTCGAATGCAAAGCAATTATCAGTTCTTTCTGATTCAGGTATAAATGCAACTGAGAGGAGTTTATCTAAAGCAAATATAATCTACACATGTAGAAGATAAGTCGATAAGTAGGCTTTTATTCAAAGGATAAAGAGAGTGATCACATCTGTACAATCTACTTCTCAACTTCGTAAGATGGCACTACCCCGAATATAAGCAGTTTAGTTTCACTTGCTATATCAACATAGAATTCTAATTAACTTATTTCAGTCATATGCACCAGGTTTAGTTATTGACTGAGTTCGGAGAGCAGCAGGTCTCATGATGGGTGTAAAGGTAGATCTCGGATATTTGCATGACTTTGTGATCAGGTTTTGCGGATGAGAAATGAACAATAAATATTGGATATGTGTATAAGATCGCCCCGATCATCTTCCAATCAGCGTAGTCACTGGATTACGATATTTTCTTGTCAAGGTTTCAAAACCTATCGACTGAGGCCTTGGTGGATTGTGGAAACGAAATACGGAGCGTAGAGTAAGGCCCTCTCTTAGTCGCCATACTATCTCTTATGAATATTGCCATTGGCTTGATCAGACTAATTTGAAAATTTGATCTCTTACAGTATTCGTGGAAATAGTAGAAACATCTTCAAATTGTGACGACACTGGCTGTTACATATTATCATTGAGCGACAAGCAGCTTCACATCAGTGACCAGTTGCGCCAAACCCTGGTTCAAACATTTGAGTCCATCACTGTTCTCATGAATCGCCTTGAAAAGGGGGTCCAACAGCGGTAGTTGGGGGTCTACTTCATAACATCGTTTAAAGTTCTTAGTGGCAGTAGGGCTGACGATATTGTTGAACACATTCAGCCTAGCATCAGACCATGCATCGAGAACCGATTCGGATGTTTGCCCTTTGAAAATCCCATCCAGTACGTCCGCCAAAGAATCAACATCCAAGATTCCTGTAGTCAGTCCAAGGCCTCCCCACGGCTGTTATAAAGCAGTTTCAAGTTAGCAAGGCTTCCATCGATCGTATTACGGGCAGTGGATAGATCAAACGCACATTGGTCAAATGAGCGGCATCTCCAACCAAGAGACATCGACCCTTCTTCATCGTCTCGCTGCTCCTCTGATGTATACGATACTGCTGCGCTCTCAGAAGCTGATACTTAAGGGGTCTTGGACCAGGGGTCAACTTGTCCAACTTCTGTTTCAAAGTCTTGTCAAACATGTCCGGGTGCGATTCCTCCTCTCTAATTATCAGAGTGCAACGCCAGAGAATTGGCCCCGGGCCAGAAGGCTTCTCAATGACAGAGAAAAATGCGAAATCAACCGGGTCAACATAATACAAGCTCGAAGGGCCATCTTTTGGTGGCGGAAGATTAATGAGCATGTCCACCGCAACCACAATTTGGTTCCAGGTAAATCCATTGAGATGTAATCCGAGCTGCTTTCGAATCACTGACTTGCCGCCATCGGCCCCCACGAGGAACGCCCCAGTGATCTCGGTCACGGAACCGACAGAGTTCACCACAGTGACCGTAGCGGAGGTCGAATTTTGCCGGAGCTCAACAGCAGTATGTCCCAAAAAGACAGCTGCCAAGTCTGAGGCGAGAATCTTAGGCATAATGATCTCACGAAATCGGTTTTGTGGAAGGGCAAGCATGCCATGGCCGACGTCACCATCCCTAAGGGGAGAGTTGATATAGGGATCCCACGTCGCGATCAAGTCCCCCCAAATCTTTTCGCTTCCACCCATCACATCATCACGAGGTAGCCTTCTCCAGGAGAACCCTCGCTTGATGAAGCCTTTTCCCTTCACATCCTCCCAGATTCCAGCTTTCTCGAGGGCGGCATGAGTGCAACCGGGATATCCCAAGGCACGGAAATGAGGCTGGATTTCTACCTCCTGCTCTATGAGAGCAACTCGAATACCCTGTCGTATAAGTCGTAAGGTAAGAAGACACCCTGAAGGACCGGCTCCGACGACAATGACTTCGGCTTCAAAAGCCATTGGGAATAGGTACTATTTGGGAGCAGAGTCAACGGTGGCACGGAATTCGCTTGAACTGAACAATGATAAATTTCTGAAATGTTGCGAGGGATGTATTGTGACTACATTTATGTCCTGAGGTCAATTTTGAAGATTTCCTGCCTATGTAGGTAACTTCAACGAATGGAATAACCCCGAAAGGGCGGCAGACTAGCGTTCCACCGCCACCGGGACCGTCAATCTAGCGCTTCGGATCAAGTGGGTCTTTAACTGTAAATAATTCTGGTAGATGGAAGCAATCATCGGATAGTGCGGGGATAATGAGGGGTATGGTAGCATGGAATCGGGTCCCACCACAACGGCGATTCGCAAGTAGACTGATTTATGCATTGCATTATCTTGATTGTGCTTCAATTCGCTCATGTTATTTACTGAAAGCCAAAGGACCATTTAAAATTGCACATCGTTCCCTCGGAAACATTCCTTGCTTTTCAATGTAACTACCATAAAAACCATTCATTGAATTGAAATTCCCGGGCCTACAGCATTAAAAATACATCGGCTTCCCTGGCACACCACAACCTACATTTTCAGCAACACTTCCTTCCACCCAAAAGTTCCACCATGGACCTTGAGAAACAGGCCTTAGCACGCGTTTTGATTACTGCCGTGATGCATCGCTATGCATCGCATGCACGTGATCGCGCCGACTGGAACGCCATTGCCAGCTGTTTTGAACCAGATGGAACTTACCGTTTATCGAACGGTCGTGAGATACTCCCAAGTCAAGCGAAAGAAGTCGTCCGGGGTAACGAGGCCAAATATATCCGTCACCATATCACAACGATCGATATTGTATTTGTCAATGAAGATGAAGCACACTCGAACGCCCAATTCTTTGCCACAACCGAACACAAATTTCTTGATCACTCGGGACACTGGAGGGACATATTTTGGAGACAGAAAGACGGGTCGTGGTTGATACATGATCGGACTATCGTGACCGAAAAACAAGATCCGGAGGGTTGGTCTGCCAAAGTGTGTGGGGAGGATGCCCTTCTCATGTCAAAGAGATGTAAATAAAGGCTTCTTTGGATTTATTTGGTTGAAACCACTTGGTTACTGAATAGAAACCGACATATTTTGTTAAATAATTGTCGAGCCCATGCATGTCAGTTAAATGAAGCTAAGATGACTTTCGACCTAGTCAGTAGATAGTGTCAACCTTGACTAGCCCATTCCTTAACCTTTTCATAATCGCCAGAAACCTCCGGATCAATAGTCACTCGTAATGTTGTAGAAAGGCGCGCCCACATGTAATAGAACCCCTGCGATGATGAGACACTTGAGGATCTGGAAAAAAAAGTAACAATTCCATGAGTCTTACTTGAGCTATAATTATCTCCACTAACTGCCTCTCGTCAAACCATTTGCTTGCTTCAAGGAAACTTTCATCCCGCGCCACTGGAGAATCAATAACTTCATCAAGAAAGGCGAGGAAAGCAATGTCTCTCTCATCCCACGCTTCGGGATTCTGAAGATCACGGTTTTGGAGAGCGTCAATTTGGCTTGCGGTGACACCCGCTTTTTTGGCGTCATTGATGTGTCGTACCCAGATATACTGGCATTCAAATTTAACACCACAAAAGAGTGAGAGGATCTCTCGCAGATTCACAGGAATAGACAACGAGCTAATACATGCGGTTCCGAGAGCCATCCCCGGACGAAGGGTTGCAGGAGAGTGTGCCCACATTCGCACCATATTCGCGGAGGGCAGCTCCGGCGGATGGTTTTCCGGTGAGGGATATGGCAGGCGTTCCGTATTCATTGCGAGAATTAAAGGGTACCTAGCAGAAATTCGTTCGAAGATAGGATTGTAATCCGAATTTTAGGAATATAAGACCTACTTATGCAAATTGATGAGGACACCGTGGATCGGATAAGAAGGGATCAACAACATGGAAATTTCGCTCTATAGTCAATAAAATTAGCAGAACAGACACAATGTAATGGGATTATAGGGTATGTGTTCCGCACATAGAACTCGATCGCGTTGAACATCGAATAGCCAGGGGATGTTAGCTAGGAAATGCTACAGCCTAATCGAGCAGGCCGGCAGGAAAGTAGTTAGAAGATGACTGGAAGAATATCGGCCCGTGCCCCAGTGGATTCAGCTGTCGGGAGTCCAAATGCCAAGTTTAGTATATGTAGATACGTAGATCCCTTCGTGGCCTAGCAGGGTCAGACAGTCTGAATCGACCCACTTCTAGGTCTAGCCAGGGATGGGGGGGCTATTCCTAACAAAGGGCGTGACCTAGACAACGCAGCTACGTTCGGATACCTTGATCACTATGGCTTACATGTATGGAGGAGCGGAGTAGACATTACTAAGCTGTGGAGCCTGAATCATTTGCATACTCGGAGTGTTCCCGAAGTATCCCAACTTCATTAGATTAGTTATTTTGGTGGTCGGATTCCCACTCCGTGTCGGATGACCGAGGACTACCTTTTGGAGCCTTTCAGCTGACGCGATTGACGACCAACGCTTCACCATAGAGGTCAAAGTCGTATCCATTCTCCTGGAGGTATGCCTTGAAGCGAGCATCCTCCGTCTCCAGTTCTCGGGACATATCGGGGATCAAAAACCAGGCGATCAAACCACCGACGACAGTGAAGGCAGCTCCGATGAGGAAAACGGCTTGTTGACCCTTCTCAGTCGACTCGAATGAGTTTTGAATCGGCGTGAAAACTTGGGTTCCGATCGAAGCTCCGGCCTTGCCCACTGCCGCTGCAAATCCCAAGAAGTGACCACGGAGCGGGGTAGGGAATGACTCCGCAGCGCACAGGAAAGTCGCAACTCCAGGACCCATCTCTCCAAGCGCTTGGAAGATGCCATACATGACCACAAACAAGGGGAAGACGCTCTGGATAGGATGCAGGGCACCACCCAGAATGAATCCCCAAATGGCCCAGAGCATGAACCCGAGAGTCATGGTCTGTTTGCGACCAATTCGGTCCATCAGCCAGCCACCAAGAAGACATCCAGGGAGGTAGAAGGAGTTGATGACGGTCTGAGGAATACACGAGAGCTTTAGCAAATGATTAAATTTTCAGAGTTGAAAGTCAACTTACTCCGTATCCAATGTTTTGAACAGTTGTGTTGTTGGGATTCAACTGTTCAACGATAGTTGAGGAGAACAGACCGAATGGATAAGTCACAAAATCGTAGCAGAACCAAGCCAGAGCTAGAACGGAATGAATGTCAGTCCCATGGTACTTGATTCCTTATAGTAGGTAGGCGAGACTCACAAGTACCAAGCATTGGCTTCCAATAACGGCGGAGTACCAGCCAGTAGGGATAATTCGACTTGATCGCGTGCTTGCGGTACTGAGTGGAATTGATCATACGAACGCGGAAGAAGCAAACGGCCACAGGTAGCTGTCGACAGATTAGCTTTGCACAATTCCTCTCTAGGCATCGAGAGATCTCGAGAAATCAACAGCACTTACAATAAAGCCCAGGCCAAAGCTGACCCTCCACACACCCTCCGAGTTCTGCTGGTGATAGCAGGCCAGCACAATCAAAGCGACCAAACCGGCGGCAACGAACCCCTGTTTTCTCATAAGTATATCTACAGATTTGTACGGTAAAAATATCACATACCAGATCCACCGCAAAGTCAGTGGTTACCGCGACAAGGAAACCTCTCCGCTGGCGTAGTTGCGCCGTCTCATCCGCAGCCTCTGTCGCACTGGTGGCGCAAACCGGGTATTCACCTCCAGCACCGAAGCCTGCAATACCACGAGCAACGATCATCATCCAGAACATTCTAAGGCAATTCCTCGTTAGCCTTGATTCATCCGTATCTGTTGCTTCCGCGACGATTTCACAAGTCCCTTACCCGAGTTGAGTATTGCCGTGTGCGGCGGTAGCCAACACTACACCCAGGACCAAGAAGGCAGTGGCCGTGATCACGCCGGTGCGACGACCAATCCGATCAATCAGGACACCAAAGAAGAGCATGCCAAAGATCTCGCCAATCAGATACGAGTTGGACAGACGGGCCTTGATGGTAGAAGACATGCCATCCTTGTACAGGACGGAGAAGAGTGGCTCCATGTAACCGATGATCTGAGCGTTGTAACCGTCGCTGAAGAGAGCCAGACCCGCGATGACCACGTTCAGAATGCCCGATCGTTTCTTGGGTTGGGTCTCCTCCAGAGCCCAGTCCTCATTCTGCTTCTGCTCCTTGGAGTCGTCCATCTTCATGACGGAGTCACTTGGGGATGCCTCCATTGTTGATTCAGCAAAGGCAAGCTATGCCTTTTTGGGGTGTCCGCAGGTGAAGAGATGCAAGGATGAGATCAAAGTCCTCAGTCAAACACGGCCGAGGCGAGCACCATTTGTATGTGCGACCTGTGGTGATTCAACCCGTTCTGATGTTGTGTTCAGATACTGCTGAATGTCTATCTCGGTTCGGGAGATCCAATGACAAGCTTCTCTGCAGGCACGAGATGCACGATAAGGACGGACGGTGGGAAGTCCGTAACGTCCAACAATCCACAGCAACGCGCTAATGAGGCAGGTCCAAGCTCCTGTGAGCGACATCCGAGGACCAACAGCAGCAAGTGACGGTCTCCAAGGGGAAGCACACAAGGAGTGGGGGAGACATGAGGGAGGATGAGGAGGACTGGAGAGATGGAGAGACTTTGGTGAGGGCCGAAGTTGGGTAACACTAGAGCACGTGGCCCAAAAGAAAGGAAGCGAAAGAACAACGGACCACACGGAGTGGAGGATTTCGGAGTACTACCGTGGCATATTATCCAACCTCTTCATCGCAGGAGTACAATCCATACTACTGCATGGAGAATGACTGGACGGTTTTCTCTGGAGGTTTGGATGTTTGGCATTTCGGAGGGTTCCGTGGTGGGGGTTCGGCCAGTTTATCGAAGCCAATCAAATCGAGTCGTTTGGCCCATGTGGGATGTGAGAAGCATTGCGATTGGTCTGAGTTACTTGACCTGGCTAACTGTTTACGGTAATTAGTTAACTAGTCTTAGACCCCTGGTGTAACTATGTAAATGTGTACGGAGTACGGAGTAAATGTTCAGGGACCACCACGAAACCACCCGATGGCGATCTTCTCTCACTCTCTACCCCGATTGGGTTTAGATCTCGGTGCGAAGCGCGAAGGTCTATTATGATCTCAGCTCTCAAGCTAAGAAACTGATGCTCCTCACCCTTGTCCTTGCCCAATCTATAAAACCACCAGCTGCATCATTCTCCAATCCAAAGTGCACGTTCCTTTCCTTTCTTTTTCTTCATCTTTCGGGATCTGAGACTGGCACTTGGATTCATCCCACGTGTCATTCATCTGAACAAGGACCAAGATGGATAACTACCACTATGCTCTAACCCCAGAGCAGCTGCAGAGTTTCCAAGAAAAAGGGTATCTGCTCGTCCGTGGCTTCTTCAACCCGGAAGAATTCAAGGTCCTCCAGCGATGGGCACAAGAAGTCTATGACCTGCCCCAGACCCCTGGTGTGCCATGGATGCCCTACGACGAAGTGAATGCTCAAGGTCAACGGGTTTTGTGTCGCACGGAGAACTTTGCCAACTCCCACGCGGGCTTTGACAGCTTCCTGCGGGGAGAGCGCGCCACCAGTGCCTTGCAACAACTGGCGGGGGAGAAGATGCTCCTGTTCAAGGAGAAGATTAATTACAAGCTTGCAGGAAGTGGTACGTCTCTACTAGCTTGATCAGCTTCTGCGCTTGCCATGACTTACCAACAGTCACTAGGTGGCTTTGATCCTCACATCGATGCAAATGCCTACACACACGTCAAGAACATCAAGCATCTGACCATTCTCGCCGCCGTGGATGATATGAACGCGGTGAATGGTGGCCTAGAAGTCGTCAATGGCAGCCACCGCATGCAAGTGCCTCTGGGTTCTGATCGCTGCATTGAGCCCGCATGGGTTAAGAGTCACGAATGGACACCTTGTGACTTGCAACCAGGTAAGAAATTCGGCCATATGTGCCATCGTACTCCATGCTGACTGGAGTGTTCAGGTGATATCTTGATTTTCGGATCATATCTGGCCCACCGCAGCGGACCCAACACCAGCTCCAACGACCGAAAAGCCATCTACGCTACATACAACTGCGCCGCAGAGGGGGATTTGCATGACGAGTACTATGCGGATCGCCAGAAACTGTGGCCCGCAACCCACATGCGAAAGGAGGGCGAGTCATATGAAGAAGGCCGAACGCGGTATGCTTTCGGTACTCCTATGCTCACGGTGGATGGAAAGAGCCCTGTGGTCACAGCCTAAAATTAGCACTGGATAGTAGTGAAGGGCATAATCAAAAAAAGAGAACGAAGAGCATGAGGCGGAGGACTCCACTTTGTAAAGTAATAGGCCGGGGGTCATTAATTTGTGACTCTAAAATGGCATCATAATAAGGTCAAATTCACTCGGCCTATGGAGAAAGAAGAGTGTTATGAAGTTCCTGTACGGAGGCAAGTCTCGGAATATGCTGGGTACGGCCTATGACAGACTTTGTCGAGAAATGGGAGCTATCGCTCGCAAGGACCAGCTCAACGTCATACTAGTGGGACTTTGATTCCTATGGATCCTCCTGTGTCAGCGGAGAGGCCGAAGGGCAAATTTGGGAGTATAAAGGACCCCATTCCCCTCTCACCCTCCTCAAGAATTTCTACCACCTCCTTCCGTCCCTGGAATACCACAGCAAGACTGTCACCCGGTCTGTCTCATTTTAATCACCATGGAGCATAAGACACCAACTGAAAGAGCGAATGCTCTAGTCAGTGCTCTCGAAAAACATGGACAGGGCGATTATATCGGGGAATCGATCAACCAGCTCGAACACTCTTTGCAGGCCGCAGATCAGGCACGCAAGTCAGGTAGGCGCTCGGTGGGGATTTTTTGTCCGTACAATATCTCATCACTGGACATAGGAGCTCGAGATGAGCTGGTCATTGCTGCGCTGTTCCACGACATCGGTCAGATCATTCCGTTGGATTCCACGAAGGAGGTTCGCATGAACCTGCGGGGGAGCACAGAAAATGTCGGGCGAGTGGGTCATGAAGCCATCGGCGCTGCCTATCTCCAGTCCCTGGGATTCAGCGAGACAGTCTGTCGGTTGGTGAATAGCCATGTTGCAGCCAAAAGGTACTGTACCAATCTACCTGATCATGAGGATTCAGCACTAATTGAGGTTTCCTTTCAATAGGTATCTGACGGCAGTGAATCGTGGATATTATGATTCCTTGTCTTCTGCGTCCCAGAAATCTCTCGCTTTCCAGGGCGGTCCATTCCAGGGAGACGAGCTTCAGGCATTTGAACAGGATCCTCTTCGGGATGAGATGGTTTCTCTGCGATTGTGGGATGACACGGCCAAATTGGAAGAGGCGGAGACAACTACACCACGTGCAGGGACGTATGTCGATATCATCACTGCTCATCTTTCTCGGACACAGCTTCCGAGCCGCTCATGAGGATTGGGAGAAGTGGCCAGAACTTGAGACAGCTATGGTGTTACTGCCAGTTGATTGCTTCTACATATCACAAGAGTGTACAGTGGAATCCGCAAGCAATGAAATGAGCCAACAACCAAAAGGCTAAACGTCTATTCTTCATGTACTATTTTGAATTTTGAACGTTAACAACAATCCGTAGATCCAGGTGCGGAGCGGTCACTACTTCCATCAATCAACATCTAGCAAGTATCGAGCATGCTCGTCAGGGCGGATTTCTCAGCGGAGGTGATTGTGAGCTTGTAAACCGACTTGACCTTCACCCACATCTCAGCATATGTGCAGAAGTACGAGGCTATTCTCAGGTTAGCTAAATCTTCATGGCCGTGAGGGAAAGCGACACATACTAAGTGGAGGTTTCCATTCCTCGGGACCCTTATCACCCTTGGACTCGTTGACATTATCGGTCACGACCAGGAGTTGAGGATTGGTCAGGTCATTCGCAAAGGCTTGCCGAGCCGCGGTTGTCCATCCAGAAGCGCCCGACTATCAATCACATCAGTTCTCTTATTCTCACTCTCGCTGATTGAGGATATCCTTACCTTCCAAGCATTGGACAAGGGAACAAGGTGATCAATATCGACATCGCTCGAGGCAGTCCAGGTCGCACCGTCATATGGTGAGACCCATTTACCGCTAGTGATGGTACATCCACTCGAGCTTTGCACCACATTGGTCCCGTCACGCTTGAGCACTACTTCCCGGGTGTCGCAGCTCCTGCATGGACAATGAGCACGACATACAAGATGTGTGAGATTGGATTTGGATTCCGATTCACTTACCCAGATTGTGTGATCCAGTGGGGGAACTTGTCTCGAGAATACCCGTCTTGCGATCCTTGCGCGGCGACTGTCAGCGCAGCGAGCTCGCTCTTGGCAGTTGAGGCACTCGGCACACCAGGAGGGGATGGGGCCGGAAGTCCGGCGATCAGAGCAGGCTGCAATGCCAAAAGACCAATCAAGGTCTTTGTGACTTGAGAGAAGACCATTGTTGCGCGGCGATAGCTGGTAGATGGAGAGAATATGAAATTGAGATGAAGAGGAGTGACCAGTGCTTTTCCTGCCTCGACCAAGAATGCCAAAAGAAGCTTTCGGACTTGGGCGTCCAGCTTTTTATAATCCGCAAGGACATCTCGTATACAGGCTGATATAAATTATGGCAGATCTCCGACGGCATCCCGCCTGCCAAGAGATTCCTGAATAGATGGTTGTTTTGTGTGTTGATGCACTGTAACCTCGGCTGGGCGCTGGTCTTGGCCTTTGGCTTGGCACTGCAGGCTAAGATCCCGTAGTGTCATCCATGCCCATTCCAGACATTGTGATTGGTGCTTGATGAGCTTGATCAACAGTCCTTGAATCAAGGGGAAGTCACCTGGGTGAATCGCGAGTCATGGGTGGCGGCATTTCTCTAAGAAATTCGCCCAGTCGCGGCACGAGATTAGACTAGCCATGACAGGTGCCCCGCTCGACGATAAGAACCCTATGATTCTCATGATTGACTTGCTATAGATTGCTGCAGTACTGATGCGGCTCTCTTCGCCTAATCACCCGACTGCCAGTAAACAGGAAGCATGTCAATCAGCCGTCTCATCGTCGGATTGTTAGTGGCTTTGCAAAATGCCAACGCTTTGGCTAAAAGCATCTCCCGGTCAGTGGAAGAGCGCAGATTCATCCCAATCGCCAGGAAAGGCCAACAATAGTAATCAGCATAGTAATCCTTTTTAGGCTGAAGACGCTGTATCATGCTCATCCCTTGATGAGTCAAGTCTTCAACACCCATCTCCACGGATACAAGATCCAGGCCTTTCATTCTTCGGAGTAAGATTCGACAGCCGAGGATATACAACTTGGGCCCAATCAAGGTCGACTCGTGTAGGGCTTGAGTTGAAGGGCGTGTACTTGTGGAGTTGAGTTCTTCGTTACTCGGCTGCGCGCTCGAATCAGGACTTGAAAGTTCCGCCGATGATGCTTCGAGGCGTTTGTCCCATCGACACAGGTCATTCTCCAGTCGCTGACACAACTGCATGCTGACTTGGTCGAAGTTTGAAGATTGGTACAATCGGTATACGGTGTATATGCATCGAAATAGCTGCGGCGGAAAACCAAGCACTGGGGAAGTTGGTTGAGAAAAGATATCCTCGTGAAAATGGTCACTGAGAGCTTCTTCCGCCATTGAAAGCGCTGACTCAATCTCATACTGGTATGCACTAGTGGTCGAGAGAGCGTGGTCATCAGGTCTAAGCTCGCCTTGAAAGGGAAGACTAGTCGTGACATGAAAGATGAACGATTCATGGACGAGTCGATACATGACTTGGCCTACTCCAGAATATTCCACGCTATCTTCATTTGTCTGAGAATGCAGTCGCATCAATTGGGCAGCCCCTGCAATGTGTATAGCGACTCCTGGTGATGGTTTCTGCTTGGTACGCTAGGAGTTGAGAGACGTGAGAAACACTTTTGCTTGCTCGAGATGGCGCTGGAGAGTATGGACTCACTTCGTAGATACATAACATCATGATACCCAGCATGGTCACAACCCACTGGTCTTTTAGAGCACCATCATCCAGAATCTTTCGAAGCCCAGTGACTGCGTGAGTATAATGATATCGAGCGAGTTCGTGATATTCGGGGTCATTGCTGGGGATCTCTGCACCACAGCAGGCAAGCAAAGCATGCATGCAGAATGGATGTTCAAAGGCTAACGCTAGTGACCGGCGATTCAATTCATCACGCATCTGGCCATCTGCCGTAGGGCGAATAAGTTGGGGAATAAATCTGGATATTAGAAATTGGAAGAGAGGTCTGCTTCGTTTGTGATTCGCCGGCGAAGGAGGGAGATCTATCTGTAGCGATAGCCCATGAAGGCTTTCCGTGGGGGGTACAAGCATCCAATTTTGTGGTAAATTCCCACTGTCTGTCTCGGATAATTCCACGTCGAACGGCAGAGCACCAGGCCTTTCATTGTCGCTCACTACCATCGATAATTGGGTGAGTGAATGATCTGAGTCATGCCGCTGGATATGTTGCTTTTCGTCTAAAGCAATCTCTGCGGGAGAACAACTGCTGCGGACACTGTCGCTAGTAGAGGGGGATCGAGCCTCAGCTTGCCGGCGGATGATGCCCTCGTATTGCCAGACGCATTCCAAATTTAGCTTTGCACAGTTCAAGCACTGAGTACGGCATTCATCACATTTTTTCTTCCTGTTTCGACCTAGGCTCATGTCAGAAAATGTATAGATTGATAGCGGGTCCTAGAGCTCATGTGGATTCTTCCCCAGCGGAGACTGGACCGGCTTACATGTTAAACAGCCGGTTTTGGTGCGTAGATGGGCGGGCCGTCGCCGTGGTTGCCGATATTGTTTGCTCACAGAAGGCGAGGACTTTCTTCTTGTTATTTTGGCTTCACTCTCCATGGCTCTGTCAAAGATAGCTATGGATAGCCATTGAGCTCACTGATAATGCTGAGATGAGTCAGGGGTCGCAAATATGAGGTAACCAGTCAGAGGTCATGATGCATGTTTATCATATGATCGTATCTCTTGAAAAGCCAGCATATTAGCTGATGGCCATACCTTAATTGATGAAGTCAGCCACAAAGACCATACTCCAATATCACGGTTGACTCTGGCTACGAAGGCGGCATCGCGCTCCTCGGGACGGCACGTGCTCGTGCTTCTTCCCCAGCTACGGTCCTGAAGCTACCCATGTGATGCGTATATTATATCACATTCGGCTGTTGACCTTATCTGCCTCGAATCAAAAAACACGAACTAAGACATGCAAATACCCCGGAAGCCGGACGGGCGTCAAAGCCCACTGTACCAGTGGTACAGGCCTCCTGAAGTCTAGTATTTTGGAAAATTAGATGGAGCGTATTACTAAAATGACAGAGCACTGCACTCATATTCATTGTTAAAAAAAGCATGATTTTTTTTTCATTAGGAACCCTATAGGCACAGAGTGCTGGCAGTCTTTGTTTGCACGACTCCAAACATGGTAAGGAGATCTTGATGGCCATATCAATAAGCTGTGGTAACTGGTTCGAACTCGAACAAGAGTATCAATCTTCACCCTCGATATGCACCGCGCTTTTGAAGCCTTTGCCTGACTCGCACGCCTTTTCCATTTCCATGTTGGTCGCAGCTGCAAAATCGTCGCCATAGAATAATGTGGTAATCCCCTCCAGTGGAATGTACCAAGTCTCAACATAGAAGTACCAAATCACGACGACTTCGACCGCCAAAAAGCAGCAGTAGAAGATATAATAGCGCCAGTGAATATTCTCAAGTACGATGGGGTTCACGTATTGGTTGAAAAACAGCGCGATGTACATGGCAAATTCCATGATTGTATATCCCTTGGCGCGCATGGAATATGGATGAATTTCGGTTGTGTAGCTTGCAATCAGACCCGACCTGAACGGCATTAGCAACCAAAGAACAGGCCAAGTTTATCGCATGAGCCACTAACTTCAGGTTATAGAACAGGTAATATATGAAGATCATCCCCAGGACGCCAGAACCGAGACTTGAGCTGGCTTGTGCGTCGTATCGCGCTGACAGAGCTGTCCAGATCACGAAAGCGACAAGCATTCCTGCCGAACTTACCAGCATGATGGGTCGCCTACCCCAGTTGTCGACAAAGAAGCTGAAGAAAACGCTGGTAACAAGATTGAATGAAGTCAATGCACCATTGATCAACAATTACTTGTTCGCATCCTTAATTCCGATGTTGTCCATGATAAGATTCAAGTAGTAAGAAACAAGACCATTCCCTGACCACTGGGCGAAAAGACCAAAAGATGCAATGATCAGGAGTCGTTTTCTGGTTCCCGCGGTACGCAAAAAGTCCACATATGAGCTTGAATGCTCCGAAATTCTCTCCATGGCGATCGCTGTGGTAATTTCTGTGAACTCTAACTGCACAACTTCGTCCGACTCGTCTCCTTCGGCGGGGTAGTGTGCCAGAATTTATAGACCCTTCTCTGGTTGGTCTTTGCAGACATAGTATCTTGGGCTTTCAGGAATCCACCAGACCACCGCAAGCATCAAATAGTAAAAAGACCTTAGATCAAACTGGGTGCTCTCCAGGACCATTCACTCTGCCAATTTTGTCAGTAGATATCCTTCGGGTATTTTCCACTGCCTTGAATACTCACTTCGATTTTCAGAGTTCCGTATATAGTCCAAGCTGCGATGAATGCGCCAGAATGATATGTCGCACCGGCAATTGTAACCAAAATTGCTCGGTCTTGAGCAAGTACGATCTCTGTAATGAGCAACGGAGCTGTACATATGACAATGATGTCGCTGAATTCGAGGATATACCGAGCACCTACGAACATGGAAAAGTTGATGGAGCCAGACTGCAGGGCAACACCAAGGAGCAAGAACATTGACCAAAGACGAGACATGGCTTTCGCCCGAAGCGATCCAGCAGGAAAGGGAGAATGACCAGTCCAGTCAATGCCCCGACACTCATGACGCAGTTAAACAAACCAAGTGTAGGTCCTTGAGGGTGATTAAAATAGTCCTGCCGGTAAGACAAAGTTTGCAAGCCGTTCCTACGCTAATCAGTAAACTAAACACATCTTGTTATATTGCGCTGGGCATGCATCATGGAGGTATCAAAGCCGTTAGCTGTGTTGGTCGCTATCAAGACTGCAATGTAGAAATATACGAGACGCATATTCGACCTCTTCCACCATTTCACTCTTGGAAACGTGCGCCCGGCCAAAAAATAACGGCCCTTTGGCGGTTTGACGGGCTTATTATTCTGGGTCATTGTTTATGGAACAGATTTTGGTGAATGGTGCTCGATGTACAAATCAGCAGGGCTGCTGTACTTGAAGTCACGAACGGCCCCGCCTACCCACAACCCTACGATATACATTCCCATCCAGTCAGTCTCCCTGCATCGCAATTTTCTTTCTTTTTTTTTTTTTGGTACAAAGGGAATAGTATGACCACGTCATACAGAGGCTGGATAGACGGACTTATCTGTGGTACCTCCTCTTTTACCCGATATAGCTGCATCAAGCGACAGTTAGTCTTTATTTTCGTTGGATAGAATCTCATACAGGTACAGACTCGTGACCGAACTGGCAAAATGCCCAGGGCCACATCATTTCAAATAGTGCTGCTTCTGCTTCTAGCAAATGGATCTACGATTCTCTTTCGCAACTACCTACATCTACTAGAACATAAGCTAGACGTTGAATTCGTACTATGGCTCCCGATCGCAATAATAATCCAATCATCCCAGGCTTTGCGCCTGACCCCTCAATCTGTCTGATAGGCGATACATATTTCCTAGTAAATTCTAGCCTTCATCTCTTCCCCGGTCTCTCAATCTACGCCTCGCCTAATTTAGTATCCTGGACTCATATCGGTATGTACCATGGCTCGGTATCTAGAAACGTGAAGGCGAACTAAACGATCATCTGTCTCACTTTTAGGAAATGCAATTAACCGACGATCTCAGCTCTCGCTATGCAGAGCAACCACTTGGGTCACTCCATGGGAAGAGGGTGCAATCATGGTCGCAACTGGCGGTTTATATGCCCCGACCATCCGTCACCACAACGGAGTGACCTATATCATTTGCACAACGTTATTCATTCCACTTCCAACAAGGTTGGCGACGAGCATGATGATCAGTTTATCATTCATACGACCGATATGCTGTCTGGAAATTGGACGGATCCAATCATGCTCCCATTCACGCCAGAAATTAATCCGTCCTTGTTATTCGATGACAACAAGGTTTACCTGCAACTGTGCAAAGTCGGGCCGAAGTTCCAATTCTTTAACTTCAAGATTGATATTGTCATTGGGAAGATGTTGGCTGAGCCTGATTTAATCTGGAATGGATGGGCAGGAGGCTTCACCGAAGGCCCGCATGTCTATAAAAATGACGGCTGGTATTATCTTTCTTGTGCAGAAGGAGGAACCTTTCGACATCATATGCTGAGTATGGCCCGGTCCAAGAGTATCTGGGGTCCATACGAGTCGTATGACAGAAATCCGCTGTACAGTGCAGATGGTACCGATGAATATGTTCAAAATACCGGACATGGTGATTTTTTCCAAAACAAACATGGGGAGTGGTGGGTGGTGATGCTTGGAGTGCGCATGGATGAGGGACGCTGCATTATGGGACGAGAGAGTTTCCTGGCTGCTGTCAAGTTGGCTTCCAACGAGTGGCCCAGCATCAATACTGTCGCTGCTCGCCGCGATTTGCAAGCTCTCCCAGGTCAAACTGCAGTCCTTCAGTTCGCTCTTCCTTCCACAAACTCGGCTGCATGGGTCTATTTGAGAGATCCAGTCCTGGAAGACTATCGTATCCAGGATAGACAGGTCACAATGCGAGCGCGTCCAGCTGGGCTTGACTCGATAGAGCAGGTTGTGAGCTTTGTCGGACAGCGACAACGGCGACTCATTGGAACAGCAGGAGTGACGCTACTTCGCCCTAAACCCAGCCAGACAAGTAAGTCATGATGGCCTCATTAGGGCTGGGTTGGCATTCTACAAGGATGAACACCGGTTCCTATGCATCGCGTATGACTTCGAAGCCAACCAGGTCGTCTTTGAAGGATACAATCCGGCCAGGTCCTACAGCGTGGAACAAACTCAATAGGTCAAGACGGATAACACGATTAAACTCCAGATCAGGTACACGGAACGGTCTCTCGGATTCTTTATTTACAATTCTGGAGGCCATTGGCAGTGTATGAAGGAGGTAGATACTCTTATGATGACTGATTTCGACTTTATCGGTCCGGTAATAGGAATATTCGCAGTCGGGAATGATGGAGAAGTCGAATTTACCGATTTTGAGATTGATGTTGTCATGAATAGTGGTGCAGAAGATCATACCAGTGGCGACGGTTTGGAGTGACAGAACCTGTCGATGTTTTCACCAACGTCTGTAAGATATCATAACCCAGAGGATATCGAGCATCTTGACAACCTCCCATATTCAGTCAGTCTTTCGGATAGCTTTCTGCTTTCCTCTCTTTAACAGCGCCTTCGCCGTCCTCCTCCAAAGCCCCCATGTCGACCATACCCTCCACCGGGTGGACCACCCCATCCTCCACCATAGCCACCTCCGCCATATCTTCCTCCATGGCCCATCCCAGGACCCATTCCGTAACCCATTCCACCGCCGTGGAAGTGTCGGCGAGGAGGGGGCCCCCAACCCCCGACCACTGCAACAGGCATTGGTCTCATGCGACTGTGACGTGGAAACGACATACAAAGGCCCATGATAATAGATTTTATTGGCGAGAAGAGAGGTTCTGAGAGGGTCTGAGTGTTTCACAAGAAAAAGTGATAGAACTTGATAGAGTAGAACTTTGAAGAGGAAATCAGTCCAAGTTACACATTCAAGGAATTGGCTAACAAGATACTTATAAGTTGTAGTTTGCTGGTCGTGTGCGTCATTCACTCCACGAGGAGTGCAGGCCCTGTTCCGCGGTTCACCTCGGGATGATGACTCCGCAATAGCACTGAGCCGCCAGGTCCTGCATAAGCCAACATGAAATTGCGTAGTCACAGAAAAAGGAAAGGTTGGAAAAGAATACCACGATTGTGAAACGATCCGATGGCCTTCAACCGCAAACAATAAAAAAGATAAGTTAGAAAAAAGCAGCCTCCGGAGCACTGCTTTCATCTAAGCCTCCAAGTATCCGGCTGGCCTAGACTACCGCTAGGACAAAGTCCCTTGGCGGGTTGAATGAGGAGGTCAAACGTCGAATCATAACCATTCCACGGGATAATTAATAGGAGGGAATTTAACCACCGAGAGTCTAGAGACGATAGGGTAATACTGAATCTCGCTGTATACTACTGACTCCTGGAAAATGACTGATATTACTGACAACTCCCTCAATGAGATCTGGTAGGTGACATAAACTTAACAACAACAGAATAAATGGTAAACCCAGGGTTTATGTTATCATTCGCATGAAATATCAACTCAGTAAAGGTACTTGAAATCCACCGCACCATCGCCCGTGCGAACCCGTCGTGTATCCTCCTTCTCACCATTCTCGATCTGCTCCTTGACCCGATTCTCACGACGCAGATAGAACCCAAGTCCCGCCACGGCGATCTGGGCTACCACCAGGACCCCTAGGGAGAAAGAATTTCCCAGCACGTATGGTGATTTGCGATAAATTTGTCCTGCCACAATTCCGGCACAATTGCCCATTGTCTGTTGTAATCCAATCTCCAGCGCTCGTCGATACTGAGGAGCGACATTCACGTTGATCCATGCGACATTCAATCCGACGCCGGTGTAAGTGGTGATTCCGATGAGGAAGGTTGCAAAGTATTGCACTGCCCTGTTGGATACAGCTAGCAGCAGGATGTAGCCGATGATACCGAAAATGTTTGTTGCGAAGATGAACTGGAGGCATTGTCAGCGTGAACCATAACAGATATCAAACAGGGATTGTACGTACCGACGCAAACTTGGAGTATCGATCGGCGCAGAATGCCACGGCAATAAAGACCGAAGCCGCCCATATGTACACAGGGACGGTCAATACGTTGCTCATCAAAGAGTTGTAGCCCATGCCTTTCAAAATTGTGGGTAAGAACGTGCTGAATCCATACAAGAGAATGTCCTGGCAGAATTGGATGAGTCCTGAGAAGTACAGCTTGGGGTCGCGCAATGCGATGCGCATCTCCTCCCAGCTGAACTTCTCGCTTCCCATGTACTTCCGCCGTTGCTCATTGCGTACGCGCATCATCCATTTCTCTTCATCGTTCAAGAAATAGGCTTCAGCAGGATCATTCGGCAGGCCAAACCAGATGAGAATCGCACAAAGGGCGCTGAAAATACCTTCGATGATGTAGACCCACCTATAAGGATATCAGTCAATGAAAAGCCATGGGATATCCTTCTGTTTACGACAAATACATACCTCCATCCAGCCTTGCCGGCAACGCCATCCATGTGAAGAATAGCATACGCTAGCAATCCACCAACCGCGCCCGAGATGGCCGCACAACTCAGCAGATACGAAACCCGCTTGGCTTGCTCCTCCCGGCGATAGACCATGGTCAAGTACAAGTTCAGGCAAGGGAATAGTCCGGCCTCGCAGGCGCCGAGAATCAGACGCGTAGCATACAGAGAGCCTACAGACTTGATGAAGCCCGTGAAGATCGTGGTCAAGGACCAGACAATACACAAGCCAGTCAGGATGTTCCGAGGAGTGAGCTTCTTCATCAAAACGGCCCAGGGCGATTCGAAGAGGACATAGGTGACGTAGAAGATGGAGACTGCTATGGAGAACTGGCTGGTGGAGGCGTGGATATCTTCCGGCATATTTGCAACCTTCACATTTCCTGCTGGGCTGTCAGCGTTCACATCTTTGTTATCTGAGATTGCCGGTGACTCGTACCGATATTGGAGCGATCGAGGAAGCAGGATAAGTAAGTGAGCATAATGATTGGGACAAAGGCCAAATCGAGCTTCATCAGGAGCTTTTGCTCCATTGCCGGGTCAAGCTCCACGTCAAGCGCCTCCCCTGTCGAAGTTTCATGGGTCATCTCATGGCCTTCTTCTTTCTGGACGGAGAGCCTCCGTTCCATGGCAACGGTGTCGTCGTGATTCGGGTTCACAGCCATCACGTTTTATGATCTGTCCAGGCGAGAGGACAATAGGATCGAGAAACGTGCAAGGATTATGTTGGGGGCAACCCTGGAATATTAAAAGGCGGCGAATGTCCGAAGGTTCGATGTTTTCCAGGAAAAATGGGTCTTCCTATCATGCAAATAATAACTTGCTTATACCATGCGAGATAAGTAAGTTTAGCGGGGAGCGGATCCTTTCCTATCAATGGCATTATAATGAAACTCTGTCTCCATATTCTCCAAGGTTACTCCACATGATAATTCTCGTCAGGGCACAGAGGTCGGATTGGCTGGGCCGATGAGGGACCATCGGCCCGATGATAGCGACACCCAGATATGCTGATAATAGTGGATACGAGGATGACACTTTGTCCACTGGTGACACGAGGCCAGAAAACAAACGCAACCGATCGGCAGGCTTTGCCACCGGCAACTCGCAGGTTCTTTACCGTCACCCGGGTTGTCGTGATAAACCCCTGCTGAGTGAGACGGGCTTGTCATCTGCATAACTTTACAAACGATGCAAGAATTAAGCAGCACACTGGTCGCTTATCCGGGCAATTTGTTTGGTTGCTTCTCCAGTAATCGGTTAACAAAGGACATCTGTGGAGGCTATCTGTGGAGGCTCGAGTTTCCCCAGACTCATCGGCAAGTGGATCCCGAAGATAAGAAGAACCAGTTTGGAGGAGATGCCAGACTCGTGGTACTCGGTAGCTGGTCTTACCCTTGGTGTGTTTACTACTGCTCCTACATAAGACTATCACTGTACATATCGAAGGGATCTTTAGCCTATAGCATAATTTATGACCGTAGCACCCTGGTTTAGTCGTTGATTCTGCGAACTCGCACCAAACACCTCTCGCTACTGGTCACTCTCAACTTTCTCTTTTTTCTAGTATCATTGTCTGAGAAATCACTCTACTCAATCATGGGCAGTGTCCATATTTCATCCCATGAAGCCCGCCTGGCATGTCGCCAGAATCAACTCACCAACACATCCGGACTGGCCCCAGGCTATCTACAAGCCAATCTGTTAATTCTACCAGCCCAACATGCAACAGACTTTCATGATCTCTGCCTTCGCAATCCCGTCTCCTGTCCATTATTAGGAAAGACGATGACACCCGGAGATCCAATTACCGTCCAACCTGCCGGTTGCATACAATCGCCAGACTTTGACATCCGCACGGATTTCCCCCAATATCGCATCTACCTGAAGGGGAAATACCTCGAGAGTCGAAAAGATCTCCTCGATGTATGGACCTCTAGTCACGTCGGCTTCTTGATCGGATGTTCTTTCTCCTTTGAAGATGCCTTGACCGCAGCTGGCTTACAACCACGCCATCAACGAACTGGCACAATTGTGGCGATGTATCGCTCCAACATTCCACTATTGCCCGCGGGAATTTTCACGGGTGGTCACTGCGTCGTTTCCATGCGCCCATATCGTCCTGAAGAGGTCGAACGGGTAAGAGAGGTAACAAGACCGTACTTGTCGACCCATGGCGAGCCGGTCGCCTGGGGATGGGAGGGAGCGAAGCAACTAGGTATCACCGAGATCAACAAACCGGACTTTGGGGAGCCACAGGTCTTCGAGAAAGGTGAAGTACCGGTCTTTTGGGTAAGCTACACTCTTTTCGCTTTGTGGTATTCTGAGTTATTTTCTGACACCTTGCCCTTAGGCCTGTGGCGTGACACCGCAGATGGCAGTAGAGGCTGCGGGTGATCGGATAAAGGGGCTGGTCTTCTCTCATGAGCCTGGCCATATGCTTGTGACGGACTGGACAGCGGCTAATCTGGACAAACTACGACCAGGAATCATCTAATGGGTTTAATCAAGAGAGATAGGGGAGAGGCTGCGAGCTCGTTGGGATGGCCAAGTTTATCATTCCAGTATATATGCGAGTGAACTTGAAATGACGATCACCTCTTCTAAAAGCAATCCTTCATCACACTAGACAACTCCTCCCCATAATCGAACATAAACGCACCATTTGGCATCTGCTGCCACGGGGCATCATCCGGTATGGGCCCAGGGCCAACGCCCATGATCTGGTCCTCAAGGCTACCCACAGCTTCAAACCACTCCATCAGCTCCTGCGTCATTTGCGCTCCGTCCAGAGGAGTTTGGCTCTGGGTACTAGAGCCAGCGGCTGGCACAGGGGACTCCTGTATTTGAGAAGGCCCAGAAGCACCAGGCTTAGCGACGACTGGGTCAGCACGTCGAAGCTTCTGGGCGCCCACCAGGCCCAACTGGGGCCCAAGTCTACGCAGGCTCCGAATTGACTTCCACAGACGCCGCGAGATGTAAGACTGGGTAGAAAACCCCTTCACAAGTTCCAAGGCCCAGTAGAATTCTTCCTTGCATGATCCACTGAATTGAGTCGGTGCCTGTGCGACCGCAAGGAACAAGACAGCCAGAGCAGACACCAAGAACCAATTGAAGGCCACCTGTTGAAGCTGGTAAATATCCGAAGTCTCATTCAGTCTCGTAATAAATCGAATAGTGTCCTTGGCGATTTCAACGACTGTCTCCGATTCACCGGGGTATCGGACGATGTGACCAGCTGTGTGAAGGACCGGCCGATAGATGAGCATGCGTAATTGGTTGGCTCGGAGATAGAGCAGTGCTCGTAGTCTGCGCAGGCTACGAGGGATATCGGTTGCAGCATTAGACTCAGGTGTACTGGGGTGATGCAGTCGTAGAGATTCCGGGATGGCGTGAGCCCAGCGCAATACTTGCCAATCCAAATAGTTCATTTCTTCCTTTTTGATTTCGTTTGTATTATTAAAGGCGGAAATGAATTTCCAGACCTTAGCAGCGATCCGACTATACCGAATCATGACGCGAAGATATGGCGTCTTTTCTTCTGGTTCTGGAAGCCACGGGTCAATATCTGTATCTTCCAGTGCGAACGGCATCCCGGTGCCAAAGCTCCAGCGCATGTCAAGAATATAAATTGACCAGAATAGTCGCAACACTCGATCTCTGCCTGCGGCCACGATTCCTGGTTGATTGAGTGTTTCTCGTCGGTGGAGGCCTTTCTCTAAGCACATGCGCTCCACGATTCCAATCGTCCGCCATGCCAAGGTTTCTTCGTCCATTTGGAAATAGAAGATGGACTGTCATGGAGTCAGCATACTGTTGCGCGAAATGAAACATCAAGGAGCACGTTGACTTACCACAAGTGTCAAGAAGATGATAGATTTGATCTCTGGTGGACCCCATACACAATTGTCCTGGACCTCGCGAACGCTGTCAAACAGGGCAATAGCTTGCTCACTGCGACCACTGGCCTCGGCCGTCAACGCGCATGCAAATACCAATCGAAGAATATAGACATCCTCTCGATCCAACGTGCTTTTCCCAGTTTCCGGTGTTTCAGGCTCGAGTGTGCGATCCATCAAGCCATAGAGAAGGTGCACCTGTTCCAAAAGCTCGGAAAGTTCCAGCACCGGGTACATGATCCCCATCTCTTCTTCATAGATTCGACATAGTCGCAGAGCTTCATTCTTCGGCAGCGCCCAGAGTGGGTCCACTGCATGACGAAGCTCCGAGTCTCGGTTCGGGGCACTTGGTGAAGCTAAAGGCGAAGGCTCCTGAGTCAAATCGCCTTCAGCTTCTTCTCCCGGATCATTTCGCTCCACGATGCCTCGCTGGAGCAAACTGGACTTGGCAAGATCGAAGCTGAATCCTGAGGTGGTCGGACCTTGAAAAGGGGCCTCTCTCGCGGTTGAGACGCGTCGCAAAGCACGCTGAGATGGCAAGAGTCCATATGACCCCGTCGCTGGCCCAACCACACTTGAACGGGTCCCGCCAACGGGCGGACTCTCATTGTGCGCCATTGACCGCACCGTCGCTGTTAGAGACATAATCTGATCTTGCATTGACCTGATCTGATCAAATAATCGCTCAAATTGTCTGAAAAATGTCAGTTGGTCGATTTCCGACCGTGAATTAGAAGATCGTGGGTAATTTCATACTCATTTTCACTCAGGCTGTCCCGTCGAGGATTCTCCACGTAGACACATTCGATCTGCTGTCGACCACATCGATGGCAGGGCGCTTGACCATTGCATTTAATTTTGCGACGCTTGCATTCATTGCTGTTTTCAGTGATTCAATGAGTCAATACTGACAACAATCCCGACCTCAACGATAGGAAACATACCAAGCTCGAGCGATATACTTGCGACGTTTCTTTCGTGGACGCTCCTCGAGGTGCTCCTCAATGTGCTCGTCATGTTGCTCATCTGCCGATGGGGGTTGCTCCCAAGTCTGGCCAGCCGATGTCTGCAGGAGATCCATCTCGGCAAACTAAGAGGGCAAAGGGATGTAGCATAGCCAGGGGGAAGAGAAGAGTTTAGGGTGTATCCGATGCGGAGGAAGAAGAGTCCAAAGTGCGGGGGATTCCGCGAGCGCCAGACTTGGCGACTGATCGAGTGGCGTTTCTCTCCACAATTTACCTTACACCGAATAATCAAAGTGCAGAGATTGGTTGAGTAAGCACCCAAAATAAGTGACATAAATCTTACATTAATATTTAAGGATTAGTGATATGAATTCTCAGGGAGCAAAAGGAAACGGAGAGAAAATAAGCTATTTTTCATTCGACTCATAAGCCTGGAGCATCGTATACATGCTACTGGAACTGATCTCCCTCCATTCTCAAATGGTTATATACAGGAAAGCAAGTCTCAATATTTTCCAAAATGCAGGTAGTCGTCAAAGCAAATCCGGAATCACAGATCCTTGGTCCGCTCATCGCTCTCGGCGATCCACTGCTCCAGCTTTTTAGGGTCCCGGGCCGTGAAGCCAACCTTGAAAGGCTTGGGTTCCGTTGTCAGAGCGGTGGGGATTGCGTTGCAGTCGATCGCGTCCAGAATCGGACGGTCACCAGCAGCCTTGGCGGGGTGCATCTTGAATGCAGTGATCAGGCGCAAGAACGCTGTGTAGAGTTCGCGGTTCGCCAGGTGCGAGCCAGCGCACATACGAGACCCAGCGCCATATCCGTAGTGGGGAGTACCAGATGCCTCGCCGAGCTCCAAGTAACGCTCAGGGATGAACTTTTCTGGCTGGTCGAAGTGGTCTGCGTCGTAGTCTGCGGCCCAGGCGTTCTGAGGCAATATTAGAAATCGCAGATTTGCGAGCCCACATGCAGGGTTGAACTTACCATGAAGAAAGTAGTGCCAGCTGGGATGGTGCTTCCATTCCACTCAATATCCTTGGTGCTTTCACGAGGCAAGCAGATTGGAATGACAGTCCAGAATCGGAGAGTTTCCTTGACCAAGGCCGTGACATAGGGAACCTTCTCCTCAACCAAGCATTTCTCCCAGGCGTCGCCATTGGGATATACTTGCATGATCTCATCGTATGCCTTCTTTTGAATGCGCTGGCCATCTTCCGAGGCTAAGTAAGCAATGCCCATAATCAGATTACCAGGGACGGTATCAAGACCGGCAGAAACCATGGTCAGGCAAATGGATTTCACCTCAGCTAACGACCACAGGTTAGTTTCCAGATTCCAAAAAGTAGCAATGTAAGGCAAATGATTTCAAGTTCCACTGTTTGACTTACCATCATTAAGCTTAGCTTCAGGATCCTTGATAATGTTACCCGTAATGCAAGGCTTGTCAGTACCCTTGGCAATGCGATCCTTCAAGATGTCCAGAAGATAGGTCAAATATTTATCACGTCGCACACGGAACTCCTCAGCCTCATTGTTCATCTTGGGAATGATCCGCAGCAGAGGAATGTAGTCCTGCCAGTTGTTCGAAGTACTGCGGAAGTTGGACACGCCACGCTCGACGTCGACAATCTCCTTTAGGAGCTGATCATCCACATTACCCTCGATACGGAAGCCATAGTTGAGGGTAAGACTTGTGTTGAGAGCGAACCGCTGGAAGTATGCAGTAGGGTTGATATCCACGCTGCCATTCTTGCTGTCCCGATAGAGTTCCTTGATACTGGAGTTGCTTTCAAGATCGATAATAGGCATGTATGACTGCGTAGCCGGGCGATTCAGAGCAGTCGCCGCCGCCTTACGACGTCGCTTGCAGGACTCGTCCCAAGGTGAGGTACCGATCGTGAACCCTTGCGAGCTTGAGACAACGCTGTGGAAGGTGTGGAAGGTTGGGCGGGAGATGAGGGCAGACTGGTCCTTGATCCATAGCTGTCGAACCGAGTCGAAGCTATTGGCAAATACGATGCGCTAGCAGGCAGTTAGTCAGTGATCTGGATTTTGCTACGATTTTTTTTCTTAATTGCGAGCCACCAACCTTGTTACCCATTCGCACCTGGAAGACGGGACCGTATTTCTTGGCCCATTTGGCCGTGACTTGGGCATGTTGGTCGCCTAATTGTAGCAGATTGCCAAAGAGAGGCACGCCAGGAATCTCCGGCAGGCCCTTGATCTTAGGAACATCCGTGCGGTTCAAGTAGCGAATGATGAAGTATACTACCGTGACAACGGCGATGGCGAGTGTTTGAACGGTCATGGCGGCCAGAGTATACACGAAGGAAAGGATCGATGTCGTCGCAGCAGAAGAGGGGCAGGTAGCTCTTTTATGACCGCACAGACTGGGCGGCGTCTTCCCGCTATGCACGTCTGGCTATCGCCGGCAAGAGTGACGATCAATTGCATCTCGTTGGATGCCCCGAGGACCAGTCAGAACACAGCGCAAATCAAAGAATCAACCATTGCTGGTCGCCCGCATTGGGGAGAGATCCACTGCGGAGGGACGGAATGGCCATTCCCGCCCCTTACAGCGTCAACTTGTCTACCTCCCAACTTGGGCTAAGGTTCCTCGCTAAGCTAATTGTCGGCCCACGGCAGGCAGGGACAGGCGAAAGAGCCGATCACCGAGTTCTGTGCCGGTCTCCATTATTAGTATTATTGCATAAGAAGGAAGTGAAGGTGGAATCTGTGGGGGATGCGGGGGATGCGGAATTTTCATTCCGCGCATCTCCAGTTCCAAGTTCCAACTCGGTCAACGCGGGGAACCATCCGAAGTTCCGATGGATTTGTGGAGCCACGTCGTGTTATTTATTCTAGATACCTAGGAAGTGAAATACTACTATGCCACTGACATTTACTCATGAGCCAGTTCATAAAAATGATAGCAATTCTATCGCAAACTGGTCGGTCTAAGTCTTGACAGCACACTCAAATCCCATGACTTATCTTCACTCGGTCTACGTAGAAGGTCTGCTAATAGGCAGTAGATTCTTCTACAAATTGAAGATATCTCTTTATAGCGGTCGGTTTCCTTGACAATTCGGTGTCTTCTGGGGTCTGTGAATGTTATGTCGAACTGAACAGTGCCATTTCTCCACTACTTGGTCTACGAGTCGGTGTCATTCAGCGGTCACCTGGTTGAATGGGTATTTTCCGTGCCAAGGAATGCCAATCATGGCTTTGCAAACTCTTATGAGATGCCTCTCATCAGTGATCTCATGAATAGTTACATAATAAAGTATATCAATTGGTTGTTTCGGTACTTGTTCACTAAATCGACTCTGACTCGACATTTTGCCTTCTATAACCTATGTCTATCGGCGACGTTTCAATGCTTGCTTCAACTGATCTAGAACCCCATTCTTGCCAGAGCCCTCTGGCAAAGGTAGGACCTCCGATGCAGGATATCCCATGGAGCAATTGATCTCTTCCGCAGTGATCAACAAATCCTCTGTCATTCCTCTCCGTCTTCGCCAATTGCGCTCCGTGTTTGTCACATATCCCGGGCGAGCCATGCCGCCGTAAAATTCCCTTGCCTCCTCCATGGTTCGCACCCGTAGGATGTCATATGTGCTGGCTTGGGTCATGGCCGCATCACGTTCTTGAGTCATTTGGCTCTCGACCACCTGCAAATTTACTGACATGGCGCGAAACCGTGGCCCAAACGTCGCTTCCTCCGCCGGAGTTACAAATATGGTGATGTGCTCTGGGGCCACGGGGTAGGCGAGAAGGTAATCCAGGGCATTGGCATCGATGCCGCTCGGAATAGGGCCAATGACAAATTTGTGGCCTTTTTCAATGGCTTGTTGGATGCGAGGGACATAATAGGTGTGAAAATAGACCCCGTTGGGACCACTGTTGATGGGACCAGAAATAAAGGCAATTTCTGGGCGTGTAACATGGTCGTTGCCAGCAGTACTTCCGACTGTGAGATTTGTTTCGGAAGCCATCAAAGAGACATTTGAATATGTCAACTAATCTGATGTGACACTCTTGAGTGATCTTCTTGGGTAGCTGGAATATGAAATAGGAGTAGCCCAGTTCATGATTGTTTTTTTAGGGGGGTGAGGCTCTTGAGCACAGCCCCGCTCTCTTTATCGGGTTACAGCAAGTACGTTGACTGTCTTCATGTAGAGACTCTCTGCATGTCTTTCTATGTCATTGACACTATGTACGATTTTGATTGGCTCAGTTGTATCATGATTTAATGCTCTAATAGACTAATTCACCGTGAGTAAATAGAGTACTGTGGTAGACTAGGTCTTGAACTGATCTTCGATATGCTTTCCGATTTCATGCCTGAGGTGTTTGTTCTGCCTGATTCCTCGGGCATCAAGGTACTCTCCGCGTCTTGCGAGTCTTTAAACGGTTTCAACTTTCGCGCAGTTCACATTCCTTCCTCCTATGAATTGAATCGGGTGTATACGACTTTGAAAAAGCGTTGGCGATCAGCATCATGTCCTCTCAACACTTTCTGCCACTCTCCTCGCCGCCCGAGTCACCACGACTGCTACCCCGACGACCCAGTCTGGATCCTGAGCGCGAGATCCTCTCGACTCGTGGCCAGCGCATTCTGTCCTTGTTGCCCAGTCGGCTGTCTAGCTCGGCCTTGCAAGACCTCGAACAGCATGCATCCGAGCCACCAACTTTCCTTCGGCGGGGGTCTCAACTAATTGGGCATAGTAATGCCCGATATGAATGGTACGTGTCATGACGATGATATCATCGCTCTCGGATGCAGATGATATGAATTGTTTACCATGCAACTATATGGAACCTTATCAAGCTCCCCTTTGGATGATTCTGTAGAAGATCACCAATGATAGGGAGACTACTTGAGTCTCTCCATTGGATCTAACCAATTCTAACAATGTTTTTCTGCCCTACAGGCAACGTTATTATCGACCACCAGATTCCTTAAAGGGTCTTCGCAAGCCAATGTATGTCTTTCTTTCTCTCTAGTTCCCAGCATCTCTCAGCCTTTATCATATCTCTAATATGCTTCAAGCCGACAGTATTATGAACGGAACAACGAGTTAATTTCCCAGTATCTCTACATCGATCGCCTGCTCGACTCGTCCCTTCCACATAATCTGATCGAAGACTATTCGGATTGCCACCATCACTTAGATGCCCATGCAAGCAATGGCCACCATCCATCCACCGATGCTGATGATACGGCCAAAATTACTGCCCAGGCGAATTCCCGAGCCACCAGGATTAAACGCACGCCTCACAATCTCTATCACATACCAGACGAGGCAGCACCATTGCTATCACCCACAGCCGAGGTAGAAGAAGAGCATTGTTCCCATCATAACATCCCCGACCCGGACTCCCATCAAGGCGTTTCCCCGGAAGCAGAAGAGCGTCTGGTCAACATTGCCATCCGCATCAACTTTGTCGCAAATGTCATCCTGCTCATCTCCAAGGTGGCCATCATGGTCCTGACCAGCTCCATGTCCGTGCTAGCAGGCCTCGTAGATGGCGTCCTTGATTTCCTCAGCACGGTCATCATCTGGGTGACCACCAGTTTGATCCGCCGACAAGACCGTCGACGGTTCCCAATCAGTCGTCGTCGTCTGGAGCCCTTGAGTGTGCTAGTCTTCTCCGTTATTATGGTCACGTCCTTCTTCCAAGTTGGACTGTCGTCCATTAACAAGCTGATGGGTGACGATCACACGCTGGTCGAATTGTCCATTCCCTCCATTGCGCTGATGGCGGGAACAGTGGTCATCAAATTACTGTGTTGGATCTGGTGTCGTCTCATTCCGAGTCCTAGTGTCCAGGTCCTTGCCCAAGATGCCATGACTGATGTTGTTTTCAACACCTTTAGCATCATCTTTCCATTGAGTATGTATCAATTAGCCCCTTGTCCATCCCTATGCAAAATCACCTCCGAACTAATATCAGCCCTCTTAGTTGGTTCTTTCGCTCGTCTCTGGTACCTCGATCCCCTGGGTGGTCTCCTCCTCTCGATCTACATCATGTGGAACTGGGGCCAGACAGCAGGCGAGTATATCCGACGACTCACGGGTGCAGCCGCCTCTGCTACAGACCACAGTATTCTGTTGTACATGACGATGCGCTTCTCTCGAGTGATCCAGAAAATCCAGGATCTTAAGGCGTACTATGCGGGCGATAAGTTGAATGTCGAGGTCGACTTGGTCGTGGACGAGCGAACCAGTCTACGCGACAGTCATGATGTTGGTGAGAGTCTGCAGTACATTCTGGAAAGTGTGCCGACCGTGGATCGGGCTTTTGTACATTTGGACTACGATCCATGGAACCTGCCCAGCCATATGAATCAATTGGATCGTTAAGTAGATAGGTAAGATTGGGATGCTATAAAGGTATTTACTCGGACAGTAGCTATGAGATACACATGAGACGACTACATTAGATTCACAGAAATAGAAAGCAAAATTATTCGAACACGGCATACATCAAGTCATTCATTTAGTTATACATATGGAACAATCACATACCCACACCGAGTTCATGAACAAATAGAAAAAGAAATAAAACAAAGGCTTTGAGAGGACTTGTACATGTCCATATGTACAGCTGACCCTGAAGACCAATGTATGGTTCATAGCCATGAGAGACCAGCTCGTCCAGCATTAAGAAATTAGCGAGGCGGCTGCGATGACGGATGTAATTGACCCGGTAGACCCCCTTGAGCCGAACCTTGGCTGTAGACACGGTGATGACCCGGTGTGTGAACGGGGTGTTCACCTGGGCCAGGTGGTCGTTGATGCAAAGGCGGCATTCCACTTGATGACGACGGCGGTGGCGGCGCGTAGCCCATGCCACCATGATGCATGGCCGATGGAGGTGTGTAGGACCGTCCGAGACTTGCTAGTGATGGCATCGAGCGACCCTGCGCCTGCGGAGGGGGAGTGTTGCGTCCATATTGTGAAGGGCCACCGGCCAAACCCACGGGGCTTGAGCGATGGGGCTGGTGAGATCCATTGACCAGGGTTTGGACGTGCTGCTGGTAGCTTTGATTGTGTTGCTGCGTAGCAGGGGTGGACGGCCCGGCAGGAGAGTACGAAGGCTGCGAACCAGGTTGGCGAGGCGCCATAGCAAAGAGATTGGCCGGTTGCTGAGCCGGTGTGGGTGGCTCGGGACGGGAGCCATAGACAGCACTGCTCGCTCGTGGAGGAGGCGATGCAGGTCGGTACGCTGAGGGCTGGGAGGGCATCTCACGGGCACCGGATGGGACACCATGTTGCGAGAAGACGCTAGGGTACCCAGATCGTTGAGAGCCAGCCGGTGGCGGAGTGGGAGCAGGAGATGGTACAGGCATGGCGTTCAATGGCCCAGCGTGTTGAGGTTGAGCGGATGCATAGTGTCCATAGGGACCTTGAGCAGCCAGTGACGAAACCGGACGACCACTTTGGGATGACTGAGGTGGAGGTGGCGGCTGAGCTTGTGCTGGTGGACCTGCTTGTTGCGCCCTAGGATCGAAGCGGGCCATCCAGTCATTGTTCGCCGGAGTCCCTGAGCTGCCCTGAGGTGGTCCATAGTTGCCATACTCCGGATAGCCACGGGACGGTGTCTGGTACGGGCTAGGCTGGCCGTAGCCGGAGGGTTTCTGCCCAGATCCTGGAAGACCTGTATCCTCAAGACGAGCTTGTTCGCCAGGTTGGTAGATAGACCTTGACGCAGACACAGAGCCAGGACCGTGACCAGGGCCAGATGGGACCTCACTGGCAAACCGCTTCCGTGGCTGAGGCTCTTCGGGCTCGTCATTGAGAATGCTCATAATGTTAGAACGTTTAGCAGGCACTTGCCGGGGAGTTGAGTCGGGGCCTGGTGTGGCGCTGGGACGCGGAGCATCTTTGACTGGTGAAAGACCCGGGCGAGGAGAGTGAGAAAGTCCAACTTGTTGTCCGGGTAGCGAGTAATAAGCCCTTTGTGCGAAATGATCGCGGTGAACAGAGGATATGTCGAGCTCCGGTCGTGAGAGTTGCGAGGGTGATCCTGGAGCCTGAGTAAGACTGGTATGGCGGGAATGAGACGGAGGTAGAAGAGATGGAGGCGGTTGTCCCGGCATGTAAGCCTGCGAGGTCATAGGATCCATTCGGGACAGCTCTTGGGGCATACCCGCTGCCCCTGTATGACGCGATGGCATCTGCATTTCTTGCGTACGCTGGCCGGTGGCTGGTAGAATCGCCGAATCCCGACGGTCATCAGTGAAGAATCCTAGGCGGGGACCTGGCACTCGAGAGGAGGGAGCCTGTGTTCGCATTGCCCGAGAAGGATCCTCACCGAGAGTAGCAGCAACTGACGGGGCAGTTGCGGCAGTGGAAGCTTGCGCAAGAGGCGCGTAACGACTAGCAGTCCGTTCGTTCTCAGGCATGGGCCGGCCGTGCAATTGCATGGGTTGAGGTGACATGGCAATTGGTTTGCCCCTTGGAGGGGAATCGTCCATCTTCTGTCTCAGGCATCAGCTCGCCATGAGGAGCAAGTGGGCGGGGAACAATGGCCGATGGAGTTGCTTCATAGCGGCGCTTTGGAGCAACGCTGGGGACTGGAAGTGGGCCAGTCGGCTCCCCGCGAGCTTTCTTTTCCTCTGCCATGAGCACGGTCTCTTCGAAATCTTTTTGTCCCGAGTCAAGACGTCGCTGGTAATAATTTTTCACCTGCACATGTTGATGTTAGCGCGATGAATAACCATAAAAGAACAGGAGTCAGCAATTCTTACCATGACCGTCGTCTTGGTCTTCATAAAATTCGAGATGCCCTCGAAGTCACGACCAAAGTGTGCCAGCAAACGTGGGAAATCACGTTGCTCTGGCACAGACCAGTAGCTGGTCGGCTGCAGAGACCCATAACCACTCTCGGAGGCTTTGGGTGTCGCCATGGCCGGTTCGGCTTCAGTGGATTCAAAGACATACATCCCCTCCTTCGCCTTTCCACGTCCGGCTCTGGGACGCGGGGCAGGTGGTGGAGCCTCTTTCTCCACAACTTCCTTCTCCTGTGGCAAGACGGCCTCGATCATTCCATCCACGCCCGCTTCCACCTTGGCGGCGGCCGCAGCAAGAGGAGGATTAATACCCTGAGCCTGAGGCGCCGGGCCCTGGGCTTTGGGATCCAGTTGGGCGGTTTTCCCACCACGTCGTTGAGTACGAGCACCGGCAGTACGTCCGCCACGCCGAACAACAGGTTTCTCTACGAGCTCACCATCTTTGGCGGCTTGGCCTCGGCGACCATTGGAGGCGGCGCCTTCAGCTTCATTTGAATCACCAAAGGTGGGTGCTGCCGCACGCCGTGGGCGTCCAGTGTCAGTGACAGCGGGAGGCTGATCTTCTTCACCGTCAAAGTCAGACTTGACAACTCCCAAATCGGCAATCAAAGCATTTGACTTGGGTCGAGAGGAGCGGGCCTTGCCTCTACCTCGTCGGCTCCAGCGCTTATTAAGCTTCGCCTTGTACTTGATTTCCTCCTTGGTGAGATAGTAGTGAATGATGCACTGCTTGAAATCACGACCAGGCAAGGACTCTGCAATCTTGCCCCATTTCTTCGGGTATGCCATGAAAGCATCTGTGAACAACTGATGCTCTTCTGGGGTGAAGTCATTGGGTGGTGGCAGAAAACCAAACACGTCCATTGCGTGGTTAGGGTCGATGGTGTTGTTGACATCCTTGTAGATGTTGACTTTCACCTCTCGCGGTTCCAGCATGTCCGGGATCACCGCTTCGCGGGCAAGATCGGGTCGAGCAGTCGCCATTTTGGTTCTTCGGCGTTCAAGCTCCTCCTGGGCCGAAATTTCAGATGCTTTCAATGCATTCAAGAAGTCAAGTTCACTGTTGCCTTTGTATCGCCGGCCTTCCCGACCTTCAGGAACGGCTGCCGGAGGAGTTGGGACAGGAGGTGCCGGAGGGGAGGCAGGACCGGGTGTCATGGGCTTCTTTTCCTTCAGACGATCCATTTCCCACACGGCCAATCGCCATTGTTTGTAATACGACATGTACTCTTCCCGAAGGACGGCATTCTTCTTCGCAACTTCCTTTTGCCGTCTGGAAAGCTCGCCCTGGATCATACCCTTGAGCCTTTCCTGGGTGGAATTGTTCTCGTGGCATACTTCCAGGTCAGAGATGGGAGTGGGGGGTCCCGAATGCAAGAATGGCAGACTCTCGACAGTAATGTCATCGTGGGCGTCGATCTGAGGAACGACTGTGAGGGGAACAGGCTCTGATTCACGTTCAAGAACTGTCGGGGCAAAAGAAACCACTTTCTCTTCCGTTGTGACGGTCAAGGGCTGTTCTTGCTCCTCCACTGATGGAATCGGCGCAGCGGGCTGTCGGACTTGCTCTTGATGAGCAATCTTACCAAGCATCTGAATTCTCAGCAAAAGAGAGACAATATTCGGGTCCTCCAAAGGTGAAGGGGGCAGTTCAGATCGAAGTGACTGCATGTCTCTTTCGAATGTCTGCTTTCGCTCTTCCAAATACTCCTTGGTGAACAGCGCTTTCTCTTCCTCCTCTTCTTCCTCGACCTCCATCTCCACGTCTGGCTTCTCCTCCTTCGCTGCTTCTGGTTCGTGGTCACCGTTGATCGGTTCAACATTACGAGGTTGTGTGGATTCTGCCGTCTCTACTTCTTCTTTGTCTGCCACGGGTGTGGCCTCTGCAAATGAGACAGGTTGTGGACTAGTTCTGATGGGAAGTTTCATGGACTCAGACGGGGGAGGGGTAGTCCTCATTGCCTCGGATGCAGCATCCTTGATAATCCTGGGCTCCTCTTCCGCAATTGTCGATACGGGCGGAGCCTCTTGATGGAGTTTGTCATCGGAAGCTATCTTCCCCTCGTGCTCCTCAGACTCTTTCTTTGGCGGCGCACTGGATACAGACGGAGCGCGACTAAAATTAGAACGGCCCCAGGCTTTAATCCCCTTATTACCACCACCACGCGGCGAGGAGCTTGGCCGCCGCTGATAAGCTCGTGGGCCAGTTGGAATGCTCGAGGGTTGCATGCGAGGGGAGATCGAAGGATCCCTGGAGAGCGCTCGAGGAGCAGGCGGGGGAATTCGAGCAAAGGTCGGGGAGGTGGTGACTACACTGGGCTTTCCGAGCGTGTATGGTTCACCATTTCCGGAAATCGAATCTCGTTTCGCCATTGCCGCGGGGGCGGTTGGCGGGGATCGGTCAGACAGGTGAGTGGACGCTCTTGCGGCGCGAGCCGCCTCTTCCTGGCGGTGATTGCCATCGAAAGAATGGACACGGGATTCGAGTGGTTGCAATGACTGGCTTCGTTCAGCTTTCGGGCCAGTGGGTGGTTGGAACGGTTGTCGGTCTTTTTTTGTATGGGGAGCTGGCTCATTGGACGTCCGATTTTCAGCGGGAGGTGCTTTAGCGGTAGGTACAGCCGGGATGGGTGCAGACACAGAGCCGAACGCAGGAACTTGGGGAGCAGATGGAGGAGGAGACTGCTGACCCAGAAGCCCTACATCCTTGGGAGGTTCGAATCGAACAGGAGCCGGGTCTGGTCGATCACTATCACGTCGAATATCCGTCGTTGAGGGACCGGAAATGATTGATGCTTTTCGGTGTGTTTGCTCGGTGGCGTCATGCTCAGACAACCGATCTGGTAGTGTCGGGCCTGGCACGGGGGTGACATGGGATGTGGAGGCGATAGTTGAGGCAATTGAGCCACGATTATCTGTTCGGCTGGGTGGACGATCGCGTTTCCAAGGCTCCACAGGTCGGTCTCGATCCTCACGATCTGGACGTCGAACTTCCCAGTCGTCCCTGCGCTCGAATCGATCACGCCGGTCCATTTCACGATCTCGGTCTCGATCCCGCACGGGTACAGCATCGCGATCCCGATCCCGGTCAAGCACGAGCCCGCGCTCGCGGTCAATGGGACGATCCCTATCCAGAAGATCTCGTTCACGGTCACGATCCAGGATAGAGGGTCGTCCACGACCCGGCCAGCCCATGCGACCATCACGAGACCGACTTCGACGGCGGAAAGGCTCACGACCACGTCCTCGGCCTCCTTCCCAGTCGCCTCGTCCACCACGGCCACGCATTGAGCCACCGCCATGAGGGTGGCCACCGGTTGAAGGGGGACCATCTGGGCCTCCAGAGGAAGCAGACAGGATACTGTCCCGAGAGTTACGTCGCATGCGCACCAGATCGAAATCGCGGCCAGGAGGATCTCTTAAATCACGAAAGTCGCGTGTGGGTGACCGGGAGCGACCTCGACCAAAACCTATGCGATCGTTCCGGTGATCGAACTCACGGTCTCGGCGACCTCCATATTCGCGATCGACATCGCGCCGGAAGGGTGGTCCATCGCGTGTGTCTCTGAAGTCGCGATCTCGAGGGTCGCGGTCTCGATCTCGGTCTCGAAAGTCACCGCCACGGCCATATCCTCGTCCACGACCTCCACCTCCACCTCCACCAAAGCGATCATTGCCCCCAAAGGAACCGCCTCGACCTGGGGAGTCGACGAGTGCGCGTGGACCACGGGGCGGTTCTCTGCCGAATGAAGGACTCCCGTCGTCGAGGCCACGCGGACCGCCGGGTTGGCGACGGTCCCCGAATCGTTGAGGGGAACGGTCGCGGGAGTTAAACCCGGACGAAGGGGGAAATCGAGACGACATTACCAGGTCATGCTCTGTGATGACCTGGGAGACTGAAGAGGTTGTGATCAGTTGCGAAAAGGGTGAATAGGGGATGTTGATGAACCGATAAGAGATGGAGATATCGGGTTTTCTTTCTTTGGGATCTTTGTTGCGGGTGTTTGAGAGTGTCTGAGGTTGGAAGGGTATCTTCAACTTTCCAACTTGCAGCCTCTTGAGAGCCGAACCAACGGAACGGGGGGCACACGTGATATGCCGCACGGGCCACGTGAAGATGGCCCGATCGGGAAGGGGGTTTAAAGATGGGCTTTTTTAAAGATTACAATCAGGAAGGTGGGATGGATGGACTGTTCAGATAAAAACTATCAACTTGGGATGATTGGGCCGAAACAGCCGGAATCTATACCGGCCACTACGTTACAAAGACGACAAGGAGAATCGAAGCTCCGAAGAACTGCAGAACTGAAGAATCGAAGATCGAATGTGGGAAAGGGACGAAGGCCCGTGCACGACGCCTGCACGGGGGTCTAGACAACTCCATCAGGAGTTTTAATGCTCCGAATCCAAGTGTCCCGGTAACGATTTTGAATTATTAGAGATGACATACTTGGGCTAATATTTCTATTCCCAATGAGAATGATACCGACGAGCATCTGCGGATGCTACAAGATACTACAGTGTGTAAATTGATCGCTACGCCACTTCTCCTGAAGGGCTTGGCAGGATCATGAGATTTCGAGGATCTGCAACCAGATGAAACGAGGTCCCAAAATTGGTCTTGCAGTCGTTGAACCTCCAGTAGTAGTTCTCTATAAACTTGAAACGGCTTACAAGTATTTAGATCTAGGAGACTTGATTCAATGTCCAAGAAACTGCCTCTTAACATCTGTTTAATGACTCTCGTGTGCCCCGTATGCAATTCCTGCCTGAGGTGTCCATATCGGTGCCTGGCGATGACGGGCTTTTCCCCGCCAAAAGGGAAAAAAGAAAAAAAAGTCGAATCTGCAAATAGACCCCGCTATACACACCTCGACCTCACGATAAACCCCGGCCTAATTTCAGCAACCTGGTCGACATTCGCATTGTATTTTAGTTTCACCATCTCTGTTCACTACCCTCCTTCTACCTTCTTCCACCTTCACACGGCACGATGAGCACTTCCGCGCCCCCCACCTCGGCGACCGACTCGGTGCTTGTCGCCTCGGGCCCCATGCCCGAGGGAGCACAGGAAGTGCGTGGTGTGGACTTTGATCAGTTCCAGGGCCGCGATATTACAGTGGCCGAGATGGTCGAGAACATGACTCATATGGGCTTCCAAGGCAGTGCGGTCGCTGAGGCCGCCCGCATCATCAACGAGATGGTAAGAGATGGATCCCTCCAAGCAGACCTTAAGAATGAACATGAAACAAGGATGAACATGAAATCTAATTTTCACTTGTCTTCAATAGCGAGCCTTCCGTCATCCTGAAACCGGCGAAAAGACCACCATTTTCCTGGGTTACACCTCCAACCTCATTTCCTCCGGTCTCCGCGACACGCTCCGGTACCTCGTCAAGCACAAGCATGTCTCGGCCATTGTGACGACAGCGGGTGGTGTGGAGGAAGATTTGATCAAATGCTTGGCTCCGACGTACATGGGCTCGTTCAGCACTCCAGGTGCTGGTCTACGCGCCAAGGGCTTGAATCGAATTGGCAATTTGCTAGTCCCGAACAATAACTACTGTGCCTTTGAGGACTGGGTGGTCCCCATTCTAGACCGGATGCTGGAGGAACAGGAGGCCGCCAAGATCAAGGCTCGGGAGACGGGTGATGAGGAGGACGAGCTTCACTGGACCCCGAGCCGCATCACCGAGCGATTGGGTCGGGAGATTGATAACGAAGACTCGGTACTCTACTGGGCTGCCCGCAACGGCATCCCGGTCTTCTGCCCCGCCTTGACGGATGGATCTCTGGGTGATATGCTCTACTTCCATACCTTCAAGTCTTCCCCACAACGGCTGCGTGTGGACATCGTGGATGATGTCCGCCGCATCAATACTATGGCCGTCCGCGCCGCCCGTGCCGGTATGATCATTCTCGGCGGCGGTGTGGTCAAGCACCATATTGCCAATGCCTGTTTGATGCGCAATGGTGCCGAGCATGCCGTCTACGTGAACACGGCGCAGGAGTTTGATGGTAGTGATGCCGGGGCTCGACCCGACGAGGCCGTGAGCTGGGGTAAGATCAAGGCCGATGCCAAAGCTGTCAAGGTCTATGCCGAAGCGACCGTGGCCTTCCCCCTCATCGTAGCTGCTTCCTTTGCGCGGGCGGAAACCCCCTCGCAGGCACTCTCGCAGAACCAAAAAGAAATTTGAGGCGGGGTGATTCATCATGTTGGGGGGGGGAAGCATCTCATGCATTACTGTATTCTGTCTTGACTGTCTCTCGAGACTACCACGCGCATGCAGGGTCCCGTGTCACCCGCCAATCATGAAGCAGAGGATGATTTCCCACGCGCTTGGACCAGTCAGTCTCGAAATCTGATGGATCTCAGCCAGTACGAGTGGTGGGGCATGGGATGCATGTTTTCCCATGTGTTCTGTCAGATGGAGGTGGCTTGGAGATACGACGGACACCTGCGGCTGTATTGTCGGTGAGCAAGTCCAGTGATCTGGCGGGCCAAAGCCTGAGTTCCGTGACACTCTCATTCTCTCCCCAACACTTTTTCTCGTACCCGTCTGGCCGTCTGCAAGGGTGACCCGGGCAGCTGGTGCCCGCAAGGTGGAAAGCCCGCGTGGCCGGTACTGAGTGCCGACCATTAGGCACTGGGAGTCCCGAGACTCTAGTCGGGTCCGGCGGCACATCGGCAGATTTTAGTAGTATTATTAGCAGAGCAGAATCAGCAGATGATTCAGCAATAATGTGTCCAGCGAATCCGATCAGTTGGGACCGATTGCATGAGCAGGGGGGAGATTCTGAGTGGCAACTTTGGGGCCACTTGGAAGGGGAGAAGAGGAGAAGAGGAGAAGAGAATGGCACTCGGCATCCGATCGGAGGTGGCAACAGAAGAAGAAGACGAACCGAAAAGGAAATATGCCAACTGGGCAATGTCAATTATGTTAATGAGAGCCGAAACAACGAGAATGTGCAGCCGGACCCAAGATGAGCAGAGACCAAGAGCCGATAACGAATTTTAATTGCCACTTGGATTTACAGGAACTGATGAGTTGCTTTTAAGGTTGGGATCCGTTGGCTGCCCCGAGGCCGAGTGGGTCTTCTTAGTCGGATCCACGGCCGATCGGAGGAGAAACTTGAGGGGATTCACCGCAGTTTTCAAATTCATTCCAATTGAACTTGTACGCTGAGTATTGACTATGGAACCTGGAGAACACTACTAGACAATAACTCCTACCATTTTCCTCTGTATGAATTACTAGGAAAGAGTATGATAGTACGTAGTCTACTTGACAGTATATACTGACTAGGCCACGAGGCACCCACTGTCGCGTGGATCGCCCGGTGACCAGACTGACTGCACGATTCATGGGGGAATGATTCTAAATGATTGAGGAATGGTATTCTATTCAATGTAGAAGGGAATAGTTCCAATTCTACTAGATAATTCTTCTTACTATTCAATAGATTCTGGCCTGAAAGTGGAGTCTCTTCCCCCCAGTGGAGCCCTTCTTCCAATTCCCCCCGGACTTCTTATCGGCTCTTTTTTTTCTTCTCCTAAACTCTTTTGCCTCTTTTCCTTTTTCTTTCCTCTTTCATCCTCTTGCTCTCTCTGTCTCTCTCTCCCACTCTATACTTTCTTTTTTTTTCCCTCCCTTCCCCTCCTCCTCCTCCATACCCACACACTCTCTCTTTCACCCTCGAGACCTCTTCTATATACCCTCTTGTATACTCTCTCGACGGGTCAGTGCCTTGCCGATAAGCCAGGATAAGGCTTATCTCTCTCCACATTCGCTCCCAACGGTGTTGAAAATTCCAAGTATAGACCCTCCAGCCAGCAATTGGGCACGCAGTCTGCACTCAGGTCGGCCTTTTCCAGCCTGAACAGTCTCTGCATTCATTCCTTTTCGTTCGTGGTCCGCCGTTTTCGCCAGCTCGGCCTCCTTTAACCATGGCTTCCCCACGGGATGACCTGACGAGCCCTCCGACCTCGGTTCTCGCCGTCCCAGAGATCAGTCAGGTTCAGGAGTCCGATATCACACCATCAACTCCTTCAGAGACCTCACTATCCGCCAGTACATCCCCAGACGAGCTCATCTCCTCCGTCGAGCAGCCAGAGATGCCCTCTGAGTCACAACCTCGGGCGCCCACTCCACCCCCCACCGAACCCGTCGGATCACCAGCCGAGGAGGTGGAACATGCCTATTGGGCCGAATTTGAGGAAGACTCCTCAACTCCAGATGGCGACGAAATGAAAGAGATCAATGGCTCCGATCAAGACTATAGTGCCTGCGACCGTAGGTTTCATCCCAAGACGAAGGGGAGGTGAGATATATGAGACGGGGACTTACTAACGATTCACCAGATACATACTGGGAGAGCAACTTCTTCCGGGATTTGGATGATCCCGAATACGTGCCTATGGAAAAGGCTCGTCTGACATGGAAGTTCAAGGGTGTCCGAGGTACTCCCGATGCGCCCAACCGCGCCAAGGTCATGCGCTCCCCAGCAGCCTACATTGGTGGTTACTGGTGGCGCATCAAGTTCTACCCTCGGGGAAACAATGTCGGTTCGCTGAGCATCTATGTGGAATGCTCGTCAACCATGCCCACCCCCGATGAGGCCCTTCCCGAGACCGAATTCACGGTCCGTCGAGGCCGGGCAGATGCGAAACTCGACGAGACTGCCCCCGACTTGGATGTGAAGACTCCAGCGACCAGCCAACCGACAGCGTGGATGGAAGATTACAAGACAAAGTACACGACGATCTCCCCGTCCACTACGTCTGAGGCCACCGATGGGCCTTGGCGGGTGGCTGCACAGATCGGTGTGATTGTATATAACCCCGAGGAGCCTCGGACCGGATGGATGCAATCCTCCTGCCACCAGTTCAATCCCCACAATTTGGACTGGGGATGGACCTACTTCCATGGTCCGTGGGATCAGATTCATACTCGTCGACGTGGCCAGCATCGGGCATTGTTGAACAACGACACGCTTGCCTTTGATGCGTATATCCGAGTGATCGACGACCCGACACGGTCCCTGTGGTGGCACCCCAGCGACTCCGAGCCCACGTGGGACAGTCTCGCCCTGACTGGCTACCGTCCTCTGGGTGATTCGATCATCAACCACAGCGCCGAGGTAGCAGGTCTGGCATCGTGGCTGCACATTGCCCCCTTCTGCAAGATTATCCAGAGTGTCAATGTGCTTGAGCATCTCACCAACTGCGACGTCAAGCCTAAGCCTCTCTGTGATGCCTTGCAGAAGTTGCTGTGGCAGCTACGCTCTCGGTCTCAGTCTCTCCAGTATGTGGATACCGATGCCATCACCTCGACTCTGCGTAATCTGCGGGAGTTTTCGAGTGATGTCTCTGAGTTCTGGGAACGCCTGCGCCGCACCCTGGAGCTTGAGCTTGCTGGCACCGAGGCGGGTCGGGAGTTTGCCAGGCTGTTTGATAGCCCAGCACCAGTTTCACTTTCGGAGACAGTCGAAACTAGTGCGGTGAATACCTTACCGACTCAGTACAACTCCCGCATTTGCATTCGAGCCGATCAAGCACAGTCCACTGGCCAAGCTGTGAAGGAGTATCTTCAGGCCAAGCCTGGCCGGTGGTCGCTCCCTCCCCTGCTTCACATCGAACTTGGCCGTCATACTTTGGACAAGTCGATGCGTTGGCAACTGGCGTTCAACAAGGTCGACTTGGACGAGGAGTTGGATTTGGCACCTTTCGTGGTCGACGGCCAAGGTACCAAGTACGTCCTCTTTGGTTATGTGGTTCACCGTGGCCGCCGAACATCCGGCAAGTTCTTCAGCATTCTTCGCCCGGCTGGTCCTGGCACCAAATGGCTGGCGTTTGATGATGGCAGCGACAATCGTGTGGAGTGTTTAACTCAGAAGACTGCAATGGGCCCTCATCTCGGGCTCAAGTCATCTGAAACCGTAGACCATAAGAAGGGCCATGATGTTCCAGTCAACGTCATGTACGTCCGCGGCGACATGGTCTCGGAGTTGCTTCCCGGTCCTCAGGGGCCCTGGGATGTCCCCGAACCAGTCAAGCAGTACTATGAGACTGGAGTCTACCAGGTCAACGACGACGGGGCCAAAGCAGACGTCCAGGTTGAAGTTTATTCCATGTCCGAGTATGAAAACTTGAACAGCCTGTTTGATAGCTATGACCTGATGATGCATGCTAAGGCATCTAACGGTGTCATGTATATGACCCTGCCTCGTTCATCCCGTCTGGCTGAACTGCGGAAGAAGATTTCCATGTGGAAGTCTGCCGCGGGAGAGACAGTTGGCCCCGAGCGTGTCCGTCTCTGGCACATTGGGCAAACTCGGGCTCAATCCGGCTCCACTCTGGCGTTTGATCTGATCACTGATCTCAATGTCCCGTTGGATTCTTCCGGTGGCACCATGCGGTTCTGGATGGAGACCATCTCAGAGGGTAAGTCATTGAAAGAGCTCTTGCACAACACCGAAACATGATAAACTAACTCAAAATTCTAGATGATGCCAAATTCTTCGCCATCCCCGACCCCCTGTCCGCCACGGCCACTGAGGACAAAATGGAAGAGTCGATCATCGAACGGTCTGGTCTGGACACTCCGGAGCCATCACCCTCCATCATCGATGGAGATGCCGTCGCTAGCTCATCTGGATATATTGGCCCCAGTATCGCCACTGCTCGCATTGAACTGTCAAATACCGGTGGCGAAAACAGCCTCGAGCTGCCAGTGGCCAATGCGGCTCCAGAGACTGATGTCGTTGCTGCCCTTGGAAATGCTCCCTCAGTAGTAGAGCCCAGCTCGGCAGACCAGCGAACATCCGTCCCTTCAGACTTGTCTGGCTCTAGCTCGCAAGTTCTAACCGAGGCCCCCGTGGAGCCAGCGGTTGCTCTACCTGTTGGACACGCCTACTACTTCATTCAGGTCTTTGACCCAGACAACCAGATTCTCCGTACGGTGGGCTCTTTCTTCTCAAAGTTAGAGTCGAATGTCAAGGCCTCAATTCGGAAGCACATGAAGTGGCCCATTCGTCGGGACTTCCTCATGTGGAAGCGAGTTGATGGCACCACTGTGACCACTGTCTCTCCAGCGGAGAATTTCATGGATGTTGTGGTACCACACGGATCCTGCATCATTATCGGAGACAAGCTCAGCAAGGATAAGCGCTCTGAGCTTGGCCTCTCTGGTCTGTTCTCCAGCCCTGATCGCCTTATTCAATACTTGTGGGCCGAGTCTCGACAACATCCCATCCAAGGATTCACCGGTACACAAACTGTCGAAGCCACTTTCACTAGTGACTACTACAGCGGTGACTTCCTCAAGGGCTACTACCACGGACGTGGCAAGCACTTCTCCGGCACGGGCACCGTTTATGAAGGAGACTTCATCTTCGGCCGCCGCCACGGCCAAGGCAAGATGGAGTATCCAACCGGTGACACCTACGACGGCGACTGGGTCGAGGACGTCCGCCACGGTCAGGGTACTTATATCGAGAAGAAGACCGGCAACAAGTACGTTGGCGGTTACAAGGATGGCAAGCGCCACGGCAAGGGCATCAGCTACTGGGAAGTCGCCGATGAAGAGGCAGATCTTTGCCAGATCTGCTATTCAGAGGAACAGAATGCTGTGTTCTGCGACTGCGGACACGTCTGCTCCTGTGTGACTTGTGCCAAGCAGGTAGATCTCTGCCCGATCTGCCGTAAGAGCATTAAGAGCGTGATTAAGATTTATCGGACATAGGGTATAGACTGTTTATCCCAGTTCGAAGCATGTTGGAGTTTTTGAGCATTTGATGTGTGATGTTTTTATGGTTTTATACATACGCGTTGGCTGTTTGGTGCTTCTCTCATGGTTTGATATTCGTTTTGATTGGAGCTAGATGGTTTCATTCTTTGATTGACAGCGAACGGTGGGGTTGGACTGGACGGGTTAGTGGGATTTTTTCAGGTTTGGAGTTTTATTCTTTCCTCTTCCCTTTCTCGCTTTCGTTTATTTTTGGATTCTTTTTTGGATATAACTGCATGCCACCTAGCCTTGGAGCGTGGTGGAGATAGAACATTACATTACAACTTATAGAATTTCTGCTTGTTACTTTTTTTCCCATTTTGCCGAATTTGAAATTGAAACATGACATGATTGTAATATTGAAGATCTTTTGAAACAAATGAAACAAATCAAGAAAACAAGGTATATGTCCAATGCGCCAGGTCCACCCCACAAAGAAGATGCTTTTTGCCGTGCCAGAGACTATAGATACACAAAACAAAAGACGCTCAAGGGTCAGATCATTTGCTTGCCTTCTTGGCCGATTTCTTCTCCTTCTTGTCTCCCTTCTCCGCCTTTGTCACGGTCTTCTTCTCGCCCTTGCTCTGATTGGAGGACTTCTTGGTAGTCTTGGGCTTAGCAGTCTCGGTCTTGAGCTTAGCGGCTTCAGTCTTAGTTGCCTCGGGCTTGGTGGCCTCCTTCTTCTCCTTGGTCTTCTCCGGAGTGGACTCGGTCTTAGCCAAGGCAGTCTTAGACGAAGCCTCCTCCTTGGTCTTCTTGGGCTTGTTCAGGACACCCTTAGGGTTGAGACCCTTGCGACGCAGACGGTTACGCTCAGCACGAGCAATGCGCTCCTTATCGTCATCGCCATCCTCGAATGGACCGAAGGCACCGCCCTCAAAGTGCATAGCAGCACCGTCTTCATCGACAATAGGAGTCTTGTCATAGACTTCCTCGTCGTCGGTAGAAACCTTGGAGCTGGCACGGCGGGGGTGGCGATCAGCCGAAGAGGTAGTGTCGTCAGCAGGCTTGGCCACAGGAGTTGGGCCAGTCTTCTTCAACTTGCAGACGTAGAAACCATCAACGTTCTCGCGGTGAGGGAAGTAGCGGCGGGTCAAAGCCATCTTGGCATCGAACTTCTTGCCCATGTAGCTGATGAAGCCGGGGCTACCGAAATCACCGAGGCCAGTATCGACGATCTTGACGTTGGGCCGCTTGCGCAGGATATACTGCACGACAGCCTCGTTTTCCTCCACGGTGACACTGCAAGTGGAGTAGACCACGTAACCGCCGGTCTTGGACGAGTGGTCCACGGAGTCGATAGCGGCCAGAAGCAGCTGTCGTTGCATGTGGGGAATGCGGAGGAAATCGTTCTCATCCTTGGAGGTCTTAACACCGGCATCCTTAGAGATAACACCAGTACCGGTGCAAGGAGCGTCGAGGAGGACACGGTCGAAGCCACCCATGGCCTTAGGGAAAGCAGTACGGGCATCCATGTTGGTCACGATGGTGTTCTTGCAGCCGAGACGGTGAATGTTACCAATCAAACCCTTGGCACGGGGCTTGCTGGCATCGTTGGCGATCACACAACCAGTGTTGCGCATGAGAGCAGACATGTAGGTAGTCTTACCACCGGGGGCGGCGGCCATATCGAGAACACGCTCGCCGGGCTGAGGAGCCAGCGCCATGACGGGCAGGAAAGAAGATGCAGCTTGCAGAATGTAGTGACCGGCCAAGTACTCGGGGGTGGCACCAAGAGGCACGGGAGACTCGAAGACCTGCAGACCGACCTTGGACCACTTGCCAACGGGCTCGAGGACGACACCGCGGTTGATGAGGGCCTGAGCGAGAGAACGACGGTTGGTTCGCAAAGTATTGGTACGGATGACGACGGGGCGGGGTGTCTCGTTAGCTTCGAAGAAGGCGAATGCCTCCATGGGGGTGAAGAGGTTGAAAAGCTTCTCAGCCAGGTAGCGGGTGTAGCCGTAGTAGGTGCAGATATCGTTCAACAGGAGATCGACGTAGTCGGCGCGAGACTTATCGGCTTGTCCAAGGGTCTTCAGGTCGCCCAGAATACGGATGGTGTCTGTGATACGCTGGCGCAGGAGCTGCAAATCGGGAGCAAGTCCAGCAGGCTGGGTCTCGTCGGCGAAGACATCGGGGCGGTCACCGGCAATGTTGGTCTGCATAGCAGCCTCTTGCAATTCCTGCTCGGCCTCTTCCTCCTCAGCCTGTCTCTGGAGATCCAATTTCCGAGAAAGTCCCTCGATATTGGCGGCAGTCAGTCGTTCCTCGGCATCGGAAAGGTCTTCGTCGTCGGAGAACATGGCCTCACGGGGGTGATCCTCCTCGTCAGAATCAAGGACTGAATCATCCTCATCATCCTCCAGATCAGACAAGCGTTCGAGAGCCTCCTGACTATCCAATGATCCCTCGCTAACATCATCCAGGTCACCAAATTCGTCGTCCATCTCTTCATCTTCAGAGTCGGAGTCCATTGGCACAGGCTTCTTCTTCTCTGCGACAACCTTCTTCTTCTCCTTTCCAGTGCCATTCGCGGCCGCACTGTTCACCTTGGACTTCTTGGGAGCAACCTTCTTGGGAGCAACATCCTCCTCATCAGCATCAGATCTCCGACGCTTCTTAGCTGCGACAGCTTTGGGAGCCGACTCGGCCTCAGCGGCCTCAGCGGCCTTGCGCTTTTTCAGGATTGTAATCTTCGACTCATCCAGGGGGGCAGGAGGCCCCTGCTTCTTCATGCGACGTCCCTTTCCCATTGTGAATGATTGTGTTTGGTTGGTTGGTTTGCGGGTTCTTCCCAGCGACTTTTTTTTTAGGCTTTTTTTCTCGGCGGCGGTGGTGACGGGCAGTAACCACGGATGAGAAGGCGGTGAGTGAGTAACTAAGGTTGTGGATGTTGGTGCCTGAGTAAAGCCTTAATAGTCAGGCTGTCATTTGATGTCCCGCACTGGAGAGACCAACCTCAGCTTCACAGGATCCCCAGATCGTCCATCCACCTCCAAACTGTCGATTCCTGCAGGCTCTGCCTCTTAATCATTTTATTCCACTTCAATTAATCTGTCGCACATCATGTCTGAGCTCGCTTTCGCCAAATCCTTCCTCTCCTCGCTGGACTCACGTCCCATCAAGCTCCGTTCCGACCATGTCTTTGTCCCGGAACGAGTTGGCCTGCGTGTGCCGGTATGTCTACTATCTCCAATTTCGGATAACATACCAGAAGCTTTCAAAAGATTCATAACTAATCAAACCCCTCTTCTCAATAAACAGTACACCCTCCCCCGCTTACAAGCCCCGCACCCAGAGATGCCCAAGAAAACAAAGCAGGCCCAGGCACCCGGTGCTTCGAAATCGGTCAATATCAAAGTCAAGTCCGCCCGCAATCCGGCCCTCGAGTTCTCCATTACCAATGCGCCCGTCACAACCACCACCGTCCAAGATCTAAAAGATGCCGTCCGGGAACGTGTCACCGATGCACAAGGAAGCCCCGTAGCCCTGGACAAGATCAAGGTCCTATATCGCCGCAAGCCCGTACCGGGAACTGGCAAGACGGTGGCTGAGGTTTTGGCTGACGAACCCGAGATGCTGGCTGGGGGTAAAGAGGTCGAGTTTGGTGTAATGATTATCGGAGGTGCCAAGGCTATCGAGGCAGTAGAGTCCCAGCCAGAAGTCGCTCAGGAACAAGATGTACCAAAGCCAGCAGTGGGGCCCAGCGGTGCTGAGGTGTTGCAGACGGAGGCCTTCTGGGATGATTTGCAGGGATTCATGGAGCAACGGTTGAAGGATGCCGATGAGGCGAAGCGCTTAGCAGTGCTCTTCAAGGGTGCTTGGAGCTCAAGTCAATAGAGGGGCATATGAGGACATGTCTACACTGATTATGTTGCATATATTTAGTTAATGGCCATAGTTGTGGCCTTCTTAATACCCCGATGAATGGATGGAATTCCCCTGAGGAATCATGTGGCCTGATATCGTAAATTTGGAATGTGGATTTCAATGTTATACACACACAAATAGGCTCTCGGAGTGGATATCCACCCCAACAACCCAAGAAGCAGATCCAGAATGTCCAGTCATGGAGCCGCTGAAACAGCGACCAGAGGGTATGGAAATTTCATAGCGCAGGCGGAAATAGTGATCGAAAGATCAAACAAGGGAATCTGGTGAGAGGAGCAGGGCCATATCAAGTGGGACATTGGTCATGCACCGAAGCAAAGGGCAGGAGCGGAGCAGAGCTAGAGATGCACAGGGTAACATGGTCAGAAATGTACGCCAGGGAATCATCGCGAAGACGGCATATTATGAGTGTCAAGGGTCAGAAGTACACATGGAGAAGAAGAAGTAAGAAAAACCACATAGAAGAGTACCATATGCCAGCAGCTGGATGGGACACCATTGCAAATGCTCGAAGAAAACTGGTCCGGCCAATCGCTCATCCGGTTCATGAGATCATATCACGACAAGAAAAGACCGAAGAGATGCACACCAGAGAAGAAAAGCAAAGAGAATATGGAATCAGAAACAAGAGAGAATAGAAGGTTCATACAAGGCTGTCATCTCGTCGTCTGGTCTTCGATTATCTGGAGAAGACCTTTACCACACCGTCTCCGCCACCACTAACGACCAAGCGGCCGTCACGACTCCAGACAACCGCGCACACACCTTCTCCGCGCATCAACCGATGGCTGGTCAGCTCCTGTGTGCAGCTGCGCTTTTCAAGGTTCCAGAAACGCAGGCTTGCATCGTGGCCGGCAGAAACGAGCTCACGTCCATCCGGAGACAAAGACAGTGAGGCGATGGCGGCTGGATGGGCCAGCATTGTGTAAGTACATTGACCTAGAATAAAGAGTTAGTGGACTGGAATCAAGGGTCAATACTGTGGTTGATAACATACCGCTGTTGGCATCAAAGAAACGGATGTATCGATCTTCATAACCACTGATAATCACACCTTCCACGCTACTGGACCCAGTAGCTCCATGTACAACCTCTTCTTCGGCCATGGTGCGGCTGGGATCCAAGTTTGCAGACCCGTCAAATCCAACGGTTGTAGTAACCACTGAATTGACACCAGTTGATGGCGTGCCATCATATGTTTCCAGACTTGCCATGCCCACAATTTCCTCGCCGGTTCTCGTATCATACACAAGGATAGAGGCATCACTGTAAGACACAACAAAGTTCACACCAGCCAAAGATAACGGACTAATGCAGGTCGGAGAAGGAGAATCGCTGCGAATGATGTGATGGACAAGGGTATAATGGAAGGGGGTAGATGTGGCAACACTGGGCTGAGGAGATGATGGGAAGTTGGATCCAGAGGAGATTGAGTTTGCACGACGACTTCCACCTTGACGGCGCGAACCCGCCTGGGGGTTAGAGGCCAAAGGTGGAGGACTGACAGCCCAGACCAGGATACGGCCATCTGCAGCACCCGAGGCTAGCAAAATTCGGTCAGATCCTCCATAGTGACTACTCGAGTCCCCAAAGACAGAACCTGCCGTCCCCGGAAGCACGCAGAGCCCCCACACAGCATCAGTATGGCCGTCCAAGGTGGCTTTAGGATCGACCCGACCACGCTCCCAAACTCGGACACTAGCATCTTGTCCACCGGAGAAGACCCATCCATCGCCTAGAGCCCGGCCACCATTGGAGATATTCTGCGATGGCGAACAAGCTGCAAGCGAGGTAACTGCACCATTATGACCGCGGTGGGTGAAATAGCTGGTAATATCCAAATCACTGCTCGAGCTCGGCCCTTGAGCGTTAAAGTTCCCGTATGTTGCAGGAATAATCCAGCGTTTGATCGTTCCATCATCGCTGCATGTACAAATCTCGGGCTCAGCCGGGCTGCCACCACCAGTGAAAATCACTGAACGGATGACATCAAGGTGTCCACGCAGGGCGAATCGCACTTTGAAGCCGGGATCCTGCTGACCAGCGTTCGCGCCAAAGTCTCTGGCCTCAATGCTGCCGTCACTCTTGCGTCGAGAGCCGGAGCTCTTTCGTCGATGGGAAAGAGACCCGCCTCTTGATGGCGACTTGCCACGCACAAAATTGGCATTAGGGAATGCGTCCGTATCAGGCCGGTGAGGGGGGATGGACTCGGCGATCGGCGCCTTCTCCGCTGGCTCGTCGAAATTCCAGCCATCAACATCCTCGGTGCTCTGTTCGGTTGCATGGTGAGACTGCAGGTCCTCTTTGACTGCGACTGAAGGTCCTGGGGCATCGTGGGCTGACTGCTGTGTTCCCGTTGCGGCACGCTCATCCAGAAGTCCTTGTTCATAGGCCAGTTTCCGGTTATCAATCGCAGTTACAGGGGTTTGTTGTTGTTGCTGCTGCTGCTGCTCGACTTGACGCCGCTCAACAGCGAGGGGACCTTGGTTGTATTGATTTTGGGCACGAGATGGAGGCGCATTTTCAGAATATTGGTTGCCGGGTTGCTGATGATTAGCAAGCACCGCCTCCCGTGAGATCATGTGGTTGGCCTTCTGTCGTTGTTGCTGCAGAAATGCCTCCTCGAGGTTCTGCTGGGAGAGCTGTTGGTTCCCATAAAGATGGCCTGAGAGGTCTGGGTCGCTGAGATCAGGGACAGGATGTGATGTAGGGATGACATGGTAAGCGATTTCTTGTGCGCATTTCGACAAGTAAACTCGGGATTTGTCTCGCTCGTCTTCATTGGCTATTTCTTGCGATTCAGGGTTCGTGGGATCTTCTGGTTTCGCATCCGTGTTCGACTTGGAAGCAGAACGTTGCTCTTTAACAGAAATCAGTATGCCGACACGAATTGTAGAAATAAAAGTTTCGCTACTCACCCTTGAGGAAGTTGACGCTCTCGCGCGCAATGTCCTTCGGGTCTTGAAGACCCTCAACGGACTCATTGTTCGAGAGCATCTTGACCTTCTCCCTTTCTTTCTTCAGCGCAGCCTCCATCAACCGAACATGCTTTCCCAAGGATTCCTGCATGCGCTTGCTTGTACGGAGCTCCCCTTCCAACCGACCAATGCGAGACTTCATTTCCGCGCGTTCAATCTCCCATGCATTGCGGTCGCGTTCATGTCGGTGCCATTCGGTCTGTAGGAAGCGCATAACACCTAGATTGCATATGTCAATGAGAGACGGTGGGATATACGATACTGAGCCACACTTACCCTGCAGAGTATATTCCGTTCCCTGCGGGTGCCCGCCATTCGAGTCACCCATGCCTCCGGACATCCCTCCAAGGCTGGACATGGATGGGGATTGCCAAGCCATACAGTTCAAAGATTCAGGGTACAGCCAGGTCGACTTGAACCGTAGGAATCAGACCCGAGTGAAGCGATACTGCGATGGATTGAAAGCGACAACGGAGAGCAGCTCGTTCTCCTGACCCCGTGGTATCCGCACCGGAGTAAGCGAGATCAGGTTCCCCAGGGAGCGACAACAGCAGAGGAACCGGGTTCCACGCCGTGTCCACCAGTAAGATGGGGAGAAGAGCTCCGATAAGAGGAAAGACTAAAAAGTCACTGGTCAACTGCAGGATGTTCGAGTGCGTGCGCTCGTTTGTTATGGCCGAGTCTGGGTGGCTTTTCGGGGGCTTGACTGGGGGCTGACCGCCTGCTCTTTTCGGGAAGAATAGACCAAGCACCACGGCCAGGAAGAGGATGTGAACACAAGTAAAAGAAACAGGTATAGACAGAGAAATGAGAGAGTCAGGAAGAGAATGGAATTGACCGAATATGAGAGGAGATAATGGCAATATCCAGCAGTCAGCAATTGATTACTGGGGAGGAAGGGGAATTCGGGAGTGAAGTGAAGCTCATTTCCACCTCCAGCTTAGTGGAGGTGTCTTTGGCCTGATCTGTAAGGTGTCGACTCCAGCTCACGCCGGTCCTCCATTATTAAGAGCCTGTAGTATATTCATTCATTCTATCATAGAATCAACGGATTGATGGTTGCTTCCATTAGGGGATCATGGATTGGTGCATTCCGCCATAGATTCCCATTTGGAAGTGGCTGAAGAAGAGCCATGCGAAATCACTAGGCATTGAGGTGCCTGCAGCTGGTCGAAATATATAAGGCAGGGCTGATCGGGCCGTCGTCAATATGGACTCTACAATTTGGGCAATTACTAGATAATGTTGAATCTGGTCAATTGAACCAATTCAATGGTCCTGAAAGTTTTCTAACCAGGCAGAAATTTACAGGTATATACCTAGCATAGATGGGTCTCCAGTCGGCTTTATATCCTCACACTTGGGTGTCGGTACGTACGCCCTCCCATTTTATTGTATTACGCACCTACGGGCAGGCTGATTGTAGCCCTGTAATGGATATGTTGTGACAGGAAATCAGGTTGATGTGCTGGGGATGCAAGCATTATAGAAATTTCGTACTCATGGTCTCATAAATGATGATACAAATGGTGTAATATGGATGATGTACACTTAGAACTCCAATTCTTCCACCTCCATACCACAATCCACGCAGGTCTTCACCCCGATGCCTGTCTCTGGATTATCTACCGTTCGACCCCACTGATGCACATGTTTTCGATTGGTACTCAAGTCATCCCCAAAATCGCCACCTGCAGCGCCCTGCCGATTGCGCCGATAGGCTTCCACCCGAGTCCGCTTCTTCAGGTCATTCAGCTTCGTTTTGAACTTCGCTTCTCGACGTCGCTTCTTGTCAGTTTCACGGCGTTCAAACTCGGCATCTAATGCTTCGGAAGATCCCCATTTCTTGTCAGAGAATGCGTATTCTTCCACTTGGTAGCGGAGGTACAACATCATGCTGTTCCAGGTCGACTTGTGCGGATTGGGCTTCTCAAGATGAGGAAGGAGCTCTTCATCGCGGAGTTCGGCTGTTGACAAAAGGTCAGAACAGGGGCCTGATAGGAGACACTGAAAGGTATGGGTTCAAACTTACGGTCTGTGAGAAGATAATCCTCTCGCGCTTCAGTCTTGGTGAGAAGACTATATTTGTCGGGATACTTATCCTTGCAGGAGTGGCAGATCTGACACCGAAGCTGCTCCTCCCACTTCCAGTCAATCTCCAAACTACCGCATTCACGACAAGTCTTTTGCTTGCTTTTATCATCCAAGACACTCAATCCCGGCTCGAAAGGTCCCTCGCGATTTCGTCGCAGAGACTGGAGTAGTTGTTGGCGCTCCCATTCCCTTTGAGTCATGTTGGCAGGTTTCTGAGCCTCCTTATCATCGGGCACATGAAGGGCCTTATTGAATGGATCATCCTCCTGCGTCAAGAATCCACCCTTCGTATCCGTCATTTTGCTGAAATCGTACTCCACATATCGAGTGAAGTTGCGCGCGGGCTTGATCTCATCAAGCGGGCGATCCGATGAAAGGGCGGTCGTACGGGCATCTCGTACAGTGGAAGGAGGAGGATTGCTCGCGGTCATCGAGGCGTGAGAACGCTTAAGTCCTTGAGTGGGTTGAGAGGTGTTCGGGGATGTCCCTGCCGAGCGGGTCTTTGCAGCTAATTCGGCTTCGTGTTGCTCCCGAAGAGCTTTAGCTTTCATGCGATTCAGCTCCTAGAGAAAGCTGAAATTAGCATTGGGACCGATGTCAAAGGGAGTTCTCCAAACAAAACGTACCATCTTCCGCTTCTGTTCCGGTGTCAACGGCCCGCGAGGAAGCTGTCCAGGCCCGGCAGCATTCTGCCGGGGAGGGGTCGAAGGACGCTCTGCTGACATTCTGTCAAATAGGCGAGAACAGACTGAGAGAGGGTAGGTTTTGCCCACGAAGTAAGAGATGCGAAAGATACAAAGAGCCTCGTAGGCGGCAGTGTCTATCAGCACGTGACCAGGGCCCCTTGTCTTAAACACCCACGTCATTGAGAATTGAATCTCGATGCTCTTTTTGATAAATTGCAGCTATGAGTCCGCAGTATGAAAACCTGCCAAACCTGCGTCCTCATCGCGTTCTTGACCATACAGCACCTCACATACACCCCCAACCGGTATATCCATCACCGCATCAGTTCCCTCACTCCAGATCTCCCGCCAGTTGACCTTCCGATTCTGTGGACCCATCATTTGATACGAAGTCGCTCCGGGCTTCATTTTGGTAGACCCTCCAGGCCGTCGCCTTGCCTTGCCATCGATGACAGCTACGTTCGCCACCTCATCGACAATATTCTCGATACTGTTCATGGGCAGGGTCAGGTACCCTGTGTTATATGAAGCGAGAGCAACATAGATGTAGACAATGGACATGACCAGCCACGATGGAATGGCCAAGGACCACCAGCGGTTGGGGTAGTAGTAGATACCGAGTTGGTGGAGGAACGGAGATGGGAGATACGACCATAGGAGGTAGATCACTAGAAAGCGACAGGGGTCAGCGTGTCCATAGATGACATTGGCATGCATTGGAGAGATCAATGCCAGCGTGACAGAGACTCGAGACATACAGAATGCAAGAGAAGAAGCCAAGTACAGCACAAATCCGTAGTACTCATAGGTTGGAACCTTGGGGCTGGCGCGAGGGACAGTAGTAGCACGCCGGGCAGACTTGGCCACGGCAGCCTCAGTGTCATTGGGAGTTTCCACATCGGAGCTGTCTGGGGTAGTGGGGCGAGAAGTGGTAGTGGAAAATGGTGGTCGCAGAAGGGATGTTAGCGAAGGCGACGGTGGTAAAGGGGTTGGTGGGCGATTGTAAAAGGGAGGCGCAAAGGCATTAGGCCCATGGAGGGACCCAGAGGACTGTCGAAACGGGTGATGTCTCCCAATATCATCACCCGAGTCTTCTGACTCCGAGTCCGAGAAGGATTGTGGCTCTAGGGAATAGTGCGACTGGAAATCGGCATCGTCTTCGACCTCAATCTCGTCATAGCCAGGAGAGGTAACGCTCTCATCCTCGGCGTAGCTCTCTTGGACCTCCTCCGGCGATGCCAATTCGTCAAGCAACGGTGGAAAGGGTTGCTTGGGCTCAAATGGCGCCTCATACCCGCGCTGCTTCGCTGCTCGGTCGTCCATGGGGCCGATGACCGTTCCTTGTCGCAACGAAGGGAATGCGCCAATGGCTAGCAACAGCTTCAGGAGCTTCGAAGACACTTGTTGACGGCCCTCTTTTTCTGCCACTCCTTTTCTCACCGCTGAATAGTCCGCTCTGTTTTTAGTCCAACATCCACACGCTACAACAACAATACAACTAACGTGACACAATTTTTTCTCCAAATTTCTTTACCCCCTATCGTTTCTGCAGTTCTCACGATTTACTTATGAGGGACAGGTTTGGTAGACGTTTACCCGAGGAACATTAGACTCGCAACCAAACCTATGGAAATCTGGAGAAAGCTTGTTATGTACTCCGTAGTTGTGGTTTCATAGGTGTCTGATGATTTGTACTATGCGTAGGCCAATTATAGGCAACTCTGCTCATGGCTGTGACTGAACGGATTCCTCAGAACCCCATGGAGGGTATATTGTACATTTTCAACTTGGCAGAAACCGTCCGGATCATGCTTTGAATCTTCTTCGCAGAAGCAAACTTTCCACTGAAGACGTCCAATAGTTCCACAGCCAACTCAAGATCATCGATCGCTCGTGAGTGATCCAGCACCAAGGGTAGGTTCTCACTTTGAGCGGTAGATGTGTACATAAGTGACAATGCAGAATTGAATATGGCGACTAGATTAAGCCAATTATATGCAAACCGCCGTTGTCGGTGCAGATTGGTTGCTTGGCGAATTGCCATGCCCGATGCTTCGGCAAGAATCTTCATTCGCGCGGCGTCCAGCGTCGGGCTAAGCGGTGATGGGCGATAGAGCATGATAACGTGGGTATAATAGTTTAGGTCGAACCAGCTCGTACACAAATGGGGCACTTTCGATTGAAGGTCGGGTAGGGGGAATGGCATGCTGCGACGCCATTCAAGGAGTCTTCGGTGGAGCTTTTGGATGGTTTTCTCTCTGGCCTCTGGGGTTTGTCGCTGGCTGTATTTCGTCGAATGTACTTGACTGCCAATATCACTTGCAATCCTTCGAAGGGCTAGAATGTGAAGGGGAACTGCCATTGTCGACGCCTCCAGTGTCGATGAGGCAACTATACCGTCTGGCTGGATATTTGCGTCGTCGGCGTCGGCAAACGGCTAGTAAAGCAAGTTAGCATTGCATTATGTCAAAAATGCTAGATATGTTGATTCTGAATGGCATGACAAACCTCAACTGTTATATCATCGTCTTGAATAGCAAATGGTCTCCCCAAAGCTAGCGACACCACACTGGGAAATTGTTAGCTTATCAACAAGTCCGAAGGTTTAGTTTGAGATCAACAGGAGACTTACCGGTCCATCATATACAAAGAAAAGAAAAGTCGTTTCTGCTGTTCAGCATTGTCCAGCGCTAGAGTCTGATAGATGTCTGATGTGTGGAGTCCCATCCCTGTGGCCATGCGAGCCGCTACACCAACCAAGAACCAAGTGTCTGGCTTATCTTAGTGACTTGATCACAACTGAGAAATTTTGCGCAAAGGTTCAACACATACTGGGTCCAATTTTATTAAAGAACGAGTATGAAACCTGCAGCATCAATACCTCTAAGCCAGCCTGAGTTACATAATTAGCCTTGTCGATGATATGAGTGTGAAAGAGATAATCCTCACCAAGTCCCCGCATCCCATCGCGGCTTCAAAATAGGTCATAGCCTTATTAAAGAATTGTAAAGGTTCAGTCTCGTCCATAAGTGACACAGAGCAATAAGTTGTGGAACCGATCGCGAGAACCATCCAAATTCGGAACTGCCACAAAGGTGACTGAGCTAGGGGATCCAGGGGATCACCGTATACCCTCCATAGAACCGCTTCGAATTCGCTCTTTCGAATAAAGGGATAGAGAGTATGTGAGTGGGCGAAGTAAAACTCGAGTAAAGAACCGATGTGGGAGGGATCCAATAAGGCGAGGCCCATCGAGTCCTCAAATTCTGCAACCACTGGGTTGCTAAAGATCGAGTTCAGAGGAAGAGGGCCGGTCAACGAAGCATTCATCTCGAAAAATATGGAATCAGAATTGGAAAATGGATCAGGTTCAGGATCGGAATCACAGCTCTGCCGTTGATTATCTGTGACGCCCCCGTCAAACATGAATCCTTCTTGGTCAGGAGATAGTCGCTGGAGGACAGTTTGGGTTAATTTGGCAAAGGAGAGGCCGGACGAGGAGCCCAAATATCTCTCTGCTGCTGCCTCCAATGACAACAATCTCAGCTCGTCGGCCAGGTTTCCACTTCGCTGCCCGGAGATATTCAACAGGGGAGAAATAGGTTGTGAATCGGAGCGAGGCAATGGATGCTCTTTTGTCGGTGCAGGAGGTGATGTATTTGTTGTGAGGTTATCCAAATTCATCGCGTTCTCGTCTAGATGGATATCTGCATCCTGATCCCATGGGTAGGACGACGGATCGGTCTGGGAATTCTGAGGTGTGAGCGACGATGCAAGTTGTTCTTCCAGCTCTTTGACCCGTCTCTCTAAACCGCGCACATATCTATTTGCTGTTAGACATACTCCTTCTTTGATTGAGATCGAGGTTCCATACGCGACCGGATAGGAAGCCACCTGAGTTTCATCGTCCAGAAAACTACAGGAAACCTTGGCATGTTGACATGCTTGACACTGTGGTAGAGTCTTGTCACAGCGCTTCTTTCTTCGATGACAGCGTTTGCAGGAGCTTTCCGCCCGAGCAGCGGGTTCCGGCATCATTGTCGTCCAGCATGAAGCATCAAGTTGGGGACATATGAGTTGCACTGAGAGCGGGGGAAGGGAAGATAAGGTATCGATTATCGATGGGAGAGGGGAGTCCTCCCGAATGATTTACTTATCTCGCGTTATCTCTACTCTATTCTTCTGATTGTTTTCATTTACAATTATGATCATTACTTGGTATACTTCCATTCTCGTTGCCTTTCTTCTTGCATATCTAGATATTAGCCATCTAAATCGATACCTATTTTCTTCAATCTCCGCTAGTCTCCCAATATGTAGCGACGACCGTCTCCCCTTGTCGGCCCTGGTGAGTTGCCCGTGCGGGGAGACAAGGGCCAATCACCACCAATAAAAGACTGAGGATTGACGATAGCGGGGTCGTCTTGTGTCCGACATGTGGGGAAGTTGTCATCATGAGATTGGAGCCCTAAGTTAGATTACTTGTATTGTTGAACAAGTTCCATAAGAAAATTCAACGGCCTTCAGATATTCATGTTGAGTATGCTGGAGCCTAGTGCATTCTAAAGTCTGAGTTTAGAGACCATAGGGATTGTCTAGCCAGATATGCTCCTATTTCGTCTTATTTGAAAAGCTATCCCCCACTTATGTTCGTGGTTGTCTTCAGCCCAGCCAGACCTTCTCTTAGGGCTCGCGAGATAAAAGATTAATACAACTGTGGCCGCAAATGAGAACAACACAGAAAATTTGTTGCACGCAAAGATCTTCGGATAGGTTCTATATCATTAATTTTTCCTTATCTAACATTTATTGACTCCATATAGGTAGTACGCTGGACTCTATCGGCTCTGCCGCCCGCAGCTCTCCGCATCGGGGGGTCCGCCTCTCTGCTGTAGTATGGGTATGGACAGGATTGAATATAAGAGTGTAGCAAAGAAAGAAAATGAGTGCTATACAGATCGTTAGAATATTTGTCTTTAAGATTTCAAAATTACCAAATCATGTCAGCCAACGGCCAGTCCTTTCTCCTCGACCCTGAGAAGCCCGCGGGGCTTACCCGCTATTCGCACGCCCGTGTAGTCGCACCGTCTACCCATCACACAATTTATATCTCGGGCATTGCTGCCGTGACCCCCGAGGGCACATATGAAGGCGTCAAGGAAAATGCAGATGGATCTTTCACGATAGACGTACGAGAACAAACGGCGGCCGTCTTGCGCAGGATTGACAGCATCATCAAAGGGGCTTCCAATGGAAAGGCAGATCTCCACAATATCGTGGATTCGACCGTCTACATCCTGGATATGAAGACACAATATGCCGACATGAATGAGGAGTGGAACAAGATTTGGTCCGATCGTGTGAGCGCTCCAAGTCGAGCGACAATTGGGGTGAAAGAATTGCCCGATCCTCGTTTTGCGGTGGAAATCAAGGCAACGGCAATTTACAAGGTTGAGAGGTGAGGAAATGAATCGGCGTGAGGGGTAAAAAGTGGAGTCAAATACTCTGTACATATTACTTAAAGAGATCAATCATCCACTGAACAAAATATCTCCAAAATCCTACCCGTCGGGTCTTCCGAACACTCTAAAACATATCACCAACCACATAGGTCCATAGAGACATCAAAGTCTTTCCTCACATCTCATCAACCAGCTTGAACACCTCAAAACTTGACTGTTATACTTGAATTGCCTCTGAGCCGAATGTAGCCGAACTACATCGTCCACCATGCCGGTAGCCTACAATGATATCGGTGTCCAATACTTCGAGCTCATAGACTTTACATTCCAAAATGAAGTCACCCTTCCTACGGCGCGACTCGCCTATCGAGAGTTCAACCCTACCGCCCAGAAAGTCGCCTTGATTCCGACCTGTTTCCGCGGGAGGATAAACACGACTTTGAACTTTACCACAGGGGTTCTGCGCGACTATCGCGTTATTGTCGTGGCGTTATTCGGCAATGGCGAATCTTCGAGTCCTTCCAACACCGAGAATTTCCCATCGACCCTTGACTACCGAGACTGCGTTCGAGCTCAGCATGAGATGATCACTAAAAAGTTCAACCTCACCTCCATCGACGTGATTATTGGTTTCTCCATGGGTGGGCAGTGTACCTATCATTGGGCTGCCATGTATCCGGAAATGCTTCGCAATGCCGTGATTATCTGTTCGTCTGCAAAGACGAGTCTGCACAACTATCAATTCCTGGAAGGACCTAAAGCAGCTTTGTCTCATTCAATTGATTACAATGATGTTGCTATGAGATCCCAAGGAGGGACACCACTTCGCGGGCTACATGCCTTCAGTCGAGCGTACTCCGCCTGGCTGACCAGTGCGGAATGGTTTGAACAGCGCCTTTTCGAGAAATCAGGTTTCAAAAACCTTGAGAGTTGGAGCAAGGCAGGAGAGGAGGGCTATGAGGATTTCCATCCGGATAATCTCCTGATCATGCTGGGAATGTGGCAACGGTCTGATATTGGGCTTGCTGTAGGATCTGGTTCTACGGGGATTCCTATCGAACAAGCGCTCCAAAGTCTGAGTACGAGAATCCTCCTAATGCCCTGTCAGACGGATCAGTACTTCAAATGGGAATTCAACGAGAAAGACGCGTCGTATCTAAAGAACGGAGAACTGGCGGTTATCCCATCGATCTGGGGCCATATTGGTGGGGGTGGTGCCAATCCAGAGGACACTGAGTGGATGGATCGTAGAATTGCCAAGTTCCTAGAGAATAGCTCTTGAACTTGAGTCGTACCTTAAAGAGTATATTCAATGCCGCAAATCACTCACGACATATACGAAAACAATGGACTCATGTTTCAGGAAAGCACATCCCCTGCTATCTGGCGAAGAGCTAGTGAAATGACCATGGTTGTTTCTTTTAAGAGATATCAATGCTATAATTTTTCTTCACCCCCGCATCCTCTTACCACTCTATAAACTTGCTACTACCCCAAGCAATTCGTGGGGGGCCTTATCGTGAAGTGATATGTATTGGTCGGACAGTCCGACAGTCTTGCGATTCGCCTGATGAGGACCGATGAGGGGTCACTTCTTCGTCCGACGTGACATTATTTGAGAATAGGCAGACTGAACAGATAGAAAGATCGCGTCGCACCTTCGACAAATGTTATTTAATCCACAACATAAGACAGGCAAAAACTCAATTTGAGTGGTGCATATTGCGAGGACTAGATTTCAACGGACAGCCTTCGTCGACAAAAAAATGATCGATATGAGACTTGAGGAGCATTTAGCTCACTTGGGCGTTGTACCTAGAAGCTATACCCTGGTCGTTATACCGGTGCTTATTTATCTGATCTACAAGGTACGTTTATTGAACGTCTAGATGCTCTTGGATCATCACGTCTAACCTTGATAATGCTTAGTGGACGCTGGCGACCGATATACCTCACATCAAGGGCCTACCAGAGATTCCGGGAGCGGTTCCAGTTTTCGGGCATCTCCTACAACTCGGCGAAGATCACGCAACTGTTTGTGAGCGATGGTGGCGTGAATATGGCCACTCGGCCTTTCAAATCAAGCTTGGAAACACACGGGCTGTGGTGGTCAACTCTTTTGATGACTGCCGGAAAATGCTTCTTGGTCACCAGAATGCAATCATCGATCGCCCAAAGCTATACACCTTTCATGGAGTTGTGAGCAGCACCCAGGGATTCACCATCGGTTCATCGCCTTGGGATGAATCATGCAAGAAGAAACGCAAGGCCGCTGGTACGGCTCTGGGAAGACCTGCCCTCCGAAATTATCACCCGATGTTTGATCTGGAAAGTTACTGCATTGTCCGCGACATTCACCGCGACAGCCATAATGGCCAGATGGAAATCAACGTGCGACCATACATCCAACGATTCGCTCTGAATACAACCTTGACACTGTGTTACGGGATTCGCATGGATGCCGTATATGACGACCTCCTACGCGAGATTCTACACGTCGGCTCTGCCATTTCACTTCTACGAAGTGCTTCTGAGAATCTGCAGGATTATATTCCTATACTTCGATATCTTCCTAACAACGAAAAAACTGCCCGATCGAAAGAGCTGCGTGATCGTCGCGATGCGTATCTCAATCTTCTACTGGACAAGGTGCGGGCAATGATTAAGAAGGGCACCGATAAGCCTTGTATCTCTGCTGCAATTCTCAAGGACGAAGAAACAAAACTCACCGGAGTTGAAGTTTCCTCAATCTGCTTGTCGTTGGTTTCTGGGGGTTTCGAGACCATTCCTGGTACTTTGACCTCTTGTATTGGCTCTTTGTCCACTCCAGAGGGACAGGTTTGGCAGGATCGTGCTTACGAGGATATCAAACGCCATTATCCGGATATTCGCGAGGCTTGGACAAGCTCTATCTCAGAGGAGAAAGTTCCATACGTCAACGCCATCATCAAGGAAGCAGGCCGTTATTATACAGTCAGCGCCATGAGCCTACCGCGGAAAACCGTCACAGAAGTGAACTGGAACGGAGCAATCATCCCACCTAAGACGATGATTTTGATCAACGCTCAAGCGGGAAATCACGGTTAGCAGACTCCAATCAAATTCGCACTACAGTACTGACTCAGGTTTAGACGTGGATCATTTTGGCCCAGACGGTGGCAAGTTCGACCCCGAAAGGTGGCTCAAGTCCATCGACCCACCAGTCGAGACGGAGGGGAGTGGTTTGCCTCATCTGAGCTTTGGATCTGGATCCCGGGCATGTTCGGGTCAGTTTATTGCGTCACGGCTACTTTACAGTGCTCTGGTGCGTCTTATCTCCTCCTACAAGATCGTCGCCAGCGAGGAGAATCCGCCCAATACGGATTATGTGGAGTACAATCAGTTCAAAACTGCGCTTGTTGCTATTCCCAAGGACTTTAAGATCAGGTTGATCCCCAGAGATAATGCTATGACTAGTGAATGTTTGAATTTGGCGGAGCTTCGCACAAAGGAGCATTATAAGGAGTGAGGGGTGTTAGGGGTGGTAGATATGAGTCCAAATTATCCTTCAATTCTTGACCATGGCAGCATTCTTCGTGTGTTGGTGTTCCATAAGCCTTCGTCCACCCTCACTCTACCGCCTAGTCTTCCGCTCTCAGTCCGAGCTCTACTGGTCTCTAATGGACCATAGGAGAGACTTCATATTATTTCAAGATATCTTCCATTCAATTTGGGAATGAGAATCCATCTACCTGCTTGAAAACATAGATTATGAGCGGGTGAGGTAGGAAATGGAGATATTATTTGACCGGCATAATATTATGTCATCACCAGGTGGACGAAGACTTATGAAACACCACTGTACCTCCATCCATCGCATTAACAAATTCATTCTTTGTTGACTAGACAAAGCTTCGTATACGATATGCCTTACTCTGCTCAGATCGTGGTCAGAGATGTTAAATTTTATCTACTAGGACTCCTAATTTTTTGCCATACACAGGCGCCCTTTCGGCTGCCCCGACAGGTCAAAATCACTTCCCCACTTTCTATCTAGAACACGGATCTATATCTAGTCTTCTCTGTAGCAACACCTTTGACTGACAGCATCCTTTTCAGACCATAATTAAAGATGTCTCTTGCAGCTTTAGATCTATTCAATGTAGAAGGCCGCGTTGCAATGGTCACAGGTGGGAGTAGTGGGATAGGACTTATGATCTCTAAGGTGAGTGTTACTTTCGGGGCGCCAGTGCCGTGAAGTTGACCAAAGAATTAGGGACTCGTTCAAAATGGTGCAAAGGTCTACCTTGCTGCATTGTCACCTATTGCAGAGGTCGTTGACGAGCTAAATCAGTTGGGGAGAGATAGTGGGGGTACCGCAGAGGGGTAGGGCCAACTTTCTAGATCTCTAGACAAGAGCTGACAGAATATATAGTTTCGTCTGTGATGTTTCATCCAAAGAATCAATATCTGAGCTCGCTCGGCAAGTCTCCCAAAGAGAACAGTCCTTGGATATTCTGATTTCCAATGCGGGCATCCGTCGCGACCCTCCCCAGGCATGCAATGTCTTGACTGCAACCCTGGAGGAACTTCAAAACTCGATGTGGTCCATCGAGGAAAAAGACTGGGAGGATACTTTTCGTGTGAACTCGACAGCCCATTACTTCCTTAGTGTTGCCTTCCTTCCACTTCTAGCTGCCGCAGCTGAGAAGCAGCTGAAGAATGGAGGAAAAGGTCGCGATGAAGGAAGAGGGGTGATTGTTGTGACAAGCTCTTGTGCGAGTATGCACAATGCAACGAATGTCGATTTGACAAGCTATGCCTCCAGCAAGGCGGCTACCGACCACTTAGTCAAGTTGTTGGCAGCCAAATACAATCGCTTCTATGTCCGAGTGGTGGGCATCAACCCAGGATGTGAGTTGACTGATATGGACATGCATGTCATGGCTAATCACTTACTCAAATTTTCTTTTTAGTCGTTCCTAGTAATATGAATCCTGTCGGTGCGGAAGGAAATATCTTTAGCTCGTTGTTTGATAAGGTTCCAGCGAAGCGAGCGGGCGCCTCCGAAGATATGGCGGGCACGATCCTGTATCTTGTGAGCAAAGCAGGAGTATGTGCTTCATGATCCTACATATTCTATCTTACTTCTTATGCAATACTAATTATGACCCCTTTTAGGCATATGTGGATGGTGTCTCGTTATGTGTCGATGGCGGCAGGATTTTGTTAGCAAATGGACAGGAATGATGGGTACAGAAACTGGAATACATGTGAGATGATAGCTCAGTTACATAGCTCTCTAAATAATAAATAAGCATGTAAATTTCGTTGGAAGATACAAATCACTATCTGATATTCAACCGACCTCTGGTTCAGATGATTTAATATCGATATCAAACGACAAACTGTTCCTGTTACCGATAGGTTCTGGAAAGTGCGCTCATCCATACTCTTGGGATGCGGCTGATAGATCGTACAGTCAGAAGTCAAGAGGCTCTAATAGTTGATAAAAGTAACGATTGTGATCCAACTACGGATACTTTCCCCGGATTCCAAACTTCCAAACAACTGACTATTATCACGTGCCGCCGTCGGATTCCGCCGAAGTCCGTCGACTGCAACAAGCTAAACAAGCCACTGATAAGATCAACTTGAGCCACCAATAGCGCGTAGATAAGGGACCACAATCTTGATTAGGTGACGGCATTTGGACTCGTAAAATACGAGGAATCAGAGGGATGTACGGAGTACCTGCTACCTGGTTTACAGTAGTAGGTAGGTAGTTCTGTAGTTACGCCCATTAACCTTAAACTATGGCTGTGTCACTGTACCTCACCGTAACTTACATCATCCCTGTGATCAGTTTTGCTTATCTCTTTATCATTTTGAAATGATAGCAAACGCCCTTGGCGCTTCTTGATCCCCCTGTGCGATAATCAACCGGAATTGCCGTACTCAATGTACTTGATGAGAAAGTGTCTTATAGACAAACTATGAACATGGGAATCGTGAGCTGGAATTCAAGTCTGGAGAAGGAAGGAATGACACATAGTTGCTCCCCGGGACCGCCATCAACCAACCACACGCCAAGTAAAAGATGGATAACTCCATTCACTCCACAGATGGACCCGACACGATCGTCCCTGACTCTAACCCTAAATTGACGGTCGGCCGGCGAGTGCGACGCATTGCAAAGAAATTCACCACCAAAGAAGGTCTCATTGGCGACTATGACTATGGCTTCCTGTTCCGCCCCGACCTCCCTTTCATGAAGAGAGACCCTCGTCCGGCTCCATTTTTCGGGTTAAATGAGAAGATACCGGTACTTCTTGCATTCATTCTGGGCCTACAACATGCGCTGGCAATGTTGGCGGGTGTCGTCACCCCTCCTATCATTCTGTCTAGCTCCTTGAGCCTACCAGCTGACCTGCAACAATACCTGGTCTCGACCTCCCTGATCGTTTGCGGACTGTTATCAATGGTTCAAATTACACGCTTCCATATCTACAAGACTCCGTGGGTTGATTCAAACTTTTTTTTCACAAAAGCCTGGCGGGCTAATGCAATCTAGGTACTTCATCGGAAGTGGCGTCCTCTCCGTCATGGGAGTTTCCTTCGCCATTATAACCGTCGCTTCTGGAGCATTCAGCCAGATGTATGCCAATGGATTTTGCCCAGTCGCCGATGACGGCACTAAACTCCCTTGCCCTGAAGCATACGGTGCGCTATTGGGTACCTCGGCCTGCTGCGCCTTGATTGAAGTCCTTCTCGCTTTTGTTCCCCCCAAAACGATGCAGAAAATCTTCCCGCCCATTGTTACAGGTCCCACCGTTATGCTGATTGGAATCAATCTAATCAGTAGCGGATTCGAAGATTGGGCTGGAGGCTCTGGATGCACGACTGGTTTGTGTCCTTCCGCTACAGCTCCTCGAGCCATGCCCTGGGGAAGCGCGGAATTCATTGGACTGGGTTTCTTGGTATTCGTCTCCATTCTTATCTGCGAGAGAATTGGTTCTCCGATCATGAGATCCTGCTCCGTTGTGATTGGACTGTTGGTTGGCTGCATCGTTGCTGCTGGTTGTGGCTACTTTGATCGTTCTGGAATTGATGCTGTATGTTTCTTGACTGCTGACCTATCTTTCAAGTGTATTTGCTTCATGGAACTGACAAAATTTCTAGGCCCCCGTCGCGTCCTTCATTTGGGTCAAAACGTTCCCTCTCACAGTATATGGCCCAATGGTTCTCCCTCTGCTCGCTGTCTTCATTATCTGCGCCTGTGAATGTATCGGAGATGTGACAGCAACTTGTGATGTCTCTCGCCTGGAAGTGGAAGGCGAGGTTTTCGAGTCTCGTCTTCAGGGTGCTGTGCTTGCGGACGGATTGAACTCCATTTTTGCTGCACTTGCGACTATGACGCCCATGACAACCTTTGCCCAAAATAACGGAGTCATCGCCTTGACACGCTGTGCCAACCGAACGGCTGGATATTGCTGCTGTTTATTCCTGATCATCGCAGGCATTTTCGCGAAGTTTGCCGCCGCTATCGTTGCCATTCCGAACCCTGTCATGGGCGGCATGAAGACATTCCTCTTCGCCTCGGTGGTGATTAGTGGTCAGGCTATCGTGTCCAAGGTGCCTTTCAACCGCCGTAACCGCTTTATCCTGACAGCCTCGATGGCTCTCGGGTACGGTGCGACTCTAGTGCCTACTTGGTTCTCTCACGTTTTTGCAGCCACCAATAACAAGGACCTGGAGGGCTTTGAAAATGCGATCGAGCTGGTTCTGGAAACAGGATTTGCTGTTACTGCTTTGTAAGTTTTCTCTTAACCCTGGGGATATACTCTACTGCCTGTGATAAACTAATTTTTGGCATAGTGTTGCCATGCTTCTTAATCTGATCATGCCCTTCGAAGTCGAAGAGATTGGCGCCGTGAGACAGGTTCCCTCTCACGCCACTGAAATAGGTGATGGACCCGAGGGTCAAATCAAGCAGGCCTAATTGCAGTGCAATAATGGTTCATTTGATATGACCGTGAGGGGTGTGTAAAACCTGGCATAGAATGTATTTATCTTAACTTAATGATATAGTAGTATCATGTATATTTTGGCTAATAACTGATTCAAACGTTCTACTAAGTTATCCCTAGCGTCGGTGTCGAAGGAAATATCTTTAGCGAGCTGTTCGATAGGGTTCCAGCAAAGCACTCCGAAGAAATAGTGAGTACGATCCTATGTCTCGTGCGTAAAGCCGGAGTATTCCCTTTAGGATTCTTCATAGCATATGATGGGATGTTTACTTCTTTATGTGTGCCACGGCCTGTATTGATTCTCGTGCGATACTAATTATGACACTTGATTACGCATACGTGGATGGTGTCCCATTATGTGTAGATGGTGGCCGGATCTTGTTAGCAAATGGGCAGGAATGATCCGAAAACTGTATAAGGTAGCTTGATTTCATATTTGCTTTTAGAAAAGAATCTAACACACTCATACTGTACTCCTCTGAGTTTCTTCCTGTGGCTCTCTTCTAGTGTAACATTGTCATCGGAGACCCCGCACGACCTATCGTCGAACAGAGCGGCACCTCCGATGCTGGCCAGCTTGTTCATCCGTTCTGTATTATCAGCCTTATTTCTAGTGTATGGTATCAATCATACGTTCCATGGTCATCCCATTATACTATTATATTTATAACTGATTCATAGCGCTCCTGTAATCCTCCTCGCTCATAGATATTCACGATGTCGGTAGCATTCCTGGCGGATCCCAACCTGTAAGTGATTGACAACTCCATAGTTTATCCAGCATGACTAAATCATGTAGGTCCAGTATATCGGTTGAGCATCTGCAAAATGCAGCGGCCAAGCTTGGTATCAAAATCCCAGATGGCCAAGAGACAGAGGCCTACTTGCACCTGCTCCAGTCGGCCGAGGCTGTAATGAAACGCATTCAAAGCAGTAACGACTACATTCACCCTGCATTATCTCCTCTCGCAACAACGAAACCACGTATTTACTGGGAGCCCCGCAAGGAGGAAAATCCTTTGAATGCTTGGAGATACCGTTGCGAACTGATCGCGGCAGAGCCGACCAGCAACTTACTTCGTGGCAAAACGATCGTGATCAAAGACAATATCTCCGTCGGGGGGCAGCCAACCACCGTGGGCACGTTTACAGAGCTGCTTTGCAAAGATGGAAATCTCCCGGTTTCACCCATCGATGCATCTGTGGTCTCACGAATACTTGCGGCGGGTGCAATCATCAAAGGATCTTCCACTTGCGAGAACTATTGTGCCTCGCCGCTCTCCTTCAGCGCTGCCAGTGGTCCAGTGCATAATGCCTTGGCCCCTGGCTATACTGCTGGCGGAAGTAGCAGCGGATCTGCCGCGCTTGTTGCGGCAACTGTTATACACCGCAGAACCGGCCAGTGCTTTGGAGAAACAGTGGATATTGCGATTGGTGGGGATCAAGCTGGATCGGTCCGTAATCCAGCGTCCTATAGTGGCATTTACGGACTGAAGCCAACGTATGGCCTGGTTCCCTATACCGGTGCAGTTTCATTGGCGCCCATGATAGACCACCTAGGGCCTCTGGCGGCCAACCTAGACGATATTGCCTTGTTGCTGCAAGTGATGGCTGGATATGATGGGATTGATCCACGAATGACCCCCGAGTCTCCGTTGCAAGATCAAGTGCAAAACTACCCCCGAATTCTGACAGAGTTCCGGAATCGCAACCTGAAAGATGGCGAACGAATTGGCTCTGGGATGAAGATTGGCTTGTTGACAGAATCATTCGAGGTCCCAGGTCTGTCCCAGGAAGTTCGAGAGATGGTCCTTAGATCTGCCAGGTCATTCTTTGCTGCCGCAGGGGCTGAGATGATGGATATTTCCGTTCCTATGCACCTCGAGGGCAGCCTCATATGGACTGCAGCCACGAGAATGAGCATGTCTGAATGGGCCTGCCAGGGGAAGACATCTGGACACTTGTCTTTCCTGCCACCACACATTCAAGCACGATGGCCACCGGATCAGCGAATGTACGAGCTGCTCACCGCGACCAACCCGGCTGCGATGAATGTCATGCTGTCTGGACCATTTCTTCAAGAACAGTTTGGTCCCAGCGTGGAAGCCAAGGCCCACCGCAAAGTCTTTGAACTTCGAGCAGCCTACGATCACGCATTTACCCAAGTCGACATTCTCGTCACGCCTTGCGCGCCCAGCGTTGCAATGCCACACCCCAAGATGCAGGCTGATGGTGACGGGCCTGAATCAAGCATCATGGAGAAGCTCTCGGCTGCAGTGGGAGTGACCACAAACACCGCCCCGTTTAATGTCACTGGACATCCTGCAATAAGTGTACCTTGCGGATTTGGCCGTGCAGAAAGACTTCCAAATCGGCCAGAAGTTCAATTGCCGATTGGAATGCAGCTTGTTGGTCGGCGGTGGGAGGACGCGATGCTGTTGAAAGCTGCGGCCGTTTTTGAAGAAGGCCAATCGGCTGTATCGAAAGAGTCGAGCGATTCATGAAGGATAGACATAATCGATTGATCAGTTTGTGTATAATCAGATGAAGCGTAGTGTAGTGTAGCTGGAAAAGAAATTAGAACACGTGCGTAAGCTCAACATGATGCTTCTGCGCCTTTCCCTCCCTCTTCTAGACCAACTGCACAGCGACGATCTACCTCCTCGATTCACTCATCTAATCCTGAGAGGTTTATTCGGCAAGGGAATTCCCAGACAGGCCGGGTTCTAATCATGCATGCGACCGCATCGAGTCACAATCGCAGACGTTCATGTGGGTTCTGCCCAGTTCTTTGCATCCGCCATCCACACTGGCAATCCGGCAATCGACCCGGCCAAACATCTAGACTTACGCCTTTGCTTCCTGCTCGCAGATTGTGCGCAGATTGCGCGCATACATCGTGCTACACCATGACATCAAGGCAGATCCCTCGTTGTTACACACCCACGCGCGTGGACGAGATAAAAGCAGGGAACTCAGTTCCACAAATGGGAAGCACAGCAGCACATCCACAAATCAAATCTGGTTCAGAGGCACTTAATCTGTGTCCAGACCCACAAAAATCGATGTCTATCAATTACCAACCATCAGTGTCATGGCCAGAACATCGGACAGAATGCCCCCAGCCCACTGCAAACATGCGTTGCAACCCCTCGTGTCTAGCCGCGAATCGCTGTCAATGCAGCATGAGTGACCGGGTCCCACAAGTGCCAGAATGTGTACCCCTTACATCCAGCTGGTCAAGAAGTCAACCGCTGTCAGAAACCGTGCGGAAAGGGCGAAGGAGAATGGATCAACGCCCATGACGCCGTCAGAAAACCTTCTTGTCAACCGAGTCTGCCCTAGTGGGGGCTAGACAAGAAGAAGTGTTACACAAAGATGATTGTCTGTCCCATGAGACATGAGCAATAATGTTCAGATTTGAACAAAGACTGGCTGGCATCCCTCCCCGCCAGCTATGCCCACTTCTACTTCCTGCAGGACGCGCATACTTTGGCCAGTGTTCATCAAGACTTCGCACACCTCCAGCATGCCAATGTGTGTCCCTCAAGGCCAATTGGTCAACAGCCTCTCAAGGACACACTGAGCAAAAGCACGGGCTGCACCTTGAGATGCCAAATCCTAGGTCGAGACTTGGCGTCCATGCGCTTCCAGGGAGAGACAGGCCCCTTAAATTCACGATCGACTGCGCCGCCCTCCGATAGTTTGGTTCCTCGGGGACCCACAAGGCCTCTTGTGGCTCTCTTTTGCTTTTGCTCTCCACGATGTTTATGGCGCCTTGTTTCCAGGTACCGGGCCATTCAGACTGATCATGTAGGGCTGAAATGACAAAAAAAAGAGAAGCACCTATCGAGTCGCTGGAATGAAATGTGTCTCTGCCTGGACGATGCAGCGCACTGAGCGCTGTGCGTCGGACCCGAAGATGTGTGGCGCACAAACTATGGGATCGACAAACTATCGCGTTCCGAGGGTTTAGTGAAATGCGACGCACCTATCAGCGACCGTCGACGCGTGAGGCCGAACTATGTCCACTCTCCAATGGAGGTGACAGGTCCAAAAGGCGGGACTAACAGGCCAGGCACCTGAATGGAGAGGGGCGGGCCGTCAATGCTTTGTGACGGAGAAATTATGGATCATAGCTTTTTTCCTCGTCTCCAGTCCCGCCATCCATATTTGATTAGTGCCTCCCCCAACTCCTTGTCGCGACTCCCCCGGGGGTGATCAGGCACCAGGTACCCGTCCAGAATGTCAATTGTACGTGAATATCCCCATTCACCGGCAAATAAAGCAATGAAAGCGCTAACGACTCATCCAATCCGAACAGGACCCAAACAACGATCCCAATGTTGGCTCCTCTCGAGGCAATGCCTCGTCCACTTCAAGCGAGATTGCGAGCGGTCTCACTGGTGGAGGAGGCGGCTCATCGGCCTCGGCCTTGATGATGACCTTGCTGCCGGCATTGATATATGCAGCATTCTGGTTCGGACTCTTTCTAATCTTTCGCCGAACTCAGCGTCGCTGGTACGCACCGCGATCCCACCTACCCGATATTCATGAGCATCAACGGAGCCCTGAACTGCCAACGGGTTGGGTCAACTGGTTTGGCACATTCTTGAAGATTGAAGACAACCATGTAATGCACCATTCTTCGCTCGATGGTTATCTATTTCTGCGATTCTTGCGCGTCTTGTGCGCGATATGTGCCTTTGGTTGTTTAATTACATGGCCTATTCTTCTACCGATACATGCGACGGGTGGGAATGGGAATACTCAGCTAGACCTCTTGAGCTTCAGCAACGTTGCAAACCCAACCAAGTATTATGCAAATACCGTTGTCGCATTGATCTACTTCAGTAAGTATTTGCATCTCACCTTCATTGAGCTTTCCTAATTTGAGGCCAGCATTTGTGTTTTACGTCGTGACTCGTGAAAGCCTCTACTATGCAAATCTTCGCCAGGCATACCTCAACTCCCCCGCCTACGCTACCCGGATCTCTTCCAGGACAGTTCTATTCATGTCAGTGCCTGATGCGTATAAGAATGAGAAGAAACTGCGGCAGGTATTTGGCGACACAATCACTCGCATCTGGATTACATCAGACTGCAAGAAACTCAAGAAGCTGGTGGATGAGCGGGATAAACTGGCCTTCAGACTGGAAACAGCAGAGACAAAACTTATTCGGCGGGCAAACAAAATCCGCCAAAAAGCATTGACAAACGGCGAATTCTCTTCCGACACATGTCTCGACTGCGAGTCGAGCAACCCAGCGTGGTCCCATAAAGTCAAACGCCCGACGCACCGTCTGAAATTCCTGTTCGGCAAGAAAGTTGATTCGATTCGCTGGTACCGCGAACAGCTTGTGAGAGTGACAAAAGAAGTAGAGGTTCTCCAAAGGAAGCATCAGGACGGCGACGCCAAGAAGCTCTCTGCGATGTTCGTTGAATTCGGTTCGCAAGCAGACGCCCAGATTGCTCTACAAACCCTCTCACACCATCAGCCATTCCATATGACGCCACGCTTTATCGGAGTCGCTCCAGGGGACGTTGTCTGGTCAGCGCTGAATCTGAGCTGGTGGCAGCGTATTATCCGCAAGTTCGCCGTCCAAGGAGGACTTGCGGCATTGGTCATCTTTTGGTCGTTCCCAGCTGCCCTTGTCGGAACCATTTCGAACATCACCTATCTGTCTAATATTATTCCACCTTTGAAGTTCATTCTGAAGCTTCCAGATTTTATCAAAGGTGCAATTGAGGGTCTTCTCCCCTCTGCTGCACTTGTGGCTCTGATGTCGCTGGTTCCGATTATCTGTCGAAGTAAGTATTATCCTGCTATCACTGTGTCAATATTGCATTCTAACTTCTTCATCCAGTCTGTGCTCGGCGCGCTGGAGTGCCATCATTGGCTCGCGTTGAACTCTTCACCCAGAGTGCTCATTTCGTCTTTCAAGTCGTGCAAGTGTTCTTGGTGACGACCTTGACCTCTGCTGCATCTGCTGCTACGGCGCAGATTATCAAGAACCCTCTTTCAGCAAAGGATCTTTTGGCTCAGAATCTGCCTAAAGCCACCAACTTCTACATTTCCTACTTCCTGCTCCAGGGACTGAGTATGAGCTCCATGGCTCTCGTGCAGATTGTCAGTGCTCTTCTGTTCAAATTCGTGACTACCTTTTTCGCCTACTCCCCGCGTCGCCTGTTCAAACGATGGGCCGAGCTCGGTAGTTTGAGCTGGGGTAACGTTTTCCCCGTGTTCACGAATATGGGTGTGATTGGTAAGAGGTCTTCACTCCTTCAAATTCGCATTGGCTAATTATCATTCAGCTTTAACATATTCCTGTATCTCCCCCTTGATTCTGGGCTTTGCTTTCGTTGGGTTGTACCTTGTATACCAAGCGTACCGTTACAACTTCCTTTTTGTCTACGACATTAAGATCGACACGAAGGGTCTCGTTTATCCGCGCGCACTCCAACACCTGTTGACCGGTATCTACCTGGCTGAGATCTGTATGATCGGTCTATTTGCAATTAAAGCTGCCATTGGACCTCTGATCATCATGGTGCTCTACCTGATTGCCACCGTTCTATCCCACCTATCTCTCAACGAAGCTCTGTCACCGCTCAACACGTTCCTCCCACGCTCTCTAGATGCAGAGGAGGATCTTCTCCAAGAGAAAGAAGACGCCGTTGCCGAGATCAATGAGCAACGCCGCTCGCGTGTCATGGCATTCTGGTCCTGGTTCCATCCGAATGTCTACAAGGACTACAGCGCACTGCGTCGAAAGGTGCGCAAGAATGTAGCCCCGGTCGAATATACCGCGGAAGAACTTCGCACCGCATACTTTGAGCCGTGCGTCGCATCTCCACCACCAACGCTTTGGATCCCGCGTGATCGGTGGGGCTTCAGTCGACACGAAGTTATGGAGACGGACCCTAACATTAACATCACGGATGACGGTGCCCACTTGAACGAGAAGAACAAGATTGTCTGGGACAAATATGACCCTGAACTTCCACTGAGAGAGTTGAAGACGTTGTACTAATGAGGTTTGCTTTCAATTTTTTTTTCTCTGGCTTGGTTCTGCCAGGAGAATCATGATGTGACGATTAATCAGGTGTAATTTGGCTATTTTTGTACAGTACGATCTTACGGCGTGACTATGTTGGCTTTTTGGATTCGTCGGCTGGCGATATTACGTGATTCACGGCGTTAATATTTCGATATCAGGATATTTCTCAGACAATCAATAAGTAAATAATTCCTAACACTGGTCATCGCTCATGAGAAAACTATACGGTCAAGGTAAAGTTGACAGCATTGACACCACCTGCAACACGGGGATAGAACTCGAATGTGAACACGGTGGACACTCCTGCCGAGATCACAGAGCTGATTGCAGAAGAGGTGATGATCACATGGGATGAGTCCCAGTTGTATTGGCTGCTGTAGGTCTGTTGTGGTACATAAATGTTAGTGGAAATACGAGTGGATAATCTGGATGTCTAACTTACTGCTCTAGCCTGCTGCAATGGGCCTAGGTAGACAGTCCAAGTATCTACCAAGTAAACGCCACTAGTGGTCAATGCCTTGACAGCCGCGACAGTAGGAAGACCACCCCAGGTAATAGGAATGCTCAAATCAGAACCGGAGACCGAAGAAGCAATCGCAGTGGTAGATGAAAGAGTCGGCGGCTTCCACTGCACAATCTGGACAACAGGCGATGATCGACCACCGGAGAAAGTCAAGGTGAGATTAGCAATGACGCCTGGTGCAGTTGTCGCGCTGAGTTTCTTGGAAAGATAAGAAGCAGAGAAAGTAATGTTAGCGCCCGAGACAGAGTAGTCTGTACCCGATGTCAAAGTCGAGCCTGTCGAGTCGCTGATTGAAGTAAGTGTGTTGCCGTTGAAGATGAATGGAAGACTCTGTGCTACCACGCTGGTTCCATATTGATGGAAAATGTAGGCTGAGGACCACTGAGATGTCGCGGATGAGTCTTCAGTGCTGTCAGGCAAGCTGTTTGCCGTGGACGCAGTGGATTTTGTGATCATTGAGATCGAGTTGGGGTCGCGCCAGGTGCCTGCGTTTCGATCAAGATGGTCTAGACCGTTGTCCCAAAGAACACAGGCAAAGTTGAGGCCAAGAGCAGTTCGAATGAGATGGTCCGTATACTTCCAGCGGGCAGCAGGCTCGGTGTTGGTTGGTGAAGCATCGTATTCGCCGATCAGGATGGGAATATTTGTGAAGTTGTTGCGAATCAATGTGAAGTCCGTCGTCACGGCGGCCTTGTCAGTATCAGATCCCCAGATAGTCTTGCCCCTGGAAGATGTCAGTTTCCATAGCTTCCTTGTTGATTCAATCCAATATTTACCATGCGCTGAAGATGAAGTCATCTGAAAAGAGTCAGTTCGCCTAGTCAAACCGTCAAGGATTTCCCTGTACTTACAAGGACTATAATAGTGGAACTGAATGGCGTATGGGTTCGAGAACCCTGTCGGCGCAACAAACCATTGCGAAGTCTTAACACTATCCTCACCACCACCTACAAGAGTCACAACTCTTTGGGGGTTAAAGCCACCTGCATCATTAATGGCCTGAAGGAAGATCTTGTTGAGCTTGTTGATCTCAGCGGCATCGGTTGCAGTGTTGCAAGGTGGTTCGTTAATTGGTTCAAAGGCAACAAGGCTGGACTTGCAAGCCAATTTAGTTCCAACTTGATACCACAGTCGGTAGAACTTTTCTTCGATCATGGTCAAGTTGGCACCGGAGGCAGTTACATCGGCCCAGATCCAGGAATCTAGATAATCGTCAGTCCCCGAACGAGGAAAGGTGTATTTAGATTGGGCTTACCGTGATGGGCATCCACAATGGCATATAGTCCCAATGAAGTGACCATGTCAACTACCTCAGAGACTCTCTCCAGCCAGGTCGGATCAATAGTCCAGTCAGGCGAACTTCCAGTGAAGTGATACGCGTAGGTAACTGTGTCTCATCAGTACCTAGACAAAATCTGATATGGCTCGACAGATAGCTTACCTGGAATTCGAACACTCTTAAATCCAGCCTTTTGCACAGCACTGAATGTAGAGGCTGCCACGGGAGCATTATTCCAGGACCCTTCGTTTGGCGTTGCGTCGAGAGTGTTTCCTAGATTCCAACCGGGATGAAGCTTCGCCACGAAATCAGATGCCGAGATCGCACTGAATGTGCCAGTGCAGGTGGCCGCCCCAGTGGAAGTAGATGTTTTTGTCGCTGTCTGAGCCGTAGTAGTAGTCTTGAGTGTTGTAGAGGTGCTGGTAGAGCTAGAAGTTATAGTCGTAGTCGTGACAGTTGCCTTTGACGTACTTGTTGCGCTAGTAGTTGCTGTTCCTGGAATACACTGGTAATACCCTATGAAATTGTGAGATGAGTCCACATAGTGATCTCCCAAAATAATCTTACAAGGATTCTGCGAGGTACAGTAAAAGCCCGATGTGCACGTCGTGCTTCCCGAGTAGCCACTCCCACCACCTATATTCCAATTAGTTCCTGATGCAGTTGCCCAACCCGAAGAGAAATAACCTACATTGCCCGTAGCCTGCTACTTGGGCATTGACAGACCCAATAAATGCCACCAGGGCTATCACACGCGGGCTATACATGACGAAGTATTACACAGCCGTATGATAACTAATGAAGAGACTTGGTCGTGATCCGCACCAGATCTTGCCGTAGTGATGCCGATCTGGCGTATTTATACCCAGTTTTTGTGGTAACAGAAACACGGATTTGGCTTGTATGCCTCCGTCGGGTATTAGGCTAATAACACTAAGGACAAGGGCTCGACTCCGCTCATACTTAAGCACCTAATATATGAGGCGCCATACCATACTGCGGCTAGTTTAGGAGTCAAGTCCGGGGACACTATAGGTACGAGGCATGGTAGGGGTATATCGCCAGAAGAATTGAAGTAACAAATCAGTGAATATTAATTATGACCCGAGGACCCTGTCTCAATGCTAATTTCTAAAGGGAAACGGGCTAACTACGAGCCAGTGGCTTGGCTCAGCATACGACACTGGCGCTGCAAAAATCCTCCAATGAGACCCCGCTGGAAGATCCCCTTCATTTCCCAATTCTGATTGAATCGCCGTGACGAAACGCCCCTGTTCCCTGCAAGACACGAGGAATTCTGCAGGATGTTGCCATTTCCCCGCTTCTCCACTTCTCCGGGCCTTCATCTCCGTTCTTCGCCAGGCACAAACTACGCGGAGGAGGTCCGTGTTGGTTTCTACGATGCCGTGGAGAAATAAGAAATAAGAAATAAAGGAATTATAGTATCAACACATAGTAATCCTTAGACATGGGGAAAAGCCAAAATTTCGCTTCGAGTACGCTGCATCTTCGTCTATAGGTACATCTCGTTGCCCATTTCTTCGTTTCATTCATTCGTTATTGCATCATCGTAGCCATGTACGAAAGGGGAATAGAGACAGGGAAACCATAATTGCTCGCTTAAAAAATCAGCCATTCACATCATGATGCAATCTTTGTTTCTGCTCCGGTCGTTACTGTACCGGTTCGTATTTAATGCCGGCTGCGAATATCGATTCCGGGAGTTTCGATTATTCACCGTATGGAAATCGGTCTGAATGTCATCAAAAGTCGGCCTTCCGGGAGGTGAATATCGCGGGCCGCTAGAACTTTGTTCGTAGGGAGGAGGAGGAGCGTTAGGATCATCAGCATCCGCATTGCCCTGCGGCGGCCGAGTCCTGAGGCCGGTGCTTGAGCTCCGAGCAGGCGGATGATCCATGCGAGCTGCAGGCCCAGTCAAGCGAACGGGGACCGAGTTGCGATTAATAGGGCTTGTACCACTTCCAGGGCCAGTCCTATTTCCAGGGCCAGTCCCATTTCCAGGGCCGGTACCGCGTCCAGGCCCGGTACCACTTCCAGGGCCATTGTCACTGTTTTGTTGACTTTCAGTACGTTCTCGCTGTTCCTCCTCCTGGAACTGAAGCGAGAGCGCGTAGGCATAATCAGCGTCACTCTGTTCTTGCGGTGACAATGGGCCTTGAGTCGCTTCGTTGTTAGATTGTGTATCAATGGCACTCGACACGCGCGGACCAGCAGGACTCGTTGGACCCGCCGAGCTGGAGGGACCGTGACCAACAGCACGGAAGTCGCCTGCGAGGAATTCCGAGTTGAACCCTGTCACATCGACTAGAGATTCCCACACAACCTCCGCATGGTTCGCGTAGCCAGCATCGGTGACCAAGGTGAATAGCTGATGAGATTGCGGGTGTTTGTAGAGAGTAGAAAAGTGATCGTTGCGGAAGAGTATAGAGACAGACCCTGGCGCCAGTCGTGTTGACAATTGCGTCAATCCAAATGGACTTAGTTGTGTCGCGTTTTCAATTTCCACGAAATTCTCAATGGCCTGGATGTCTGCCATGTTTTGCTCTTCTTCCGGACTTAAAGGTTCCCCGCGCATAATGCGATCCTCGAAGTCTTGCTTGCGAAAAGGCAATAATTGGATATCCTCATGGAACTGAGCGATCCGGGCCATGGCAGCATGCTCGGGGCTTGACCACGATGCGAGCCAGCCGTGAATAAGTGGTACTCCGAATGTGCTGTATGAGCGAAGGTCTGGAGTCTGAAGAAAAGTGCCAAGAGATTCCACGGTTTCCTACTTCTGTGTTAGCTATCTTATGAGTATTGATATAGCTGTTACACTTACCAAGGTCAGACGAGGATTAACATTCATGCCAGTATGCAACATGGTGAGAAATTGAGTAAGGGCCTCGATATCCGGGAACTCGTCGTTTGGGCCCAGACAGGTAGTCAGCTCCTCGAATAGAGCCTCAATCAACAACCCCAGCGAAATTTGCTCGCGGGTCTTCAATGCTCTCACGATGGGCGGTTGTGCAGTTGGATCATCGGCGCGCAATACCAGGGCGTTAATTAGAGCAAGCAGAGGGCAGGGTCCATTTTTGTTTTGGACTAGGATTGGCGATTGCAGCAAGATCCCCTCTCGATTGGTCCAGTTGATTTGGCGAATCGAATAAGTTTCTGCTCGCTGCTCCTGCTGCCTAGCGGCTTCAACGGGTGACAGCTTCCTGCTCGGAAGTGGTGGAAGCGTAACATCTCTTGGTGGCAGACGGGGTACTTCTCCCGTCGACGGCAATCGCGAGTCCAGCAGTGACTTTCCGCCGTTCCCTTCAATCTCCTCCGAGTACACGGATGATGTGCCCTGCTGAGATCCCATCCCCACTCCTAATGCGCTGCTCGGAACTTCCAAGTCGATCAATTCATGTGAAGTTGCGGATGTCGCCGTGGAGATCATAGAGGGAGTATTGAAACCAGCATCTGAACCAAGTCTGCCCGAGGTATGTGGCGGCTGTAGTCCAAAAGAGTCATTCGCCGGGCCGTCAGCCACCAAAGCGGGTGCGTAGGGATTAGATTGGCCATCCGGAAGGTAAATCTCTTGAGGCGCTGATATCTTGATCGAATGCTGTGATCCCCACGGGGATGGGTCGTGGGGCGGGTCCACCGAAAGTGGACGGGTACCGGCGTGAGAAGGTTCGTGAGAAGGTTCGTGAGAAGTGTTGTAAGAAGGGTTGTGAAAAGGTTCGTGAAACGGTTCGAGAGAAGGTTCGTGACTTCGTTCGTGATCAGCCCATGGAGACTCCTGTTGCTCCGAAGAGTCCAGTAAAGAGAGGCGGGCAGTCATAGGAATATATCCCCCGGCTAGAACGGGTCAGCATGGACTTGAAAAAGGAAGTAAGGCGAGGCTAATCAATCGTACTTTGGCTAAGAGGGTCACTACTGGCTGAAGCATGAGAATGTCGATCATTCCAATGCTTGGAGTCTGTCGAGTTCTGCCTTGTATCAACCGAGCGTGGCTTCAGAAATGGGTTGTTTGATTGTAGCTGTACGGGAACCTCCCCAGTTGAGCCGTTGTGAGCTGGCGGAACCGGCTGTGGTGCTTGGTGCCAGCCGTTTTCCGCCGCATATGAGGCCGTTTGCAGCGCTGGCGGGATCCATTGTCTCCGATCTTCAGCCTCTGTATATTCGTGCTTGGCCCGGTCTCCAAAGCTCTCGGTCCAAGGATTTGGCGGATGGCTGGTTGGAGAGCCGACCGGGGACCTCTGAGCTTCTTCGAGCGGCATCAGGTCAAATGCCGGGGATGTATTGAGATCCGGAGAGTAGATAGGATCCTCAGAAGGAGCTCGATTGAGGGCCCGGCGCTTCGAAGGGGAGGATGTCGAGGGGGACGTTGGGGAGGCTGGATGAGCATTCCACTGGTGAAGGTTCTCCAAACGCGGTGGGGGAGGTTTTCGGAGCACCATGAAGAAGTATGATGATAAATTGGGGGCGCAGAACTATATTGGTATCCCTGGTCGGAAGATATACGTACAGGAACTGTCGTCGTGGCAATTCGAAACCCTCGAGAGGTACCAGGCAACAGGGCGCCAGAAGCTTTAGCGATGCCAAAAATAAAGACACGTGCAAGTCCCGGGCAGATCATCCATTACACTCGGATGAAGACTGCCTTGCACGCCCGAGAAATCGACAAAAGAGGCGGCTGAAGCACTGGGGTTGGCTGAGAATGACCGAGCCCAACCTCCGCTCTCCGCGTTAGTGGCGATGATATCACAGTGTGGCTCCTCATAGGCACCCACATTCCAGCGATCAACCATGCGTGGGGCCATCGTATTCGTATTACCCCCGACTGTGTATCGAGGCGCAGTAGGAGGGAGTACAGATATGCTTCCACTGCTTGATTTTTGAAAGGTCTTTCTAAGTTTTATTTAAATCGTCTTTCATGATAGCTTAGGTATCATTTTTTAGTCTATCGTTCAACTTGTGACTGATAAGATGATTCTGAACATTGGTCGTGGAGCTGGGGCATCGGGTCCTCGAGTTACAATATCATACGGTTTTATTACTGGATCACGGGCTGGTCCAAGCCCAGGCTTATGTAATGAGCTATTATCTGGAACGGATCAACTGTTCCTCCGGCTCCTCCCCGCCTTCTAATCAAGACCACCGCTGATTGGCTCACAACCTCAAAAAAAGTCGCCGGAGTCCGTTTTTTGGAGCTTCAACGCTGCGATTGTTCAGGTCGCTTCTTCAACCAGTCGGGTTTTCGGGCTCTCTCACCATGCATTCCTCCATTCGTCCGAATCAGTTTGCGGTCATCCAGCTGCCGTCTGATCAGACGCGCATTGTCAAGCTGGTCCCGAATACGTATGTCACCTGCTTGCGGCTTCTCCAATATGACATATGCAGACAGGCCTGACTTTCGACCTACAGTATAGTACAATTAGGCCGTTATGGCAGCTTCGCCGCGAACCAGGTTATTGGCCGTCCCTTCTTCTTGACATTCGAGATCCTCGACGCACCTCAGAGTGATGGCTACCAGCTACGCGTGGTCCCCGCCGAAGAGCTACATGCCGAACACCTCATTGAGGAAGCTGAAGCAGATGGCGAAGGCGAGGAGGGAGACTCGGGGGCAGGCACACCCATGCGCACAAATCGTACCATTGTCGACGATGCCTCGACCCAAAAATTGACGACCCAGGAAATTGAGGAGTTGAAGAAGGAGGCCAGTGGAGCGGGCAAGGATATTGTCGCAAAGATTCTCGAGTCTCACGCCAACCTGGATAAGAAGACCGCTTTCTCACTCGCCAAATATACATTGCGTAAGCGCAAGAAGTACATTCGCAGGTTCACGGTTCTGCCGTTGGACGTCAGCTTTCTCGCCAACTACTTCCTCGACCAACGCGATGCACAGCGAACGATGGAATTGCGCGATGAGCATGTGGGCCTGCTCGGCTGTTTGGGTAATGTGCATCATGGTGGTGAATCAACTTTGGATGCGATTCCTACGATCAAGCCGAATGGTCGGTACTTCGTGGTCGACGAAACAGGTGGCCTTGTCGTCGCTGCAATGGCCGAGCGGATGGGAATTCTGTACCCTGAAAACGAGGACGAGGAACTAGAGTCGACCGATGGTGCGCAAGAAGAGAACACAGAGAAAAAGTCTACAACCTCAACGCCCCGGCGTAAACGCCCTCGCCCCATGTCTGCGTCTGGAAACACAATCACCGTCATTCACGCCTACTCGCAACCAAACTTGTCGTTGCTGAAATACTTTGGCTACGATATCAACACTCCCGATGAATCGCATCCTCTTCACACCCATCTTAAGACTATGTCATGGTTGCAGCTTGTGGATCCCTCAGCCGATCCCATCCTTTCCAATGAACCTCCTGCATTATCCGCGGAAGAGCTGGCTGAGTTGAAGGCCAGCAAACGCACGGCTTACTACTTCAAGCGTAACCGCTGGGAGAAGTTCCGTGCTGTCACAGATGAAGCTCGTGCGGGTGGCTTTGACGGTCTAATCGCTGCTACTCTGCTGGAGCCCGCAGGCATCCTGAAGCACGCTGTCCCGCTCCTCTCTGGATCTGCCGCAGTTGCAATTTACTCTCCCACGATTGAACCTCTCACCGAGCTCATGGATCTATATTCAACTGCCCGCCGGACGGCATTCATCAATCGCAAACGGGACCTCGAGGTGCAGAAAGCCCCCGGGGAGACCGTGAACTTGGCCCCGCTCTTCGAGGAGTTCCCTCTCGATCCCACCCGACTCTTGCCCCCAACCCTACACACCACCCGCGTGCGTGTCTGGCAAGTCCTGCCCGGTCGAACGCATCCCCTCATGACCGGACGTGGCGGAGCAGAGGGCTACCTCTTCCACGGCGTTCATGTCATCCCCGCCGAGGCCAGTATTCAGGCAGCTGGTACATTCCGGAAGAAGCGCAAGGTAGAAACCACCTCGACGCCTGTCAGTGATCGAGATGTGGAGATGACAAGTTAAATATTAGCATCGGGTAGACTTTAAAATGTGTACGAATATAATGATTCATCGGGTGTTGGCCCCAGAATATATTTTCAGTACATCATCAGAGACGGCACTCGTAGATCTAGAAGTTAACTGCGGCGAATCTACCATAGCGGTTGAAAGATCGGATATTTTTTTGAGAGATTGGCGGTTGGACCTGGCAAAAAATGACTAGTAAAAGAAGCATGGTTGCTTGGATATCGGCACCAGTAGCTACGAGGGATCGCAACATGATGACGCCGCGTAGCCAAAAAAGATCGATTGATGCGCTGAAATTCATGAAACAATATACAATCACTTTGCCACACTACAGACTCTTTCCCATGAACTTTCTCTTTGTAAAGCTAAGCCAGAACTGTAGAAATGTTAGTATAGTCTCAACCAGGAGGCTTGTTGTTGCCTGGAACCTACCTTCGACGGTCCCTCTCCACCAGGGTATAATCTAGCGTGTAGCCGGACGGCGATCTCCTGTCGAACCTGCGAGATGTATCTATTCAAATTTTTATCAGCAACTGGTTGTTGGATATATTTCACGGGGGCCATTGGTTCACATACGCCCGCAGGCTCTCCGCATCCTGGCGGTCGCGTGGGGGCTCGAAGGCCTGGTTCAACGGGAAAGACACATCGCCGGGGATGGCAAAGCTGTCAAGAGCGGCATTGATCAGGGCCTAGATCACTCGCATGTCAGTGATAGCTCCAATACAAGATGCGACCAAAGCTTCCAGCATCTACCTTCTCAGCCTCCCGGGCATTCATCGTAGGCTTGACCTTGCCGAGACACTCGCTGATGAAGAGGGTTCCATAAATGAGCATGCGGTCGGCGGGGCCATTGATCTCAAAGTTGCGGAACAGTACATTTGCGCGGAAGAGGGACAGGATCTCATCGACGCAATCGTAGGATTCGCTCTCGGGGGTGACGTCCACATCGAGGGTATTGGGGGTTAGTGCGGGCAGAGTGTATGCGGGACCACGAGTCCGAGTTCGCAAAGGCAGGATAGGGAAATTCCCTATAGCATAGACAGTCAATTCATATTGCTCCGCGGGTGTTGTTGAGTGTCGCATGGAGGGGACAGCTGTCGGCGGGGCAGCGTACCTATCACGGGGACATCGCGGTCCTCTAGGAAGATGGAGTGGTATGCCTGAATTAGGGAGTTTAGTACTGGATTAAATAAAGAGGGGTTATACCCAAAAGTAATCCGATCTTACCGGCATGGTGGATGGTTGACAAAGGAATTGTCGGGGAGAGTTGCGAAACAGAGTGATGTTGCGGAGTCGGCAGGCGGTGCAGGCGGTACAGTTAGGCAATGAGATGTCATCGGCTCCAGCTCTCCAAGATTCTCCCTTGATTTTCCGCCCCGACCTTCTCTTTACGCGCGGAACGCGTCAAGCTTCACTTTTCGCGATCTGCTTGACCAACTCACTTTACCACCCACCACATCACCACTTCGCGTTTACATTAGCACTCATTCACAATGTCCGACTACGAGGATGAAATGGACGTGGATGCGCCCCCCAAGGATGTCCAGTTCAGCTCAGAGAATGCCAGTGGGAAAAAGAGGACGGCGGCGGACCTGCCCATTCAAGCTCAAGACAACCTCCCTTGGTACGGCATTTTGATCATGGTGGAAGTACTGTATACTAAAAATCTCTGGTAGGGTTGAGAAATACCGTCCAAACACTCTAGATGATGTCTCTGGTCATCAAGACATCCTAGCCACAATCAACAAATTTGTTGAGAAGAACGTACGTACTACTCGGACGAATTGACAAGACATATTCTCACAAGATGCCAGCGCTTACCTCACCTACTCCTCTACGGTCCCCCTGGAACCGGCAAGACCTCAACCATCCTCGCTCTCGCTCGACGGATATACGGCACAAAGAACATGCGACAAATGGTGCTAGAACTCAATGCTAGTGACGATCGTGGCATTGACGTTGTCCGAGAACAGATCAAGACCTTCGCCAGTATGGTCTCACATATGGAATGGAGCGATCACATTCTGGGGAGAGAATGCTAATTCGGTCTTTGTGCAGGCACAAAACAAATCTTCTCCATGGCCCCAGCAGCAACAGAAGGCAAGTCTGCTCTCGCCGGCTTCAAGTTGATCATTCTCGACGAGGCCGACGCCATGACATCCACAGCCCAGATGGCCCTGCGCCGCATCATGGAGAAATACACGGCGAACACTCGTTTCTGCATCATTGCCAACTACACACACAAGCTCTCTCCCGCACTCCTATCACGATGTACCCGATTCCGGTTCAGTCCCCTCAAGGAAGCCGACATTCGAGTGCTGGTAGACCAAGTGATTGAAAAAGAGAATGTTCGCATCCAGCCCGATGCAGTCGACAGTCTAGTACGACTTAGCAAGGGCGACATGCGAAGGGCGCTAAACGTCCTTCAAGCCTGTCATGCTAGCAGTGGGTCTTCCTTCTCCGCGGGACGCGGAAATGCTTGACTTCTGCCACACCCGGAACTTTCTATCCTTATCAGATGAACTAACAGATGGCCCTAGGTATACCCTTGCCTATGCGCGACGCACCCAATGCCCCCCTACCCGAACCCGAAATGATCACCAACGCCACAATCTATGACTGCATTGCGGCACCCCACCCGTCCGATATCCAAGAAATCATGAAGACGATTCTCTCTACTAGCGACGTGACTTCATGCCTCAATACTGTGAACACGCTCAAGTCCAGCAAAGGTCTAGCTCTGGCTGATATTCTATCCGCTCTGGCGGATCAACTACAGCGGCTTGAAGTGCCGGCACAGACACGCATCACTTGGCTGGAGGGGCTAGCGGAAATTGAGTGGCGGTTATCCGGAGGTGGATCTGAAGCAGTTCAGACGGGAGGATTGGTGGGCGTTGTGCGAAATGGCTGCGAGTTGATGGGCGATAAAGGCATCGCCATGGCATGAATTCGATGAACATCCCGTGAAGACGGAACTCGGCAAGTGAAACGATCTCGATTAAAATTTCCTCTTCAATTATGAATCTAGGATGCGCGATGGATCGCATGCATTTCGCATCAATAATTATCAAAAACATCGACCAATAGCGGACCTTTAATCAGATAGATAGGCTTATGTTTAGGCTCGTGGGCTGTGGAAACTGTAGTACTGTATACTTTTCCCGCTCCTATACGGAGTAGTTTTGACCGACATTATTATTCTATCAGTATAGAATATTCTCCCTCCGTACAGAAAGGCATGCCGATGCGATGATCCTTCGCTTCCCGCCGTCAGCGATTGAGTGAATTCTGGACTATTGAGGTAAGCCTTTTGCCTGGACCAGCCCGAATCGGGTTACTACTGTAGCGGGGTATCCCAACTGGTGTAGGATAATTAAACGAAAACTTCTACGGAGTACACAACAAGAATAATTGATGCAGTCTTTAGCTGCAGTAGTGCGAAGTGGCTGGAAACGCCTATCAGCCATGGAATTCATGCCGAGACTGTGATTGTTGTTTTCCATCGAACGCGGTCTTTTCCAGGGTTGTTGATGCTCCACCCCGAGTCAACCATCTCCACTATTTTTCCCTCCTTCCTCATACTCCCTCTCGTCCACTCTCAACCCACTCTCACCTTGCTCTCACCCACTTTCTCCCGCTGTCTTATCGTCTGGGGTTGTGTCCGCGCTTTCTCATTAGCTAATTGAGAAGGGTGTACCATTTCCTCGGACTTGGGCCGCCGCGCCTACAGCCTCTGAGCCTACAGGAGCCTCGATATTTTCCTCATGATGCATTTGTGCTTGATTCGGTGAAATTATCGGCGGCCTCCGTGCACGGCCGGCTCCCAAGAAATGAGTCCGATAATAATGGGTCGCTCGAAATCGCTACCTATACGACCCCGCAACATACTACTCACGTAACTAACTAGTTAACCCATCTACCAAGTGACTAACATGCTCGGAGCCGGTCTGGCTCGGTGGGAGAAATTGCTTGACTGACCCGCTACCAGTCCCCATCCGACTCCGTCGCCGCGGATCAGCTCGGTCCAACATAAGTAGTCGTGCATGCCCTGCCACATTTGAGGAGGGGTTCAGGTTGCATTGCTTTTTGATTGTATCTCTTCTGTCTCCTCTGCTACTGCTGCTCGGCTGTTGCTTCCGGAATTGCCTTCATCATGCGCTCCTCCATTCAATCCGGCCTCCTGCTGGCCGCCTCTCTATCGACCTCGATGGTCGAGGCAGAGCGTGTTCTCGGCGCATACATCTTTGCTCGCCACGGTGATCGAACTGCCAAGATCCTCGGCAACACTCAATTGACTGATCTGGGCTACAATGAGGTCTATGATGCCGGCCACTTCTACAATGAGCGGTATATCCTCGCCAGTTCGGACAAGCAGATCGAGGGCATCAGCCCTCTGATTGTCAACGCCAAGCAGATCAGTGCCAGCTCCCCAGCTGATGCCGTTTTGCAAAACTCGGCCACTGGCTTCCTGCAAGGCGTGTATCCCCCAGCGGGTAACAGTGCCAACCAGACGCTGGCCAACTCGACCACCGTTGTGTCGCCTTTGGCAGGTTACCAATTGATCCAGGTTACCTCCACCTCTTCCAGTAACAGCAACGAGGGGTCTACCTGGCTGCAGGGCTCAAGTGACTGCCAGAAGGGCACCGTCAGCAGCAACAACTACTACATATCGGAATCTTACAACTCGATGCTGAAGTCCACCAAGGACTTCTACCAGTCGCTGTCGCCCATGCTGAACTCGACTTTCACTTCGTCGCAGATGACCTTCAAGAATGCCTACTCCATCTTTGACTACCTGAATGTGGGTCAGATCCACAACTCTACCGATGAGTATCCCGCCCTCAAGGGCTTGACGCATGAGATCTACACCCAACTCCTCCAGCTGGCCAACAACCAGCAGTACAACTTGGCGTTCAACAAGTCCGACACTGTCCGGGCCATTGACGGCGCCGTGTTGGCTGGGGAGATCCTTTCCGGCCTCAACGATACCATTGCCACTAGCGGCAAGTCCAAGCTTAGCGTCTCGTTCGGTTCCTATGGAACTATGCTCGCGTTCTTCGGACTGATGCAGCTGCCCGCTGCCTCGGTCGACTTCACCGGTATCCCCGATTACGCCTCCTCGATGGTTTTCGAGCTCGTGACCAATGCTACTGGCACGGGCATTCCCGCCGAGAGCGAGCTCAGCGTCCGCTTCATGTTCCACAATGGCACCATGACCGGCGCTGACGAGCCCACCGTCTACCCTCTGTTCGGCCAGTCCAGCGATCTCCTTTCGTGGTCTGACTTCAAGACTAGCATTGAGAAGGTGGCTGTCACTTCTGATGCCCAGTGGTGCGACCTGTGTGGCAACACCGATGGAAAGTGCGGCTCCATTACTACCAGCACCACCTCCTCCGACTCTTCCAGCGCGTCTGCCTCCAGCTCCGGTGGCATGTCGAAGGCTGTTGCTGGTGTGATTGGTGCTATGGTGACTCTGGCTGTTATTCTCGGCCTGCAAGCGCTGTTCTTCCTTGTTGGTGGATTCCGCATCTCCAAGAGGAACAAGGCTGGTCCTGAGATGGTTACCTCGGACAGTGCTTCCGCCGAGAAGAAGTAAAAAATCTACTGGGTGAAGTACACTCCATAGTATCTTTCCCATGCGATGGAAGGGCAAGTTGTGACGTCTGCTGGTAGTTCTCCAGATTGATGCTGCAATTCATATTTGAGATGCGTTACGACTCGATGCTAGATAGGATTCATAATATTCGAATCAATACATTTTATACCCCTCTATCTATCTCTTCAACATCAACTAATTTTATAAATATTAGCCCTAATCTGATAAACTATAAACACTCTAAAGACCAATCAATCCTGACCCTAAGCAAGTATACGAACGACCATCCCGCAAATTCACCGCCTTTCCCACCCAAAGTGTCCCGGTTCTGTCCGCCTTTCCCCTTTTTCCCCTTTCTCCCCCTCCCCCACACAACACTAACAATTATTGATTATCCCGCCATGCCGCGTCAACAAATCAATCTCGAACCCTATCGGGACGAGATTATCACGCTATTTCAACACGGCATCAGTAGCGACTCTATCAGCCGCACCCTCGAGAGCCGATATAACATCCAGGTCAAAGAACGAACCATTCAGTCGCGGCTACGCAAGTGGGGTATCCGCAAACGCAGCCGCACCACGACTGCGGATGAGGTGCTCCATGCCCGGATCAAAGTGCTCTTCATGCAAGATAGGCTGACCGACAAGGCAATGCTGAAGCTACTGCGACAAGATGGTTATGACATCTCCGAGCGAACGCTTCGTCGGCTACGGTTTCAACTTGGCCTTCATGCCAGGGCTTCCACCTTTGAACAGGAACGGGGAGTTGGGTCGTGCCCACTTCCTTTGCCCATTGCCATGTCAGTCCCGGTGCATGCGGCTAAAGATGGTCCAGGGCCTTGGCCTGCCACTTTGCCGGAGCCCATTCGAGAGTGACGATGTCCTGCATCTGATCATGATCATGGCTCCCCTCCCCGTATGGCCATGGTGCTTCCTTTACCGGTGAAATCATCAGCGACTACTTCCCATATGCGACCCTTATGCGCCAAAATTTCTCTTCGGTTCTTTTTAGAGTCTTCTTCCCTATGCGACAACTCCCAAGGACTCCCTCCACTGGATTGCGTACTGTAAGTTCTGTGCTGCTGGCTCAGCACAGGCCTTTTGAGGCTTGCAAAACATCCACCATGCGCCATCTTTTTTTCAGCCATCATCGACATCATTCATTGTATGGTCAGCCCTGCTGAAGTTGATTGATCGTCGTTTATGGTAGCATCGCTCATCAGTTCCTCGCTTACCGCTTCTGGGTGGACAGGCAGTGGATCTTCGACGCTCTCATGACGAAACGCACATCTTCAACATGCTGCCCCATCCTAGACATCATATTACACCATACCCCTTGCAACAGACCGCTCGCGACACACATAGAGATTTGATCATTCCGGAAACCATGCGACTTGAAAATGGCCTCTACCGGACCTTGAGACGCCTACATTATGCCGAAAGCGACAACTCCACCAAGCGACACTGGACTCCATTGGATATTTGAATATAGAAAACGCAGACATTCCTGGATGTATATTTTGTATTCTTGTATATATTCCGCCTCTGTTGGCTCAAAAATGCATATACTTCAGCCCTGGCGGCTCCTCCCAATCGGGACAGTAAACAAGTCACGTGCCATGACGTCCACTTTTATCGGAGCAGCTCCCAATCGCCCGAATGAAACATTGACCTCCTCTTGAACGCCGTCGAAGCGTTGACGGGCCGTGGATCGGCCGCATATCCTTTCCTCCCTTCCTCCCACCATGTCCACTCAATACGCCAGCGAGCCCAACCCAACGGCATCGGCCACATTGCACACGACCGTCGGCCCGATTCATATCGCCCTCTTCGCCAACCAGACTCCCCTCACCTGCAAGAACTTCCTCCAGCACTGCAAGGACAACTACTATGCCGGAACGATCTTCCATCGCATTGCGCCAGACTTTGTGATCCAGGGTGGTGACCCTACGGGTACTGGCTCTGGCGGTACATCCATCTACGAGTATCCCGAGTTCGAGTACGATCCCGAAGCGCGCGATCCGAATGAGCGCGTCGTCCTGCGAGATGAGATTCACAGTCGACTGCGATTTAACCGGCGTGGGCAGGTGGGTATGGCGAAGAGTGAGGATGGGTCGTATGGGAGTCAATTCTTTATCACGCTCGGTAATACCGAGCGCGAATTGAGTGGGCAGTGTACGCTGTTTGGACGTTTGGAGGGGGACAGCATTTTCAATGTGCTGAAGATTGCCGATGCGGAGCGCGTGGAGGGTACCGAACGACCTGTCTATCCGGTGAAAGTGACATCTTGCGAAGTGGGAGAGCTAGGACCCTTGGAGGGTAAATTGAAGGATCGCAAGGTCATTTCAACCACAGCAGGGGGAACCGAGAAGCAAGCGCCCAAGAAAAAGAAGAAGGCCGCAAAAGGAGGAAAGGTCTTGCTGAGCTTTGGTGACGATGAAGGTGATGAAGGGATGCCCATCCGGCCCGCAAAGCCCAAGTTCAACACCAAACTGGTCACGGATGTACCTGGTTTAATGGAGGATGCGCCATCAGAGACGAAACCACGAGCTACAGAGTCAGCACCACGCAAACGACCACGATCTCCATCTCCAAAACACACTGCCTCGCCAGAGCGGAAACAACGACGTAAAACACCAGATCCCCAAACACAATTACCCCTACGAGATCCCGAATCACCCTCTCGCTCTCCAACACCAGCATCCCTACCAGCCAAGGAGTCAAAACTATCCCGTACTAATGCCGAGATTGCTTCACTCAAGGCATCTATGCGCCGGAATGTCGACCTCGGCCCAGCCGATACAGGTCGTAAAAAGTCCGCCCTCGAAGCAATGATCCCCGAAACCGCCACACGCGGTCGTAAACGCCCAGCACCAGGATCAACAAACGGCGCAGCAGGCCTATCTAGCTCCAAGAATTCCGCCCTCGACATGTTCAACGCCTTCAAAGCCAAACTCGAAGGAAGCACCTCCACCATCACCAAACAATCCTCCGCCCAGACACAACCAGACCAACACACCAGCAAAGAAAAAGGCAAATCCTTCCCCACAGAACCCGAAGACGAAGAAGCCCAACTCTGCGACCTCCATTTCATCGCAAACTGCCAATCCTGCCAATCATGGGACGATCCCGACACAGCCGCAAATGAAGACGAAGATGCTCACGACCAAGGCTGGCTCAGTCATACATTACGTTTTGGCAAGGATACGCTCGGCAAGGATTTGAATTGGAAGAAGGATCATCCTGATGATGCTGATTCGTTGATGGTTATTGATCCGCGTGAGAAGGAGAAGGATTTGGGTGGGCCGAGTGGGAGTGGACGGAAACGGGGGTTGCAGAGGGATCGGGAGAGGGAGAGGAAGAGGGAGAGGGCTGGAGAGAGGGAGTGGGATCGTGAGGGGAAATAGAGGTGATAGGGGATGATAGAAAGGTTGGAAAGATATTATGAGCTGAAAAGGTGATTGGGACGGGACACCTGCGATGAATCGTTGACTACTATAATCGTGTATCTTTACCAAAATCAACAAAGAACAGACATACTCCAGTTATGATCTACAAGGTCTAGTAAACAGTACTGTGATCTAACAACAAGTCTTTATTATTCAGACCTCAATTAAATGGAATCGTCATGGTATCATGAGAAACGATTTCTTTTACACACAAGCTAAAAACCACCCAAAATCTGCCCCCAAAGAAGCAGAGCCCTATGAACAGATGAACGCCATATTTTTTCTCCTGGGGTATTCCATAAGCTCTTCCATCTCTTGTTCTCCGATCCGAGGCGGTCATAAGCTTCCATTGCAAAGCTCCATCGAAATGACAGATCATGCCTTTCGGCGGCGCTTGACAGCACTGCCACCATCTTCGGTTTCGACAGAAGGATCCTCAGGGGCTGCAGGGCTGGTAGCCTCGCTGTCGGTCAGTTGCTCGACAACCCGGCCAGAGTCAAGATGTCCAGATCCCGCATCCGCTCCGTAACCAGTGCCATCGAAGCCATAGTTGTACGAAGCGTGGGTCGCTCCCTGATTGCTGTTGAAGAGATCATCATCTCCCGGGATGTCGCCAAAGTCAAGGAGGGCGCTGGTGTCGCCAGCATCCGGTTCAGTGGAGGCAATGGCATCATGTGCATGGGAACCGGTTCCGAAATCAATGCCAGAATGATCGTGCTTCTGATCCGGGATCTCAGTGAAGTAATCGTTATTGAAAATCTGATCAAGATCAATCGTAGGCGGGGCATTCGAGTCGTTATCCAACCCCGGGATAGTACCGGAGGGACTCAAAGGTTGGAGGAGGTTTGTCAGGTTCTGAACGGAACGGTCCTGCTCAGCTTGCAATTTGACCAGGCTGTCGATCTCCTGTCGAGTATTGGAAAGGCGATTCGAGTAGTCTTGTGGCATGGGCGGGGGATTTGGCATGATAAGAGCATTGTTCGCCCCGGCCGAACCAGTGTGGTGGCCGGTGTCATTAGCCATCAGTCGAAGCATGTCGGCACGAACGCCAGGAGTCAGCGGACCGGTACCCCCTCGCTCAAGCGAAGAAAGTACATCGGGGAATTGAGAAAAGGCGTTTTGGTTAGCGTTGCGCGCATTGGAACTCTGGATCACAGACATGATATCCTTCTGTGGGGATTTGTCGTCCGGCAACTGTCCTGCAGAAACATTGGTAGGGCCTTGTCTGGGGCTGCTATCAAGCACCTCTTCCACATGTCCTTGCTGCGTAGCACTTGGCTGGCGGGTTTGACTGCGGGATCGAGTATCATAAGCCCCGCTAGCAGCAGGCGAAAGAGTGGTAGTCCGGTTGGCGTCGTTCACAGAGGGCGGGGCCTTGAGGAGCAATGGCTGCTTCTTCATTGTCCGTTGACCAGTTGGGCTGGTCAACGAGGCGAGTGGGCTGAAGGAGAAGTCATCGCCCATATCAACGATACCGCCTTGGTGGTCACCCGAGATGGCTCCGGCAAAGGTGTTCGCAAGATTCTGAGATCCATCCTGACCTTGCAAGCTGCGGTTGTACACTGTTGCCAGGAAAGTGAGAATGGCGTTGATCGAGTTCTCATGTCGGGTGTGTTGGTCTTGGAAGGTGGCGGCCTGCGCCGAGAGCTGTTCATGCTCGCGGCGCAAACTGGCAATGTGACTTGAAATGACCGATTGCTGGTGACGAATGGCCTTCAACTGTTGAACAACTCCGTCAAGCTGCTCCTTGGGCATTTCTGAATCAGTCAGAAGGGACAGCGGACGCGGGCGTGCACGGTCTTCGCGAGAACCAGGAGCGCCATCTTCTGGATAGTCATCAAACTCATTGTCGTCCGCATCTTCCGTCTTGACACGTGCGCCACCCTTGCTTCCCTTGCTCGCATGGCCGGTTGCATTCTTCGGTTTCGAGATCAACCAAAGCAACTCTGGGTGGCCTCGTTTGAAGTAAGGGTTGGAGTATTCAGATGGACTCTTGTTCTTGCGCTCACTGGCGCGCATAGAGTTGTCAGACAATCCCACTTTCTTGTGGAACCCGTACATGTTCAGCTGTCGGACGAAAGACGCGTAGTTGTTGTGCTTGAAGAGTTCTGGGATCAAACGCCGCGCAAACTCATCTTCATCCAAAACAATGAATGAATTGCCATCATCGGACCATCGGATCAATTCCGTGTTTTTGGATTCATCAAGGAAACTGTAGCAAACAATTGTTAGTATTCAGCTTTAAACTTCAAATTGTCAAGTTTCAACATACCTGCTCAGCTTTTGCACGAAGGGAGGAATCTGCTTCCTCTTCGCTTGTGCGTCTCTTTTGGCAATCCGAGCCCGATTGTAGAGTTCCTCAATTGATTCTCCCCAGGCGCCCTCTCCGGTGCCTGCACCAGCAGCATTCTCTGAGTAGGCCGCAGGTGCTTGCTCGTAGCCACGATTCCGGCTAACCAATTGGTTTGGCGGCTGTCGGCGGGTCAACTGATTGGAGGTAGAGGCCGCGGGGGCAGTCAGGTCTTGGGTTGATGCATATGCGGCGGTGTTGTAGGCGGATGGGTCAACAAAGGAGGAGTTAACGATGTTCGCGGGAGGGTTTTGGCCCCATTGTAGGAACTGGTCGTTGGAAAGTTGCGAATTGGGATTGGGATTGGGATTGGGATTCTGGAAGTTCGGAACAGTACCCAGCTGGGGATGCACCGCAGGGGTGGTACCTGGAGCAGGCCGCTTGCGAGTGATTCCTTGAGAATTCATGATGTTGTGTAGTCAATCGATGTTGTACAGGACAGGGTATGGTGGAAGCGGGGTGAAGGGTATCGTGGTAGGGAGAGGCCGAATAAATATGGGAGTCCCTTCAAGTGAATTGCACGCAAAAGCGCAGGCAGCGAGGCAGCGGTAGGCAGGCTAAACAGTGAAGGCTCCAATTGCGATAGCGCAGCCTTGGTCGTCGTGGGCGATGATGGGGTCACGGATTAGAAAAATTAAGTTGGGACCGTAGATGAGTCGGAGCAAACGAGTCCAATCAGATAAGACAGGTTATATGACACAATAGGTCGCGTATTTGATGCGACGTAACGTCGAGATAGGCGCGACGGTCGCTGGCTAGCGGTTGCTAGAAGGTGACGGTGGGTGGAAAGCGGTGGTCGAGGATGGCACCGTGATGGCGATCCCAGAATCGGCCGTGGTGAGGCCACAATCAGCGCAGGCAAAAATGCAACATTCAGGTCGTTTGTGAAGGCAGCACTTGTGGAGTATACTAGGCCGGTGGACAAGCGTCCAGACCCGAGGATGCGTGATAGGACGCGACCAGAGCAAATGGAAGGCAGAGGCGGACGAGAAAACTAGAGATTCTGCGCTGGCGACGATGAGGTCAATTCGAAGCGGAGCAACGCCTAGCCGGCTGAGTCAGCACAGCCCGTCAACTGGCCGACTGAGAACCTGGAGATGTTTCACATATGATGAATTACAAGAACTTTCACACAGAATATCGATAGTTAAATTAATAGACAGATCCCATAATAGAGCCTCTGTCTTTCATGTCTCTCCTTGCTTGGACATGGAAATTACAATGATCAGTGAGAATCTCCAACGATCGCCTGGAATCCCTCCAGCAGCTCCTGCCACTGGTCTGGGTGCATCTTGATAAACTCGTCCACGGCAAACGGAGCTGCTAGATCTTCCTTCATACGGCCCTCGTTCTTAGTTCCATTCAGCACGGCGATATTTTCAAGCCCCATCACAAGGGTGTACAAGGCTGCCGCCGGACTGATATGAACTTGAGTGGCAAGTCGCTGGACCGGTTCAGACCGCACCAGATCCGGGTTGGCCGTCAACGTCCAGAAGCTCTGATAGATGATCTGATTCTCACGGCAGAAAAATCGCAAGTCGGTGTCGAATAGTGTGTCCTCGTAAAATCGATTCTGCACCACGGCCGGTTTGACCTTCACCTCGGGAGCTGTGAACAATGCACGGAGCACAGGTAGAGAGCAATTGGAGATGCCCAAATTGCGGATGCGATGGGGCACGTAGGTTTCCAGGGCTAGCCAGGCCTCTAATGTCTGGTCAATAGTCCGCAGTGGAGAGTGAATTACCACCGTATCAATATACGCATCATCTGCAGTCTTCGGGTCCTCGGAGGCACGAAGATTATGCAGTGAGGACTTGATGGAGGCATGGACTTGATCGGTCACCGAGGCCTTTGGATCATATGGCATATTATCTGGATCCTGTGCTGAGATAGGGCTAAACTTGGTTTGCACCTACATCGTTTGTTAGTCATGTCTGAGAAATCGCAGTCTGTCAAGGTTAGTTCCTACTTACATAAAGGTCCTCGCGACGGACAACGCCATCTGCAATCGCCTTGCGGATTCCATCACCGACTAGATGTTCTCGGTAGTGACGAGGCTGTGCTGCAGTGTCGATAGCGCGGAAACCGGCGCTGACCGCAGTGTAGACCAAGTCGGCTGTCCTGTCGTTCTTCCAGGCTGTTCCGTAGAGAAACACTGGGAGAACAGTGGGAGTGGAGTCTCCAACAGGGCGCAGACAATATTTCTCCCACATTTTTCCAACTGCACTGGCCATGTTGGGATGGGTGATTGTCCTGGAATGTCTCGCTTCTGCTGCCAAGGTGTACCTAATGATAGTGCGCAGAAGTGTCTATCTTTAACTTGGATGCTGCCATGGAGGTTCCCGCGGGGTCGGATTCTTACTAAGTGGACATTGCCTCTGGGTACCTACGTAAGTAAACAACATCAACAGCCATGTTGATATCGCACCAATCCAATAAATTAGTCTTATGGTCCGGAACTGAGTACGACTAGATAAATGGATACTCTGATCATTGGTAGACACGAGTCATGCCGGGTATTTCGTTCCATAGGCTAGATAGCTGGTCCTTCCCCCTTCTGAACCAAAGAGATAGTTTGTATACCTACACTTCCAGTCCCTTATTCTTAGATCTGTCTCCCGCTATAGATCATAGGGACAGCAAAATGTCTTGCAAAGATCTCCTTCAGAATGCTGAAGCCTAAACGCAACCTGCGAGTTCTGCTATATATATCCATCTACATCAACGAAAGTGTAGCATATTGGCTCGGCTATCTGCAGGGTACCTGCAAGATAGGCTTACAGCCACACTTTGTTTTCTCGACTTTAGGATAATCATTAGCAACAGAATAGGCAAAATTAGCCTGCAATATGCCCCAGATCCTCACTATGCTTTCGGTTCCATCAGAGAATGAGGAGGCCTAAACGAAGTTTGAACCCTTCATGCCGAACTACCGCGCCAAGGACTGGCGGCCCCACAGGGTGGCTTAGATGAATATCTTCGGGCATCGCTCTTGGCAGACAAGTTGTTCTTTGGATGTTTAGATTCTTTGAAAATCTTGAGACTAGATTCTGATAGACAGTTTATACATATGAACTACTGGAGAGTGTCCCAGAGTGTATGTAGATAGAGACACTGAGATTAAACCATAGCTATAGAACTATAATCAACCTATAGTGACGCCGAGGCTTTGCAACGGAACACGCAAATATTGCTTTTCTCCCCGGTCTCTTTGACAAGTGATCTCCCACCTCACGACCGCTTGGCAAATTCTTGGCCGATTCACAGATGGACCAGGCAACGGCTTTTCCTTCGAGGACACTGGCTCTATCCTAGTCGATCGGTGGAGATCATTCCCGTCGATGAGCTTCGATTCTATATTGATCCTCAGGGTCTTCCTTTTACCCGGGGGGCTCAGCAGCTCAATTACCCAACTCGATATTATCTGTCGGCAGCATGCGATGATCGAGAAGATAAAGCAAAATGTGCAAAATGCTTGGATCGGCAACGCCCAACGGGAACTTCATTTATAGAAACACCACGGTTGGAGTGTGAAAGCAAAATTATAAAGAGAGCTTCAATTCCGGTCTAGAAACGATCATATCAACAGCTTCATCAAGATATTCAACCGAACTTCAAGTTTCAAATCTCTTCAAATCTCCAAATCTCAATCATCATGCGTGCCCAACAGCTCCTCGCTCTCGCCGGTCTCATCCTCGCCGGCAACGTCGCAATCGCTGCCAAGGTGGAACAAGACGACGTTCCAAACCGCTGCTGGGATGCTTGTGGCCCTGTAGTCGGAGTCTCCCGACGCTGTGATAATCAGCACGACAACGACCGTGCTGAATTGCAGTGTATCTGTGATTGGGAAGCAGCCAAGACACAGATTCCTCTTTGTGCTGCCTGTATCACCCAGTATGGTCACCACGACAATGACCGTGATGATGATGACCACGACGATGATGATGATGATAACGGTAAGACCTACTCTACACCCTGTCCTTTCTATCATAGCAGTATACTTATACACATCTTACAGAGGCCCTTGACCTCGTCCGCTCATGCAGATTCACCACGACTTCCTACAACGCTGCTGCTGCCACCACTCTGAGTGCCACGGCCACCGGTACCACTGACCCCGCAGCAGCGAGTGCTACCGCTACAGCAAGTGCTGGTCCAACCTCCAGCACTGGCTCTACTAGCAGCCCGTCGCAAACCTCGACCGGATCTACAGGGGGTGCTGCCACTGCCAGTCCGAGTCCCGGTGCAGCGGCGGGCAGGACTGGCCCAGGTGTTGTTTCTCTGGTTGCAGTCGCTGGTCTCATGCCTCTTGCCTGGCTGTAGAGTAGACTCACGGGCTTGCTTGATTTGTGGCTCAAAGTGATATGAATGAGAACGGAACACGGCGATATGAATTGCTTGGACAGATAGTTGTTGGAATCTCGTTACGAATTATGCGGATCCAGTATTGGTTTCTTGTGTTTTATCAGAGTTGATCAATTTAGGACATTCATGCTTTTGAGAGTTGTGCGGTGTTTATGACCTTCATGTTCAGAAGTGGAGGCAGTTTCTTCCCTAGACATTGAGTAGATGGCCGGCCAAGACCGTATGTAAAGGTTCCCTCGGGTTCGGCGAAGGGCATTCTTTAGCCAGTTCAAACCTCAATCTATATGCATACTATCCAGGCACGCCATAACATCTTCGAGAATGCGAGATTAAATAAAAAAAAATGCATGAGGGTATCTATTTGTCTTGAGATGCGCCAGTACTATGCAAGGCACACTTTATATCACTTTCTATACGGTAAATCCCAAAATTCATCATTGATCCAATCCATGTAGTCATCCTCATAGGCAGGATCCCACTCCATTCCATATACATCCTCGTAACACTGTTGTTTTGATGGACAACTAGAAAGAACCAAACGTCAGTACCATGCTCCAACAAGAAAAGGCCAAGAACCAAACTTACAAAACGGGATCCTGCCCGAAAATAATATGCCACAAATACTCAAACACACGACCGCTCGTCTCATCATCCAACTCGGTCTCCATCAGCCAGCGATGAAAGGACTGATAATCACTCAAAGGCCGGGTGTGGACCTGTGCCCTGGTCACTCCAAATTGCGCACAACACGGGGTAGCCACCACCTCGGGGACATCAGTGTTATTAAAGATACGTATCCAGGCGCCCGCAAACGCGATTTCCGTTGTACGTCCTTCCATTTGGCGGAAGGGATGGACTTCGTCTGGGCAGCCTGGACCCCAACCACAGCGGAGGTTGACATAACCGACTTTCTTCAAGTAATCCAATTGGAGACGTTGTACAGTCAGGGCGTTATCTTGCTCCCAGAATTCGACGTGCTCGGCGTTGCGGTGAGCATGCAGGAAGACCATGTACTCGGGGAGTTTGTGATAGTGGTCGATGATATACTGGAGGTAGATGTTGGATTCTTTGCCCTTGTTCATTTGGACTGTGAATTCCGAGTCGGGCTCGTCAACCACGTAGACTGCATGTTGCCATCTGCGGGTTCATCCATTGTTAATTTAGCACTGAAGGGCTCAATTTCATGACAACTCACTCAGGCAACTCATCATCCAACCAATCCGAGTCCTCCCACGACATCCGACCCAAGACGACTATGCGATCGGGATACGGCGAGACCTTCGGCTTAGGAGTGGACTTGGCCTTAGGCTTCGGTTTCACATTCAAATTATGAATAACCCCGACTTCATCATCCCTATCCGCCCAAAAAGGATATTGCCAAATATCATCATTCGCGCCCGGGACATCGACCGGAATCGATTTCGGCTGGAACTTTGTCGGCGTGACTGGCGGATTCGTCGGCTCGGGCCATGTTTTGGACGGGGGTGCTGGACTAGATTTCGGCGCCATTGGTGAAGAAGAATATGCGGAATGCGAAGAATGAGAAGAGTATGAGGGTGAGAGTTGTGCGGGATTGGGATTGGGATTGGAATTGGCCGAGACCAGCTCGATATGTGCGCCCGCGCTGTCCAACACGATTTCGGGAGCGAGGTCAGCGCCGCGGTCGGCTTGCCATTGTGGTTCGAGGGAATCTAAATGATTCTTGACGAGGAGGATGGCGACGACCAGGGCGACAGCGATGGACACGCGAAAAGTTATGCGCATCGTTGCGCGAGTGATTTGAGAGGCTTCTCCAGACGGAGATTCCTCGATTGTCCTTTCTCACTGTACTAGGAGTTGACGATCAACTATACTCACTCCCTATTCACACCTAACCTTCCTCAGCCTCTCTAGTTTCCACCACGAGGGCAGGCCAGCGACATTTTAAATTCGCCAGCTTTTTTGGGGGTCAATTTGGGTCTGTCAAGCATCATCGGCCCCACTCACGACCACCAGAATACGATACGACTGGCGCCTTCAGCTGGGCTTCGTTAGCCAAATGCTCATCCCGGACGGGCGACGCCCCAGGCGATCGGCACTTGGCTCGAGTGGCTTGCAGAGGCCGCGTATGGTGGATCGAGTTTGCGCCATCAAATCTGATGGCTGCCTTGGAGAACTATTTTGGGCTGGTGGGCAAATGCTTGATTCAAGAATTGAACGAACGATCAACTACAATTGTGTTGATTACCACTCTTTTTCCGTCGCTGATTTCTTTCTTCATGCTTGGAGAAGTCCTGACGTCCTCTATTGAACTCAGGAAGTGGCACGATCGGTTCCAGTGGGGCCCCAACTCGTCACCCATTTATTCGCAGTTTTCGTACCCCTTGGAACTTGGAACCGTGGGTTGTTTCACCATCCATGTCTGGCTCATGTCTGGCTCATGTCCCGCACGCGGAGTCTTGTCTACGCCACGCCCGCTCTTCCTCATTGGCGGTGATCATCACGGCGTGTGTCCCTGACAGACGAGGGGATTGCATTGACTGTTCGGACTGTCCATCAAGTATCATAGCGGACGATGTTCATGTCCGACGGGACAACCCTGGATCGCCGTGAGATGCAATGCAACCCCGCCAATTTTGCCAGGCGAGACCTTGAGAGGGATTACTGATGAATCAACTGACGTCGAAAGTAGCTCGCTTGTGGACACCATGGCCTTTGCGTTTGAAGGTTGATGCTGATTCTTTGTTGAAACAGGATCAGGCCAGGTCAAAATGTATGCAACAGCTTACCTGGTTTGTTTCCTACATCCATAGTGTTTTGTTCGCGTGGACGCCGCTATTCTGGCACAGATTTCTCTGCAGGCCCTTCTCAAGTAGTACAATGGCTCGTGCTTGGAGAGTTTTGACATAGAGAGAACCCTGAGTAGACCCTTTGATCTTATCACACACTGTCTGTGACATCCATGGCACAGGGCATTGTCAGACTGAGGGTTCATCAAAGCATATACCACGACGTAAAGCATATAGAACAATACATACATTATGGTCGATCGTATACGAAGCACTCTATATTAAACTTATATTGTCGATCTAAAATTACATTCCCATTCTTGAATGCTTAATCAATTGCAGACTCGGTAACATATACTTGGTTCTCCATACAGGCGACGCAACTCGACCACGCGAAGGATTCTAGAAACTGACAGGTCTGTTCAGCCAACGCAGCCACCACTGTCAATCAATATGTGATATTGCCAATGCTTCTGCCTACTGTATTTATTCTTCTTACTCCGCCTGATCTAGACCATCAAGAGGTACTCACTCAGCCTCCGCCTCTTCACCTTATCAGAACTTGCAAGGCTGCGATGTAGTTCCCGGGGTCAATGAATCGAGTTTGATAGCTTGGAATCACACTTATATATTCTCTAAGAGCAGTACGCGCGCGATTTGTTCTTTCAAGACTCCCGATCCCGACCTTAGCAGGCGAACCCGCGGAATACTCTATCCCAACTGGAAAGCCTCCTGTCGATGCTTTTCTCGCCTCCTGAGACCTGGAATATGCACACACAAGGTTTGTCAAAGCCCACTTCCACGTGGCCCTCTTGAACCCCGACTCGATGACATTGCGAAACACGATTGGCTACTGGTGAGAGATATTTAAGCTATTGACCCCTTGGACCACCGAGTCGACTGTGCTTCAACGCCAGTTGGCGATCGACACATCCAAGCAAACACTACTCGAGAACGAGCAATGATGGCCGCGACCGATAGTTTTCGATTCTCCTCGCGTGACAGATGATCGGGATTTGCTCTCCTCAAGGTAACAGGCAGCAAAACTTCGTAGTCGAGTACCTTGGACGCATAGCCTCGTTAAGCTCATAAGTGAACCAGACCTTCTTCGTCAGGAGTCGACAAGGGCTAGTACAGTATTTGCATCCGCTGCAGGTTCGCCAGGGCAGCGAATAACCTTGCTTGACCCACCTGTCTATGGACGGGGGACCTCGTTTCGTTCCAAGTTCCAAGTTCCCCCTGAATTGCAAAATGGAAATGCGAAACATCCTTCTCCGACGCTCCCGGACCCCAGTAGACAGTATGAGACACGCCAAATGGACCGGCCCATTCCACTAGGGCGTGAGGCTATTATTTTAGTTTTAGTTTTAGTTTTTGATATTATTTTAAGATCAGGAATTCAGTGGAATGGAAGGGCTCTTTACTGCCACATTTAGTAATTACTGATGGAAGTTCCAAGCCTCTTTCTCGAAGGCTGAGCTTGAAATCCACTTAATTGGCCTCTTACAGGACTTCGGCCGGCGGTCCTCAGCTCAATCAACAGCTTGGAGCTTCTTTCGCACCAGGTCAAGTTAAAAGTAACAGGGTCTAAGGAAGAAAGATCGTCAGTAGACCTTGGGAAAAGGGGTTCGTACCTATGTCAAGCACTATCGCCCTGGAGAGGACTAGCAGCAAGCAGACCGTTCATCGTTGAGCCTACGGAGTAGATGATATCACTTGAAATTCATTGTCCTTCACATCGTGAACTGAAGAAAGAAGAAGAAGAAAGGGGGAGGGGCGCCAACAATCACCCTCCAAAAAAGGTACAATTCACGAAGACCAGAGTGCGCAGCTCACCAATCAAACGAAAAGAATGGTACTTCGTACAATAGTCCCAAGTTGAGTAAGTAGCTTCGCATGGAAAGGTTACCCAGAAGCTCCGGAAGCTTTCCCCATCCTCCCCGTCGACATGGCCACGGGCCACGGCACCACGACGGCGGCCGCCACGCGCAAGGCGCACCATTCACTCGGGAATAGCAAGAACCAGTAACAAGACATCCAGCTACAACTCCACCGCCGACCAAGACCGTCGGACTTTCTAACGGTTCCCACAACCTCAAAGACGGTCTTCTAACCGGTCTCTAGCGGGTTTCTAGCTGATGATTTTGGGGGCACCGGACAGGTTGCAGGTCAGTTCCGCGGCACTAGAAACGGGGGATGTGCGGATCGTGGAGACGGGCACTGGTTTCTTTTCCTAGTTGGGGGTTGGTTGGTGGAGTGGTGAGTGGACCTGGCGTTGATAGCACCATGCGCCGTCAATCAGGGCGTGGAGTGTCGAGAAGGGAATAATTAAAGATGTTTTTGACAAATAGGAGGATTCGAATGGTAGAGCCGTAGAAATGGCCAAATTCCGGGAAGTGCTGGGCCGTTCCGTTTGGACCAAACTATTGGTGAGTTGGAGAAATATTGTTTCCACTATGTTTGTTCTTTTTCTAGCTTGATGTTCTTCCCAATCGCCATGTTATCTATGTATACCTCGTAGGATCAATAATCAGTTGGTAGGATCGGGCGGCAATTAAGGTAGAAGATGATGCACGGAAGTGCACACTGTACTCAACGGAGTAATAAATGCGAATGAACGAATACAGAAGAGTGGCAAAATATGTCCAGCCAGGACAGATCGAGGTGATCCCCTGAAGCACACGCTATCCCTTCTACGGAAGACAGGCCAGTGGATTTACTTCGGAAGAAAGGGAAAAGAAAAAAAGGAGTCCAACCATTTAGGGGGGTGGATACTCACTCTGAATAGATTCCATTACGGGACCTCGTGCGAAATACGAACGACGACAAAGGGAACATTGACCAGGTCAAAGCAATAGATTGGGGATAACAGTAGTAACTGAACGATGGTTCTCACAGACTTCGCAGTCAGCGAGTCATGTCATGCATCAGAAAACCCTGACCGAACTACCATCTCGAGAAGATGACCACAACCACAAAAAAGAAAAGAAATCTTTAGTACAACCGCAGCGGGACGGGAGAGCCGTCAACGTATCAAATAAAGTGGCAATTGCGGCGAGCACGAGGCAGGAGGTGAACCGAGAGGCGCTGGACTGGTCAGATGTCACTTTGGAAACTCTGAAACTGCTCGTGCGATCGGCGTTGTGAACTTGTGGTGGCTGTTGCTGGACTTTTCTGGGGGATGTCCATGTCCATGCTCGTACGGAGTTCATCAAAGTGATTAGTAGTAGATTAGTACGCGGTCGAATTTAGCTAGCTTTTTTTGTTTTCACGATGAATTTTCAAATTGTTAGTTTCTACTAATAATACCATAATGCTATTCTAATTACTCCATCCTCCATACTCTTCCTCTTCAGGCAGCAGCCACAGGAGGTGTCTAGTTCTCCCGCCTCGCCTGCGTTTGCCGATGTCCCCAGTGGCGGAGACGTGTCATACTTTCCAACGGGGAGAGCGAGCACGGGCATCTAGGACTAGAATGATAAAAATACGTTCCTGACATACTCAGCAAAAAGAAAGATGACGGACAGGGAGCCGAGCGACTAACATGAGTTTACGGTAGAGTTCGAGTCTACGGCCGCTGATTCGATGCGGTATGCAGATGGCCGGAAAGCACCCGATTCCGAACTTTCCAACCAGTGACCAGCCAGTCACCACTAGTGGGGGGCCGATCGTGGTGGAATTTCGGGAAGGAAATTATCATCAGGGATGGAAAAACGCGAAGCTCGAAGGGTACTAGGGGGGTAGTGCTAGAAGGTGAAATAGAAGGGCTAAGAAGGTAATGAAAAACGACGGATTGAAAGCTAAGAGACTAAGATAGAGAGAGAGGGGCAGATGAACGGTTGTGGTTGTATAAGGGGGGAAAGGGAAGAAGACTCCGTATAGTAGGAGGACTAAGTGAGGAGTGGGGGAGCTGAGACAAATTTGAATCCATAGGAGCTGGATTGAGACTCCGATTGGCACGAACAGGTGTGTAGTTTGGCCATAGAGAGAGGAGGG